GAAAAAAATTACCCGGTAAGAAATTGCTCAATCTCAGGAAACGAAAATGTTAACCGACAATTATTTGCACGTATGGGACTGGTCTGCAACACTGTGAACATTTACCAAGTTTTCCCCAAATTTATTCAGTTAAAAGCATTTTAGATTATCACCAGAACAGCAACATGAAAGTAACAACAATACTTTATTAGCTGGTGTAACTTTCATGAGCGCTTATCCATTCAAAAGAGTGTAAATTGTTATCAAATATAGAAATTCAAATGCAAAACTTACCGTTCACTCTCCGCGGACAGTCGATTTAACTAAAAAGTGACGTCACGCGAAGTTAGGCCGAACTATGACGTATTTAAACCTGGCTTATCTTTAGGCCACCTTCGAGAATAGCAAAAAAGATAGTCCATGGTTTAAACCAGGTTTAGGCCACTGATTTAACTTAGGCCGCTTTCGAGAATACCACCCCAAGGGTTTTATACATTAAATTATCGTCAGATGTGCATGATTTTATACCTTATTTGTGACTCTGGTAGGTCACGAATTGGCGTGGGGTCCAGGGGGCGGAGTCCCCGGAAGCTCGGGGGTTTTGGGCAATAAATAAACGTCAGATGAGCATATTTTTAAATCAATTTGTGACACTGCCAGGACAAAAATTGGTGTAGGGTCCAGGGGACGGAGCCCCAGGAAGCTCAGGGGTTTTATATATTAAATTATCGTCAGATGAGCATGATTTTATACCTTATTTGTGACACTGGTAGGTCACGAATTGGCGTGGGGTCCAGGGGGCGGAGTCCCCGGAAGCTCGGGTGTTTTGGGCAATAAATAACGGTCAGATGAGCATATTTTTATATCAATTTGTGACACTGTCAGGACAAAAATTGTTGGGTCCAGGGGACGGAGCCCCAGGAAGCTCAGGGGTTTTATATATTAAATTATCATCAGATGAGCATGATTTTATACCTTATTTGTGACACTGGAAGGTCACGAATTGGCGTGGGGTCCAGGGGCGGAGCCCTCGGAAGCTCGGGGATTTTGGGCAAGAAATAACGGTTAGATGAGCATGCAGCCGTCCGCCTTAGGGCCCTAGGTGGGGTCCAGAAGGCAGAGCCCACGGAAGTCAAGGGTTTTTAGGCATTTAATTACGGTTAGATGAGCATTTTTTTAGAACCCTTTTATTTCCTTCCTTTTTTTGTTCCTTCTTTTTTTTCCCTTCTTTTTTTTTCCCTTCTTTTTTTTCTTCTTTTTTGTTGCCGGGGGGGGGGGGGGGCGGGCCCCAGCCCCCTGGATTCGCCACTGACTACTACAACTCGGCTATAGGTCAAAGGGATTGTCTCCGAAATTGCAGCGTCTTTGGAAATGGTCTTTCCTCATCATTCATCGCTTGTCTAATGTCGTCTACAGGAAAAAGGCAAAGAACCGTGGAAAGAAGATGGTTGTTCATGCTGACAGGTTAAAGCCTCATATGCGAAACCCTTGTCTCGTGGATTGAGGAACGTATAAGTCAGCAAGTAGACCACGCTGAGGAGAAGAGTGGAGGATCGCAAGCAGAAGACCTCATGAAAGATGTTAAAGGTAATACATTTACATGTACAAAGTTTTGGTATGGGGTCATGAGTTTGGTTCAAATGAACATAATTATTGGAAGCAAATGCGATTTTACAATATTCAATGATCGTTGTAGCGGTTGAAATCGAGTCTAAAGTGATGAAATTGTACATAATAAACTCTTTATGTTGTATAGATCCCTCTGAAGACTGATTTTTAATTTAGCTTTAAAACAATGTTTCTTGACTACAATCGACCGATTTGCTATTCCCGTTTGGAAATTCTGAGATTCTCATAGTCGCAGCTACCATGGAATGGCCTTAATCGCTATTTGAAATATTTGAAATTTAAAGGGAGCAACGGTAAATTTTTGATTATTCAATTTCTCGAGAGCAGAAGTGTTTCAGGGACTAAATTTTGCGGTGCTTATAATACATCCACAGGGGCATCCAAATATATCAAAACTTTGAAGAATTACTATCTATCCATTTTTCAAAATTTCCCAAAACTTTGCATTACCTTTAATACATGAGTCGCAAATGATCTTACAGAAGAAAAGGCATTTCAAGTCCAGGGGGTTGTTTCACAAAGATCCTAAGTCGAACTTAACTCTAAGTTGGACTTAAAAATTATGGAGAGCCATTTGTAGCCTAAAATAAAATATATTAAAAAGTGAATACTCATGTTTTTAGGGATTTCATAAATTCCACATCAAGAACATGAAATCTCCCATGATAATAGAAATATGAATGATTTTAAACAACATTTACGCCTTTTAAAATGACTTTTACAAAATATTTTCAAACAAACTAACGGCTTTCCATAACTGTTTTAAGTCCAACTTAGAGATAAGTTCAGCTAAGGATCTTTGTGTAACACCCCCCCCCCAGGTGTTATAAAATTAGAAAATTAGCAGATACAAGACAACTGAAGCCGAAGGGGAGTCGTTGCAAAGGGAAGCGAACAATACCTTACAGCAAAGCTGTACCTTAATTACCTTAATTTGTTTTTAAAAAAGAAGACGGCCCCCTCCCCTGGTGCTCAATGGGGGGGGGGGGGGGGGGGGGGGGGGGGGGTGCGATTTTCAAATTTTCGGAAAAAAAAAACACAACAACTAGTGCTGCCCCCTCCGGTGAGCGAAAAATCGACCGGCGCGATTAGTGATCCTCCCCCCCCCCCTACTGAGCGAAAATAGTGTTCTGTTCGATTTTCAAATTTCCGGGGGCTAAAACGAATTTTTTTTTTGTTGCTCACTTCCCCCCCCCTTCTTAAACACTGAACGAAATATTGGACGGTGCGATTTTCACACTTTAAGAGGCAAATACAAAATACTATACAAATATACTTTGATTGATTTGATTGATTTGCAGTAAAATGAGAACAATTAAAAGCCAATAATACCAAATTGCACTTTTAGCTTCTCAGACCTTCTGGTCCTGCAGGTGAAATTTTTACACGCTTTATTTAAAATTCAACAGGTATTAAGACCTGCCCTCGAATTTATATACAAACATAACAAAGGTGTGTGCCACGGACAACGGGACACAGGGTTCGAACTTACACAGTGCAATACTTGGGGGGGGGGGTGTCCCCTGTTCCCCCTATTATTGACGCCCACGCATTGAAGTAAGTTGAAATCCTAATAATCCTTAAACATCCGAAGACTCTGTAAACTACACAAAAGAAATAATTGCTATCTCTCAAAAAGCATCAAATCAAATCAAACCATTTATTTTCCACTAAAAAAAACATGTTACAATTATTGTTTCTCCACAATTCATTTCAGTACATGTAATAATAGAGGTCGAATTATGCATACATGCAAGCGCAAATTGAAATTGAAAATAACTCCTTTTATGTATATAAAAACAATGCAAAAACATACAATATCAAACATAATTTCAACATAACAGCATATAATTTAGGAAAAGATAGATAGAAATATATAATTTAAACTAAAATGTGTTTGATTCATTAGTTCAAGACGACGTCGTTTAATTATATTAGGCGTTTGAATAGTCTTATTTTTCCCTATTCTTATGGTTAACGGAACACGAGAGTAATTATACAAACAAAATTAATCAAGGGCTATTACAGTAGTTTTGTTCGTCACCTATATGACATGATTGAAATGTGCATATTACTTAATCCGAAAATGATTTTTTTTTTAATGGGATATATCGAAATTGGCCTTGAGTTGATATACAGGTTATTCCAGAAAACAGAGTATATCAATTTTGTATATATCTAAACACAAGAATAATAATTTCATTCTTTTGATGTGCGACCATTTGAAGGGAAATTGTTTAATGACATTGTTGAGCTTTCAGTCTCACACGTCATAGGCCTATGCCTACTGATGCACCAGGGCCAGTACTATGAATTACTTAAGTTATGTAAATAGCCAATGCCACTTACCTTGCAGCTATAATTATAGCTTAGTTAGGTTTTGTAAAGGCCCAGTTATAAATGAAAATCTACCATCCAAGGAAAGCGTAAGCATGATTAGATATATATCAAGTTTAAATCTCAAATAAATTTCAGTCCACAACATTTTTCAATTCAGTTTATTTGATTATTTCTTTAAAAAATATATAATACCAATGAAATAAAGCAATTTGAGGTTAATATACAAAATGACATATCACAGAAAGACACATACACATACGATTATATAGCTGACATGAGAAATACAAAAAGGATTGATTATAGTAGAGGTGACGGATTAGCAAAAGCAATCGGACAGTCAAGGCTAATCCCAATTTTAGTACACTTAAAATTAGTAGATTAAATTAATTAAAAGTGAGTAAATTATATCATAGTACTGTACATACATTACAATCGAAGGTGAGAGTAGAACGAACACATGACATCAGAGAGAAAGAGAATAAGACATATTAATAACCTTAATTGTTTTTAAATACTTGTTAAAATGAATCAAAACCTTCGTGTAATAATATTGTAGAAATACTTACAACGCACTCACCCACACACACATGTACACACACGCACACACACACACACACACGTAATTCCAACGCACAGAGTGCAGCGTGCAGCCGCGCTTTTCAGGGCATTCAGTTAAATTCCTCTTTTTCATGATATAGGCATTTCAAGTATATGAGAATGTAAAAAAAGGTATACTACAAATTCGACATGATATGGTAATAATCAAGCTACAGGCCTACATTTGGCTATATCGTGATGGTGTCAAAATTGCTCCTCGTTCGCGAGATATAGAAAGTCGAAAGAAGTATTAATTTTGGACAGCATTAAACGTTAGCTTATTAAACAAAATTGCGCCCATAACTACGCCTACGCCGATCTTTTCAAATACGAATAAAATTTACTGTATGCCAAGCTACCATAATAATTTTGAGGAGGAAAAAAAAAAGCATAATTATTGAACTGCTTTTGTTCTTTTACGAATTTTGCCCAATATTTCAAAATCACAATTTCTCATTGAGGTAAAATTGAATAGGCTATTATAAGTTTGCGATCCAATGACTTGGAATTATCATCAAATATAAATTGAAACCGAAGAAAATTAAACAATTTAAAGTATTTATATAATTTCGTATCATTTCAGAGATAGCATACGACTTCAAAACTGCAAGTGATTATTTTTTTCAATCTTTTCCACTATTACATAAAGTTTTTTTTTAATTGACTCTCATGAAATTAGGTCATTTCCACACCATCTGGTTCTACATGTAGTTCGTAACGAAAGGGAACGATAGTGGGTTGGATAACCTTTTTCAGCCTCTGAAATGGAGAAAAACAAAATGAAGAATTATTGTTGAATATTATTGAATTATTAACATGTTGAAAGGCACTAATGTCCACACACACACACACACACAAAGGATTTTATTGTAACGCAGCAATGTGAGGAGTGAAGCCCCCCCCAAAAAAAAAACAAAAAAACAAAAGAGAACAGAACATGAAGAATTGCACTGGAAGAAGAATGGTTTAATAATTCTTATGAGAGTGAATTTCACTATTTATCTGACATCATGGAGTGGACTTCAAACGAAACGAATATGGCTTCTCTAGTACCACTTTGAGGTTTGAAACCAAACTGTTCCTTTCCTACTTCATTGCCAATTTGAATTTTGATTCTGTTGAGAAAGATCTTTAAGAGCAACTTGGTTACATGGCTCATAAGGCTAATTGTCCGAAAATCTTCACATACAATTACCTTAGGCTTCTTTTGGAATTGGCACTTATATACCCCCCCCCCCCAATAAAAGAGAAGAAAGTGAATTTCCGTTGCTCAAAGGGAAGCCGTATTCCCTTTGAGGATCACCAATTAAAAGCCCTAAAATCCTGTTCATAATCTTACCGTCATAGTGGGCCCTTCACCTTTGATCATGTGGTAGAAGATGGAGTAGACCGCTCCTGCGGGAATGCACACCATCGACGAGAGGGTCATACAGAAGCCGAGCCCGTTGGCCCAGCTCGGGTAGCCAGAGGAAAATGACAGCGGGGCCCAGTACACTATGTTGCCGATCCAAACGAGCTGAGAATAGAATGTATTTTACACGATTATTTGACAAATCTTTTGTTACCCTCTCTTCAAATTGGTTTTAATCACTCATGTGTGAAATATGCATCATATGAGTTCCATGAAATGAAAGAGGAGGATCTAAGCTTACCAATTTATGTGTCGTTTATTAATTATAATTGTGATTAAGTTATAGTAAAAAATTGTCGGTTTCGTTTTTTCTGGGACGCACTGTAGAGTAGAATAAAGAGAAAGTCGAGTCCTGCTTAATTCGAGGTTTAAATATTCATTGTGAGCTTTCTTATTTTTTGTCAGTTTGGAAGCGTACCCGGACACCTACCCCATGGACATCAAAACCCTAGGGCAGCCACCACCTAGGACAACTACCCCCGGACAAATACCCCCAGACAACTACCCCCGGACAACTACTCCCGGACAACTACCCTCTAGGATAGTTGTCCGAGGGGTAGTTTTCCTAGAGGATGGTTGCCGTGGGGTATTTTTCTGGGTGGTAGTTGTTCGGGGGTAGTTGTTCGGGGGTAGTTGTCCGGGGGTAGTTGTCCTAGGGGGTAGTTAACGGCGCGTACGGAACCCAAATCAGACTTGGGTTCCTCGAGCACCTTATTCTTTTGCATGCAATTACGATGCGTCGACTAGTTTACTAGTTTCGTACCTAGTGAGAGAGTATTTTAACTCGCAATATCTCTTTATAATATTGTTTGAAGCTCAAATATTCATTGTAGTATAGCAACTTGGAATCCTTAATATACAGTGCAAAATATATCCTATTCATTTCTACACTTTAAATATCAGTAGAATAAGGGCCATCTATATTCGGAGAGATATTTACCAGAGCAATAATAGGAACAGTGACTGGCCAGCAGATTATGTACCATTCAATCTGTTGCCATCTCAGCATCTCGGCAATGTCTCGGGAGAACTTTCTAACTCCTTTAAACAAAAGTGGGAAGAAAATTAAGAAGTTACACATTCCTTTCAATACTTTGATAATTTGCGATAATCTGAAGATGTCAAAAGTTACACTTAAAACTAGTTTTCATACGTTGTGACAGTGACTGACCAGCTTAACGATGTACCATAAAATGTCTACATCTTAGAATCTCGACAATGTTGTATGAGAATCGTCCCATTACCTTAGATACACACAAAAAATGTAAATACATAAATTAAAATTGAAAAATGGTCGAAGAGACACATGCAACATTTCTCTCTCTATTGCTATGCTACGCAGGTTTTAAACATAAAAAACACCCCACCCTTGTCTGTCTTAAGCTATTTCCTTCATCTTTCGATTCATTGAAGAAGGATCCTTCTTCTTCTTCGCTATAAGTACAGGCCACCGTCGGGTGTATTTTCCTACTGATGTAGGTGCTGTGCAGGTGTATACGATCATGTACTGTCTCAATAAAAGGTCTACATTGAACTATGTGCAGTTAAAAAGACATCCGTAGCTTAACGGAGCTGGATCTTGAGTACCTCTCTCTTTAATAGCAGAGAGGTACATGTGACGGCGGCCTGCGGTAGTGAGTTCCAGAGCCTGGTGACATCCGGATCTGGAGTAAATCGGGATCAGGGGCAGTTAGCCACAATTCAATGTTTTTTATTTGTCCAATATATACATTCAACATGGATAGTTGTTTCACTCACATGTAAAGTTAAGGCTCATCCACAGTTTACAAAGAACATAAATATGATACAAAACATGGTTTAACTTGGTGATGATAAAATAATAGTCATACATAATAATGATTTAAATGGGGTAATGGCTTGTTTCGTTTCCTTATGTCTGACCAAATCGATGAGAAATGTTTACCATAAAACCATCCGATGGCGATGCTCTCGAAGAAACATATCCAAACAATAGGGAAGGGACTATCCCCATAGTGGCTAAAGAGCGTGAAGACGTAGAAACCACCCTAAAATGTAATCAATAATAACAACAAATAATTATAATCATAATCATAATGATGATGATGATAATAATAATAATAATATTGATAACAATACTACTACTACTTCTACTACTACTACTACTACTACTACTTCTACTACTAATATTGATAACAGTACTACTACTACTACTACTTCTACTACTACTTCTACTACTACTAATACTATTACTACTACTATTACTACTACTACTGCTACTACTACTACTAATGGTAACGACATAAGTGATACCACTCGTCGCCGTCGTCCTACGAATCATGACCGATCCTATGATGAAGTTCCAACCACTTCTATCCCGGGCATAGCGACTAGCTGTGCAGATGTTCATGCCAGTAATTTTTTTTTAGTCAATCAGCCCATCGAACCTTTGGCCAACCACGTTTCCGTTGACTCTCAACATGACCTTGGGTAATGATCTTCTCCATGTTGTCACCTTCTCTCCTTGATATGTGTCAAAATACCGCAACTTGTTCTTATCTATCTTCTGGCATAGGGTGGCTTCCGCTCCAATTTGGTTCTTGACAAAATCATTTGATTTATGAGCTTTCCAGGATATCCTCAGCATCCTCCTCCAACAATACATTTCGAAAGCGTGGATTTTCTTTCTATCTGCTGCTCCAAGCGCCCATGTCTCTGACCCATATGTAGCGATTGGAAAGACCAAAGCAATTATCATATGAATATTGGTGTTTCTTCAGATCTCTGTCTTTCCAAATGTTAGTAAGGCTTATGGCAGATGATCTAGCCATGGCGAGACGTCATCCAATTTCTGGTGAGCTTCCACCACCATCAACAATCAGACAGGGTTGACTATTTCGATATCCTCTCCATCAGCTTGAATATGATGGTCATTCTTTCCTCCACATATCATAACCTTTGTCTTCTTAATAATGAGGTACAGTCCATATTCCTCACTGGCTTTTTGACTCTTTCAATAAGGCCAAATAAATACAGTATTGATAATAATAATAACAGTAAATATAATGCTAATGAAAATAATTATAATAATAATAAATGTATATAGTACTGGTTTCTTTCATAGCACTATATAGAATTGATGATCGTAAAATAAACACTAATAACAAAAATACAATTTTAATATCACACAGTTAACTACAATGTGAATACATGTAAATATGTTACAAGATACTTCTTGAACGATTCAACAGAGGAACGAGAACTTTGTCAAATCTGATTTCAAGTTGAACTCTGTAGAGGCAGGCGGAAATTGAGATAAACAGATTAATGAATATTGGACGAAAATCTGACATTCCCAAGAAGGAAGTTATACATTTTATAAGAAAATAAAATATTTATTATCAGGCCGATATTATCATACACTCCTCTATGAAATAGAATTGATGAATGAATTCTTCATCAACAGCCCTCAGAAGTGTAGAGCTGTTGTGGTCAAGTAGAAACGTCTTCAGATTGTGGATCACAGGGTTTGCAGTTCAAGTTCTCCAGCGGCACTAATGTCTTTTGCAAGACATCAATCTACATATGCCACTCTCCATCCAGGTGTTAAATGGGTACTGGTAGGGAACGAGTTCCTTGGATGCTGTGTGAGCACCGAAACCGGTAGCCTCGCGGAGCCGGGGTAAGCACCATGAGCACGTAACGTGCATGGTGAATATGTGCCTTATGAAAATATCCATTATCAATAAGTTTATTATTGGTAGTATTATGTTTTCATTAATTTATGTACTTGACCACTAAATATCTTTACGTGTCGATATCTTACCTGAGTTACCATACTAAGGCCAATCAGGAAGTTTACAAAGCAGACTCCCAACACGAATAGCCCTTTATAATACCCAATCCGCAGCGAGGTAGGGAAAAGATCCAAGACAGACGTGATGAACGCCTTCACCATGACGAGCTAACGTAGATAAAAGGATGATAAAACATTTTTAGTTCATGAAATGGGGAGTGTTGGTTGCGTTTTTAGGGAGAAAAATTATAAACTATGCTTTCACATCCACAAAGTCTTTTGCCGATATTATCAGAGTATCAAAACATTACATGATTTGAGAGGAACGAAGAATTATTTTTTTTCTCAAAGTTTTTGAAAATATTTAAGATGTTGAAAGGAATGACAAGGCTTAAATTAAGCGGATGAAAAAGGTCGAAACGGTTTAAAGGTTGAGAAAAAGATAAAAAGATTGAAGGTCGGAAATTGTTGAAGAAGTTTGAAGAAATTGAAGAAGGGTTGGCCTTTTCGGCCATTACAGACCTTACACAGTGGCAATGTTGTAGAGGTTGAAAAGGTTATCAAAGTTAAACATATTTAAAAGGGCGAATGGGAAATAAATTATAGGTCTTACTATTGGGAAATTAAGTATAGGTATAGGTGAAGCAAATGCAATCTATAGATAAAGATTCTCGATCGAGTCTTTTTTAAAACAAATATCAGGCATAGATTAAATTACATTCTGTTTCAAATCAATACATTCTGAAACCTGCTTATGGTACAAATACTGTTAAATGAAAATAGTCGAGTTAAAAACATTGAAATTTAAGGATTTTGGTATGATGATCCACAATGTCTTTCTTATAGCCATTTCGTTGATAGACATTAAACTTGCAAAGGCTGATCCAGAGGGGGTCAATGCGGTCCAGACCGCTCCGTTTTCCTTGTCAGAGATGTGTAAGCTTAATTTTTGCTACACATCATGATAGAAAATATGTGATGATTTTTGTTTTTGCTTGTCAGATATTGGTATTAAGAGTAAAAAGGGCAGTAAAGACATTCTGATGATATTTATGCCTCTAAGGGTACGTTTATGCTCAATTTTGAAGGCAGAATGAGCGATTTGAAACGCTCATCGTAAACGCTCATCGTAATCGCAGTTCCACGGTGTACTGTAAATGCTCTTTTCTCTGGCTCCTCCAGGCATGATTCTGGTTTATGCTCAATTTTGAAGGCAGAATGAGCGATTTGAAACGCTCATCGTAAACGCTCATCGTAATCGCAGTTCCACGGTGTACTGTAAATGCTCTTTTCTCTGGCTCCTCCAGGCATGATTCTGGCTGAGCCAGAATCATGCCTGGAGGAGCCAGACTAAGTGCAGTGCAGAGTCTGCACTGCGCATGCTATGTTGACCACATTTAAACGCGTTTACAAATGATTGTGCGGTTATGCTTCCCCAGAATCGCCGATTCAAAACGCACCTTTTTGTGAGTTTACGATCGGCGAACATGACCGCCATAATTATGATCGCCGTTTTCTGCGATTCTCCAAAATGAGAAAGGACGCAACCGTGTTTTGAACTAAACGCGTAACAAATGCCTCATTCTGGCCAGAAAAATTTGACCATAAACGTACCCTAATACCCCATTCACAGTGGTTTTGAAATTTGTAGCGGCGTTGTAGCGGAGCGGCGACACCGCCATAACACCGCTACAAATGCATTCACAGTAGAAAAGTTATCCCGCTGCAGCAGCGGGATAAATATCATGTACCCATTCACGCTGCAGCGGGTGATTTTTATTACCTCCGTAACAAACACGTGTATGCATGGCTCATGACCCGCGAGTGACCCCGATATGACCGGAAATACTTCAGCGCGGGGTTTTCGATTGCTTGACATTGCGCGCGCCAGCAAAAGGTAAACATGTCAAGTTGCTTTTTGTATCCTCGATCATATTACTTTTTAAAAAACTAGCATTTTTATTGCTTCCAGTCAGAATATTTTAATTTTTTGAAGTGTGAAATATTTTTATTTGGATAATTATAATATCTACATAATAATAAAATCAATTTGAATCCACTGGTTACTTTATTTCTATTTCACTTTATGTTCCCCATTGCTGGAGAAAAGAGGTCAGTGATAGGTAAGTAAACAAATCACACGTGTTTGTCGCGGTGTTATAGCGGAGAGCCTTCACACTGAGTAAACACCGCGACAGCAGCGGGACTGTCCCGCTGCTGTAGCTAGGCGAACCTAGCGATAGTTTGTCGCGGCGTTATCGCGAGGCGGTGTTATCCCGCGATAGTTTATAACGGGTCCGAGCCTTCACACTGAAGACAACACCGCGACAGCAGCGGGACAGTCCCGCTGCTGTCGCGGTGTTTGAGGCCACTGTGAATGGGGTATTAGTCTTGTCAGAATTCTGACCTCCGCCATCCCACTTAAGCCAAATCCTAGTCCAGCCTCTGTACCGTTTCCGTGTCGCGCGCCTAATCAGCTGATCAAATAACACACCCTCAACGTGGAATGTAGACCTAGCCATTCCCCTCATAATGTACCAACTGACCTCTAGAGGTCAGTGAATGTACCACGATAATGGACGGAAATTTGGGGGATCGCGCGATCAGTGGAGGGACCGCACTGTGTGTGGGATCGATGCGTGTGATAGAAGAATCAAAACAAAGAACGGACTGAAACTGGACTACTCCAATCCTTGTTCCTTCCCCGATTACCTGAGAGTTTAGCCCAATCTTTAGGACCACTAGGAAGAAGAAAATTGCCGAGACCCTTGATGAAGGCATTGCAGCAAAAGCACGCGGAAAGACCACGAAAAATAGACCAGGACCTAAAGTAATCAAACAAAATCAAAATTAATGATAAAAAAGAAAACGAAATAACTGATTTATATCAAAGGATGTACATATAAATATACAGAATGAAAATTATTTAAGCGGGAGGGGATAATCATTTTGAAATTGTTTCTCACCACCAAGATTTATCATTGGTAGATTAATGTGGTACTCAGTAGCCCACAACGTATTAATTTCAAACGTTCTACGAAGCAAGGGGGGGGGGGGGGCCGGAGGGGAGAAAGCCCTCAAACTCCTCATAATCATCGATTTTCGCAAACAAGAATAAAATATACAGTTTTAAATGAAGTTAGTAATACCCCTTGTTAATTAATAATTTGTAAATTCTAGAGGGAAAGGTATACTAGTTGAATAACGGCCTTTGTTATATAAATATCTTTTATAGCTTTAAAGGTGAAGTTCATAGAAAATCACAAATATGTCAACTAATGTATCACTACAAACTGGTAAGCTAACAGATGGCCATCGTACAAGTTTTAGGTCAACTACGTATCGGGTGATTTATAAAAATACAAATACAACCACCTCCATAGCAGCTGGGATATACGAGAGATTCGCCGGAAAAATAACGATGTTTTAATGACGTCACTATATGGACCAATACTGCCCAAGCAGACGACATCCCATAAAGAATGCATATAATTGCAAAGCTATTATTTGTCAAATTATGATGAGTTTAGTGTATACACATGTAATGGCATGTCAAACTATTCAAAAGGGGATATGACCCGATTCTGATAACTAAAATCTTTTGTTTGTAAATACACAGGATAGGAGTTAATTAACAATCAAAGAAACCAGACTTTCTAATTGAAAACCCCCCGGAATGATATTAGGGACTTTTAGAATTGCACGTTGACAGCCTTGACTGCAACGTGTGACGTCATTTTAAGGCACTGCGCATGCGTCACGTCGTCTCAGTCGGCGATCGAGAATGCGTCAACCTTGATTTTCCTAAATCTAGTACGGTACTAGTATATGCCGCGTGCGCATAAAATATACAGTTCCTCAGGTAGACAAAGGAACATCCCTTCCCTGCTATTATGTAAAAATGTGTAGAACAGGTGTCACATGCATGTTCACCTGTTCTACACATTTTTACATAATAGCAGTGAAGGGATGTTCTACCACGTAGCAATAGGCCATTTTCGTAATGTAACCAAATTTAATGCACAGGTCTTTGTGAAGTGCCTCAATACAAACTATTTCATTCACCTGATAGGAAAAAGAGTATTTCAATAGACAGAATTCTAACTGCATACATTATAGTTGTTGCCAGCTAGGTTGGACAAACATTATGGTTTGACCTACCTAGCAACACTTAATATATGCAGTTGCATTCTGACTATTGAAATACTATTATTCATATCAGGTGAATTAAATAATTGTATTGAGGCACTTCACAAAGACCTATGCATTAAATTTGGTTACATTACGAAAATGGCCTACTGTTGAGAGTAGAATGAGGAACTGTATATTTTGTCCTCTTTCTTTGTCTGTCATGTTCATATAGTGTTACTTCCTACATGCATGTATATCGTTGAGTGCAATCTAAAAGATTTCTAATTGAAGTCAACATGGGCAGTTGAGTACGTTGACACGCATGGTCAGTTGGCGTTCGTCGTGTTCTCGTCCACTCATTCTAAAAGTCCCTATTAAGGACGGCATGTGTTCCCTCTTGAAACGCCGAACATACCGCGGTGTGTGCAGCTGAATATACAATGGCGTCTTATTTTGTTTATACGCGACAGATTCTTTTATTTTGTATCGCTGCATTTGTCATCAAAATAAAAACATGCGCGGGGTTTAGAGTGAGGTAATAGATTATACATTTAGCCTGACGGTAGTGAAGTAAGAAAAAGAACTCAAGAGAAGATGAAATTACAGGAACTGAAAATGTGTGAGATGCCATGCGACATCGTCTGCTTGTGCAAATCATGTCCATACTGTGATTTCACACATCTCACCAGCGTTCGGAGAGCTCTTCAGGTGCTATGCAGGGGCTGTATTTAAGCGTTTTGTAATTTTGTAATTTTGTAATCTTTACTTCGAATGTTTCCAAGCATTAAATTTTGATAACCTTGTCGAATCGAAGTGTCAACTTTGCAATAATGAAAATAAAGTTAGTTTTTAAAATCAATGAATATCTACTTTAATATGGCACATTTTCAAGAAACATAGATTGGGACGAATGCATTTTCACAAACATACACAAGTTATACCGGTAGCAGATTAATACAACCTCTCCTCCCACCAGTAGGCGAGTGATGCTTGGGTTATGGTTAAGGTAAGTGGGTGGGAGGGGTGAAGCCCTCACCCCTCCTCACCACAGTAGACAAGTGGTGTTAGGGTTAGGGTTAAGGTTAGACGGTGGGAGGGGTGAAGCCCTCAACCCCTTTCCCAGCAGTAGGACAGTGGTGATATAGGGTTAGGGTTCAAGTTAGAGGGTGGGAGGGGTGGAGCCCTCAACCTCTCCTCCCCACCAGTATGTCAGTGGTGTTAGGGTTAGGGTTAAGGTTAGAGGGTAGGAGGGGTGAAGCCCTCACCCCTCCCCACAAGAAGGTCAGTGGTGATACAGTTAGGGTTAAGGTTAGCGGTGGGAGGGGTGGAGCCGTCATCCCCCTCCTTACCAGTAGGCCAGTGGTGCTAGGGTTGGGGTTAGGGATACAGGGTGGGAGGGGAGGAGCCCTCATCCCCCTCCCCACCAGTAGTTCAGTGGTGATAGGGTTAGGGTTAAGGTTAGAGGGTGGGAGAGGTGTAGCCCTCATCCTCCCCCCACCAGTAGGTCAGTGGTGTTAGGGTTAAGGTTAGGGGGTAGGAGGGGGTGAAGCCCTCACCCCTCCCCACCAGTAGGTCAGTGGTGTTAGGGTTAGGGTTAAGGTTAGACGGTGGGAGGGGTGTAGCCCTCAACCCCTTTCCTACCAGTAGGTCAGTGATGCTAGGGTTAGGGTAAAGGTTAGAGGATGAGAAGGGTATAGCCCTCAACATCACTTCCCCACCAGAAGAACAGTGGTGCTATGATTAGGGTAGTGGTGCTGACACTACTCTTACCTTTATCAACGGCTCCACTTATTGGGATATCCTCAGCGAACGCTACGAAGCCAACGAATGAAGAGACGATGATAACACTGTAGATACTTGTAATAACATTTAAGAAGGCTACGATCATGCTGTCCCTAAAGACAATCAATAATCACAAAATAGCCTTGAAGATAATGATGAGTGAATATTATGCAGGTACATTGTAAAATAAACAATCTAGAAGCAACTGGGAAAGGCTGATTATGGAGTACAAGAGAATCGATGTTTATAATAAACAAAGCTTGTAATGATCAACATCAGTAGCAGATTTAGGGTTAGGCTTAGGGGGGGGGGGGGGGGGGGGGGGGGGGTGATTCCCCTTTTCTTCAAGGCCCCCTCACCCCTGAACAAAAATCGAAAGGCACGTATAGAAATGAAAGCAAGAACTTTCATGTTCCATAAAATCCCCTCCCCAATGCTCCCCTTTTATTTCCTAGAACCGCTTCAGATAACATAAATAAAAAGACTCATTTTGCGAAATATCACACAGAAATCAGTTATGGGACTGCACATAAATGTTTGGTCCACAATTTTCATCTTATTCTTGTGTTCATCACGGCGTTTTAATAGCGATCCTTTTCAGGAGACACTTTCACTATGATATTCTTTCAAACTGACCGTATACAAAGAATGATAAAGCTCATAAATATTTTTCAACTGTCCGAAAACCCAACCTTCTATTTAAAGAATATTTTTCTTAAAGGCATAGACCGGTAGTGGTAAAATTGCGGTTCAAGTGTTTTGGGTGCAAAATAACCATTCAATATTGTTTAAATATTGCCTTCAGAGGTTCTAGATGGCAATACTTCAAACTAAATTCGCAAAAACAGAAATATATGCCCAAAATATGTTCAATGTTGGATATATATCTATATATCTATCCAGGCCGGATCGATATGATAATTTACCAAATGTATCAATTAGTAGGCGGTTTCCCGGCAAAATTTGTATCATCATGTATTAGCAAATCATATTCTTTCAGATGATAAGTAATAAGAGCTTCCATTTCTTTTTTTTGAGAGGGTGGCGTTTCCAAAACTGGTCTATACTTTTAAGACATACCGGGTAGAAATCGAGACAAATTAAAATCATCAAAATGAATGAACGTAGGTCTACCATATCTGAATTGAAAATACACTATGTTTTCTTCCCGCAGCTATGATCTTATTGCAGTATATATTACTTCCCTTGAGCGGATAATAAAGGTCATTCATCTGTGTTCTTTTCCATTATTTCCTCTTCTCTCTCTGTCTCTTTCTATCTCTATAAGATTATATCGTGTAGCAAAACAAAAGATAAAGGAAATCAGTAGAAAAAGTTTTAAAAAATGAATGAATCAATAAAATGGATCCGGGCTTACTGGGCACAAGGTCCGCGGTTCGAGACCTGCCGTGGCACTAATGTCCTTTGGCAAGGCATTGATCTACATTTCCCACACTCAACCCAGGTGATGTAAATGGGTACCTGGCAGGAATTAATTCCTTGAAATGCTTGAGCGCCGTAATGGCAGCACAGCTAAAGCCGGGGTAATAATCTCCTTAAAAAAACTGAGTGTTATTATTATTATTATCCGAAATAACAAATCATCGATCGCAAATAAGTCAGTTTGCCTCCCAAAATTGTAAAAAAGAAGAAGAAGATTTTTCAACGGTTTCCGTAAGTTCCGGCGGGTCATACTTTTAATATTGCTACATGTATTACAGCTTTCCTGTAAATAATAACTTCCGGTTATTTTGGGAGACTGTCGGCCATTTTGGACGCCATTTTGGATCTCCCGATTTTCTGGTAGGTATAACCTAATGAGTAATGTAAGTGGTATAAATGGATTCTTCGAACCCTAAACCTAGGTATTGACACCAAAATTAAATCTTTTAAGATGATTATATCATGATTTACAACTATTTGAGGCTTGGGTGGCCGTCTTGGACGCCATTTTGAAAACCACCACTTTCCGGGGGTTTATTTTCTTAGATTATTCATATGTTGTTTCTGATGTCAAACACCACCGGAGACCGTTGAAAATCCTTTTCTTGCCGCAACGGTTGGGGGTCTAACCATAATTATATTGACCCGACTAATTTGTGATTGATGATCTGTTCATTGGCGGCCATCTTGGACGCCATTTTTAAAGTAACCACTTTTCCGGTGTCCGATTTTCTTAGATTGTTTATAGCATGTTGTTCCTGATGCCACTACCGGAAACCGTTGAAAGACGTGTGTTCGCTACTTTGTTTGGAGGTTGGGGTATCATTTATCCCGATTAATTGACCTGAATTTACACTTGCATGAACTTAAACAAAAATTTAACCGTCTTTTTCGAATACCTAGTGCGAAAACAGTGGAATATATGAATTAAAGGTAATATTTGAAAATTTCAGACGGTGAAGTTCTGCAAACCCTGAGAACAATAATTTCATGAAGAATATGATTCTTCCAATGCGGTTGAAATAAATATTTTATTTATTAATCATTTGCTGGTCTACTTACTGCTCCACGAAACTAATGGTTTTCGTATGGAGTTCCGGTGCTAGCAATTCAATCAAACTCTTGAAATCTTATAGCTGATCGAGCGATTCTGAGTTTGCCTTAGTGCCCGCTGCTTTTCTTTTCTTGCCACGAGAAGAGAATATTACAAGCAAGTGTTTTTGTACCAACCTATAGAAGTTGTAGTGGAATTTGTTGAAGCTTCCAAGGGCTGTGTAAGCACCTAGTCCAATCGAGAAGGAATAGAAAACTTCTGTTCCAGCGGCTATCCACACCTTTACAAACCATTTGATGAAGAAAAATAAAGTCAAATGCCTGTCGATTGCTATGTATTTCATGTGCTTATATTGTAAACTGAATGCAGTTCACCTATTGGGCCGGGATTTCCAGTTAAACCATTCAACAACAACAACAAGAAAGTGGATGGAGACCAAAACAAAAACAACAACAAATAAAACAAAACAAAACAATGAACCGTAGACCGCCATCATAGTAAAGCGTCACTTATGATGGCAGTCTCCTGGACTTTTGTCCACAGATATTTAGGATAATACTTCAAATTCATAATAATATAGTATAGAAGAAATTTGTTTATATATGTATATATTGTATTAATCACAATTTGAAATGAAGTTATATTATTAGCGTATTTTTATTATACCTAACGTTTACATTTTCTTTGTTATTCAGTGTATTTTGAAAAAATGCAGATATCAATTCAAATCATGATTTTAAAAAGGGAGATTATTTTGCCTATTAAATTCAGACACGGTTAAGGTAGCGCTGCATAGTTTTACTCGTTCTGAGCTTTACAAATATTGGAATGACCAGTTTGAAAACAAAGAGAAATATTGATTATATTAAAATAAACAAATCCTAAAGGCCCGAATTCACAAAGATGGTTTGTCGACAAACCTAGGTTTATGTGCGTCATATGACGCGTTCCGATGCATTTCAGACCAAGGTTCAGACAAATTTTAGTCCGAAACGCGTCGGAACGAGTCATGTGACGCACATAAACCTAGGTTTATCTACAAACCTCCTTTGTGAATTCGGGCCACAAAGTTAATGGTTAATGTTGTTTGCTTTGATACACATTAACCTTTTCTCTCGAGGTAGATTCATAAATGCTCAAGACCACCTAGAACTAGAACAAGTCGACTGCACTAAATTTCTGGGACTTTATATTGATAGTGATTTATCTTGGAAATCCCACATTTCTAATTTGAGCAAGGTCCTCTCAAGAAATACTGGTATACTTAATAGACTTAAACACTTTTTCCCCAGTAAAATTTTATCAACAGTTTATTCTGCTATAATAACTCCATACCTCACCTATGGAATTCTCGCCTGGGGTAACGCTAGTGGAAATCTAATAAATATGCTTTTTCACATTCAAAAACGCGCTATTAGAAATATTAATCATGTAGGATACCTTTTTCACACCAACAACCTGTTCCATGAAAACAGAATCCTAAAATTATCAGACTTATTCTATTGCAATGTTGGTATATTCATGTACAATTTATCTACTAATAACCTACCTGAAATATTTGTACAAATGTTCCGGAGAAATAGATCCCTACATGATTATCCCACATGTCAGAGCAACGCATACCACCTTCCACGTACCCGAACTGTTTTTGCCCCCAAAACGATTATGTTTACAGGACCCAGTTACTGGAATGCCCTCCCGTTAGAGTTAATTGAAAGTCAGTCCTTATATACTTTTAAACGTAAACTGAAGGAACTGCTTTTCAAAGCATATCTTGATGTCAATGTATATATGACCTTTGTGTGCAAGCACGTTGTGTCTGGTTGTTGTGCTTTCGGAAATACGTATTTAAAAAAAAAACAACAACAACAATAAAACATCGTTACTTCTATATCCGAGAGTGCGACGGCTGACACAGTGTGCTTGCTCGCTTCGTTATTCTATTTATGTATGTAATATACAAATGTATTCATTTTACTATTATCTGTAATGTTCGTTTACCAGCTGAGCACCCATTGTATGATAATTTAAGTACGTGTACTTTTATCTACACTTAAATAAAGGAAGGGATAATATAAACAGCACCACTGCAAGTTTATTATTATTTCCTTTTTATTTTTTGATTAATTTAGACTGGTCACTATTACATGCATATCCGTCCTCCATTTATTACCACAAATACTTTTACTGGGGCCTACAGCCTTACAAGCTTGCTTTCATGTAGTTCCTATCAAATTTCTCTTAGTTAAATCACTAATTCATATTGACCACTTATCTTTGTTATTATTATGTATCATTGAAAAAAACAATTTTGTACTTCATTTGAAATATATGTATGTTTATGAAATAAATGAAATGAAATATAAACGAGTTAATGGTATTTATATATGTTCAAGGAGTTTCAAGTACATGATCTCTCGCATTTATCCTTATATATACGTGTTCTTGTCAGAATAAACAAATGATTAAAAAAGAATATATTTAATGTGTATATATATGAATATATATATATTATATATGTAATATAATATATACAATACAAGAAATAATAATGCTCCGTAGACGAAGATATTGTTCTATAAATTGTCGCCCTTAGGGCTTTGTCAAGTAATGATTTTATTTTATGAGAATGAGATGCGCTTATATCGATGCATAACAATACAATTTTCAAAGTCAAATAAATTAGTCAAATTCAAATGATTACATAACATGGGAATACAGGTCCTCTAATCAGAGAGAAAACACGATAGGAAATACCTTCGCGAAATCAACAGATGCAAGATATTATACAAGCTTTGAAGACCGTTTACCTGTGTTCTTCCAAGTAGATATATGTTGGGGTAGAGAAAAAACCGCAAACCATCATACGCTCCTGGTAAAGTGACCCCACGTATAAAAAATGCGGCTAGTACAAGGTGTATATAGGGAACGGTGACATAAGCTATCTGCAAATTAAGAGAAGTAAGAATAAAAATTATACCACATCTAGTTCGGTTTCAACAATTTTACACTCAATATGGTCATAAAGTGGGAATTTCTATACAAACTTTATTTTTAATTTTTCATCATCATCCTCATCACCATCACCGTTTTTAATATTATTTTAACACCCATCCCCCGGACTATCACGTTATCAAGCAAGCGCTTTACTGTGATAACCCTTCTTTTGCAGGCTTCTTCATGAATAATTCTTGGTAGTGTCATCAGTAACATGTTGTTTTAATGTCAACTTTTGTTATTATTACACTTTGTACACGTTCAAACAAATGTCGTATCGCTGAAATGTAATTTGATTTGTCTGTTGCACAAGACAATACATTTAATTCAATTCACTTTTAAAAAAGGCAAGTTGAAGGAAAAAAAACATGATTAATTTCTGATCGAAATCACATGATAAAAGAATGATCATTGGTATTAAAAATAAGAAAACAAAACAAAAAGAAGTAATATACAAATTATTTCTCGGATTTACGGGTCGAATTATGAATTGAGTGCACCTTTTAAAATGAATGTACTGTTTTTAATCAAACCAAGCTATTTACACTAGTTTAACTACAATAAGCCTTGCTTAAATGTTTATGCTCACAGCCAACAATAAAAAGTAAATTAAGCAAATGGGTACGTAGTGTGACCAATGTAGCTAAAAAGCCGAGATATTTTAGCAGTAGAACAGGGTGTCTAGCTCATAGTGTGACAGACATATTCGTTGTACAAGGACCCACTATATTATTCCTCTTTTCTTCATTAAAATTATTATCATTATCATCGTCACTATTATCATCATCATTATTATCATCATTATTATTACTATTTCTATTATTATCATTATTATTGTAAGTATCATTATTATTGTAATTATTACGAGCACAATCATCATCATCGTCATCATCATTACAATTACAAGGAATGAACTGTAAACAAATCATTGCAATTTCGTATTTTGGGGGTCATTTTTTCGTCATAAAATTATTACAGACAAATAAACAAACAATAAACAAAAATATAAAATTACCTTGCCGCTCAATTTGACTCCCATCCAGAGGCCAAAGTAGATGAGCGTCCATGCGAGGAAGAGGTTTAGGGCAAGATACCAAACAATACGTCCTACGTCATGTATTCCGTCTGTCTGATTTAGCACATTGAATCTAGCAAAGGAAAATGACAACTGATAAAACTAGATCCCATTTTTCAGTTCACTTCATCTTTATTTCATTTTGACTATCGAGTTTTCCTAACATTCACTAATTTCTTGACACTCCTTTTTCTACTAAGAAATACGAATTTTTTCTCAAAGTACACTTTAATTCAAAGAATACAGAAAATAATAAAGAGTTATCCTGACGGAAGCGTTAACAACTACAACATCAGTTTGTGGTATCACTGAGGCTGCAAGGTGACATCAGTTCAGTTCATTTCGGTTTGTTAATATCAACATACACAATGTACAATGCAGTAGTCCAGGGACCAATGATGCAATGTTTACATAAAATATGCATACAAACAGAAATGATTATAATTTCGAGGTATGGAATCCTCAGTAGTTAAAGGAGTGTCAAGAAATTTGTGAATGTTAGGAACACTCGATATTCAAGATGAAATAAAGATGAAGTGGAGCCCCCCCCCTCCCCATCATGTTCTATTTTCCCAGATTTTTCTGCCATATCCTGCAGTAGACTTAACCAGTAATACACCCGGATGTGGCTTTAGACAAAGATGTTGACTTTACTCATTTTCAGACAGTAGCGGTTCTAGAGAGGGGCTGGAGGGGACCCTTCTTCCCTCCAAGCCCCCTCAAAGTATTGATTATAAATGAATTTAAGCGAGGCACATGTAGAAAATGAATGCAAGGGCTCCAGGCTCCTCCCTACCCGTCATTCTTTTAGAAACTCGCCTGATGGGGAGGGGGGGGGGGAATGACTGCGCCCCTCAAATAGCTTTAAAAAACAACATAATTTCAACCGGAGCCCCTTTGTATATTCTATTCGCAAGAGGGTGTATGCATGGGCGTCGCTAAAGGGGGGGGGGGGGGGGGCTGTGGGGGTGCGACACACCCACCTGTCAGGAAATTGTGGGTAAAATTGCGCTGACGTCGGGAAAATTGAGAGAATGGGGAGGGAAAGAAAAGAAAAAAGAAAAGGAAAAGAAAGGAAAGAAAGAAAGAGAAAGTAAGAGAAAAGTAAGAAAGAAAAGAAAGTAAGAGAAAAAAGTAAAAGAGGAAAGAGAGGAAAGAAAGTAAAAAAAAAGAAAAGAATGAAAAGGAGTAAGAAAAAAAGAGAAAAGGAAACAAAAGAAACGGGGGATGAAAGAGAGGAGAGAGAGAGAGAAAGAGAGAGGGGGGGGGGGGAAGAGCCTGAGAGAGAAGGGGTGGGAGTAAGAGAGAGAGAGAGGAGAGTTGTTAGGTGGAGTCGTCTCGTCAAGGGAGCAAGAAAGATACGCATATATGTTGCTGTGTCGGATCAGCTGTGTCGATTCTGGCTCGATTCATGCTCGATCCTCGTGTACGTTATCAATTAAAGTTTAATGGTCTAAGGCATGGCTACACAAAGAATTTTTTCTGTTTGAGATCGGGACAAAATGCAATGAATTATTGATAATTTAGTGCATTTTCTTTGTTTTTTTTTGTATTTGTGGGGGCGGCCCTGTAACCTAGCCTCCGTTGCGTACAGTCACGATTCAGTGGCTAAGCACTGGCCTTGTTACTGTGAGGCCCCATGATCAAAACCGTGTCGATGTGCTGTAGTGCCCTTTTGCGAGGCATTAATCCTCGCTACTTTCAGTTATGACTTAAGGACGTAGGTCCCCTAGTTGATTAGCATAGTAGCACACAATGCTTTAACAGTCAAGCAAAACAAACACTCACAAATTATTATTCAATACAATCTGAGAATATATACTATTATCTAGATCTATTAAGAATAAATCATTGTCAAAATCGTTCCATAAATTGGGTTAAAAATAATTATTCCACCTTTATGACCAACAGTGTATTTGTCGGGCTACTTTTGTCGGTAATTGGTAGCCTCTACACCCCCACTGAAAAAGTTCTAGCGACGCCCCTGTGTGTATCCGGAATGGAAATCCGGTGTGTAGGTGGCGTGTACCGTCTGTTCCGATCTAGGCATATTTTGAGTTTGATATCGGATATCACATAATCCAGACTTTATTCACATACATTCAGCGATGATATACCTGTATATCTACAATTTGGCATACATCTTGGTTAAATGGTTCTGACCCCGTTTTAAGTCAACGGATTGTAGATCACAAGGTAGAGAGTTCAAATCCCGGGCCAACGCTAATGTTGTTTTCAAAAGCCGTTAATCTACAATTGCCACTCCCAACCCAGGTGTAAATGGGTACCCAATGGAAATCAGATTTCGATGTTAGGGCTTCCACTCCAGGAGAGGTAAATACATTTTTTTTTAAATGGGCGCTATTTACTTTTACGGGTCGGCTCTATAAACCGGGGTATTAATCAAATATCGAAGTGCCATGATACATGTGCATTATTATTATTATTATCATTATTACTATTATTAATATTAGCATGATATCGCTATTATTACTGTAGTCATTCAATGAAAGGTGAATTTTAGTCATATGAATACAGTATAAAAAACGTTACTGGAAGGAATAGCCTGGTTTAGTAACATATTTAAAGTTAAGAAAGTTTTTATTCAGAGGACCTAGTCATGAGTTATCCCATTCACCTGTTATTAATGAAAGAACTACAATACTTGGAATCCAGTATGCATACATTACTTGTTGAAATGTCTGGGAAGCGCCGAACAAGCGTTCGGTTTATCAAGAATAACCTCGTCTGAAAAGTATGTATACAATTTGAATATGTTAGTAAACCGGTCTAAGTGGGAAACGTTGATGATATAGTAGTATTGATACTGTGAGTTTTAGAATCATCATCATCATCATCAATATCATGAAACTTACCTCCAGAACTCGTGGGCAGGGTAGGTGGTTGAAGGGTAATTATAAGCACATTTGTCAGGGTTATCTGAAGACCCTGCTACATCCCTACTGTTCCACGATGGGGCTCGCGGTGCTTCCGTTGGATACGTATCCCACTTGTTGCCGATGATATAGGTTCCGTTGACGCACACCCATTTAGACTAGAGTCAATGAATTCAACGTGATACAGTATAACAACAACAATGGTTAATACCATATTTATTATCATTTTTATTATCATTATTATCATCATTATCGCGATCGCAACTACCTTCGAAAATCAGCCAAAGGCAATTCCAATGGCCTTAATTTGTACATCACCTTTTGGGATGTGCGAACATTGCAAAGACGCGTGACGTAATAAGGGAGTTTACAGATACAATATGCGCATGGGCAGATAAAGGTCATTTGTACCAAAATGGTAAAACCCACAGAGATGAATACTGGATATGCGCTCATGAAAGTTATGTGACATTATTCATTCATGCACTAACGGTACATTCTATGATACGCAGGTGGAGGTATTCTTTTCAAGAGGTCAAACAAAAGGTATTCATGAAGCACATCTAGGACTTTGGCAGACATTATTCAAAAGATGCTCAAAGTGGAACTTCTCCATGTGTAAAAGATCTGTGGATATTTGGGGTCATTTGTACTATGTGCTATCTGTAAACTCCCTTATTCGAACAGGATTTCTGGGGGATATACAATAAGTTGATATTTCGAAATTAGTGGCGATCGTGTTTATCATTACTTGTATCATTAACTCAACTCAAACTTCCCATCTAGAGCTATGCACGAACACAAAGACTTTCGAGAAATCAACCGAAGCCCTTGGCCTCAATAGCCTTGTCCATTACCCACTGGAATGTGCGATAAATGTATGATAAGGGAATCTGAATAGAACTTATATGTGATATACATGTACCATAGGGTATTGGAATAGACAATTTTCGTTATGGAATCAAATTTCATGCACAAATCTTTTCTAAGTGCCTTGTTACAATGTATTAGGCGCGTTATAAATGTGATCTATTATTATTATTATTATATTACAAATTGTTTCATTCACCCGCTTAACTACGAATAATAGTATTTCAATAGTATTTCAATAGTGAAATGCGAATTACAGACTTATGACTTGTCCTACCTAACAACACATTCGTCCGAATTCACAAAGGAGGTTTGTCGACAAACCTTGGTTTTCGTGCGTCATATGACGCGTTTCGACGCGTTTTTACAAACCAGGTTTGTGAAAAATGCGTCAAAACGCGTCATATGACGTACATAAACCTCGGTTTGTCGACAAACCTCCTTTGTGAATTCGGGCCATTATGTTAGCAAGTTGCATTCTGTCTATTGAAATACAATTCGAAGCCTGTGAATAGAATAATTTGTAAGGAGGCTCTTAAGTAAGATTTCTGCATTAAATGTTATTACATTTTTGTTTGTTCCCTAGATACAGATATACCAGATACTTGTCGTTGTCGTATAAGTTTGCCATATTTGGTTTACCAGGGGGGGGGGGGGTGGGGGTGACTTGTGTGCCCGACTCCCCCCCCCCGATCCACCACTGAGGAAGCTTTAAATAATGGGATGGAGTGGGGGAGGGGAGGGATGTACAGAGTCTAGACTTACGGAGCTTTCAAGGCATGAAGGTGTGTTCCATACATTATTGCATCTCGTCCAGGGGAGCTCACCGCCAAGGCACGAACTGTAGAGGTAGTATAGAGTCCAAGCCAGGATGACGTTATGGTAGATGGTACGCCACCAAGCAACGACAGTGGTGGCGACACCAATACCTACGATGATCAAATTAAAGGCGTTTTCAGGAGTGGGCGTGGTAAACCGCCACAAAAAGAGCCACCCGGGTTTTTGTACATGTAAAATGAATAGCAACTATGAGCAACAAAGGACTTCTGCGTATTCACTGAGATCCGTGTATTGTACACGTAACGTCATCACTAAAAAAAAAATAAAGCCGTGATTATGCCGCGTCATTTCTGTACGAGCCTTGGAGTATTACAAAAAACAAAAAAAAAAGCGTTCAACATATATTTTATAAAAACTTACCGGCTCCAGCTAGGCTACCGATTTTGCTGTATGCTCACAGAATTTATGAAACACTTCCTACCAGCCAGGTATCCATGTAGTAATACAAGGTTCAAGGTTTCAAGTTTTTTAAATATTTTGTCCACATAATATAATCAAATGAATATGCAATATATACAAGCGTTCAATAACACAATATTAAACAAATGATACGACAAATAATTAAACAATTATTCATATGAATCATTTAAGATTTGGAAGGTGGTGTAAACATAGTGGAGGTTCTATTAAAAAAGCATGGCTTGTATTTTATAGACCCCTTGAGAATAAAAAAGTTACAAGTGCTCTGTAATAAAATATATATTTAAAAATACCTTGGTTGATTCGAATGTGGGAAATGTCAAACTGATGACTTGCCAAAGGACAGTGGTACAGGTACGGGGCTCGAACCCACGGCCTTCGCATCTTAACCCTAATAAGGCCGGGGGGGGGGGGCATTATGGCCCCCACCTCAAGGATTTTTCCGATTGCTCGAGAACGCATATGGATGGTGGCCCGCCGCTCGCTGACTTTTTTCTTTCGAGTCTTGCGCATCTTAAAAAAAAAATGAAAATCGGACCTTCAATTACAAGGTCAGGTGACCTTTTGTCTTCGCGTGTCAGCCCGAAAAGCGCTCATTTTTGTGATTTGTGTACAAAACATATGGAAATGTCATTTTTCCTAAAATAGATTAAACATTGGTTATTGAGTCTTGTTTAAAGTTTAGGTGGTTGTTTTGGGAGTCAAAATAGTTGAATTATAGTAAGAAAGGAAATAAAACAACAAAAACAATAAAATACATAAGTTAAACAAAACAATGAAATATATAAGAAATTGTAAAAACAAGAAATAACATAAGGAATAAGCTGGCTCTTTCAACTTTTTTTGTCGTATTTTTATTTCAAATGGTCTGATAAATATATGTAGTGAAAAAAATGCTTAAATATGAATAATATATGATTTATGGGTAAAAATGTGATTTTATGACTTTATTTGCATAAATTACCATAAATATGCAAATATGCAAATTTTTCTAAAAATTGAAATCATCATATTATTCTATACACTTCACTTGACATGCGTGCAAATTTTCGCGGAGATCGGCCGCTTTGCGGCCGAGATCCTAAGGGGGGGGGGGGGAGAGGGGCCATAATGGCCCCCCGGCCCTACTAAGAACTCAAATAGCTCGGCCTTATTAGGGTTAAGTCAAGTGTGTAAAAGAGTGAAAGAGGCAAGTAATGCTCATGCGCTAAACACTGAAAAAATAATGTCTGGAAGCTTTAGACCGCTCTTTGCTCACATATTCAAATCGATTTTTGTTTTCTTTCCTAGGGACCTAGTGACGAGTGTTTTCATCAATCCGTTTTCAATGAATGAACTACAATACGCGGAATCCAGTCTGCGTACATCATTTGTTGCTATGTCGAGCAACCCTCGTACAAACGTTAGTGTTTTCAAGAACAACCTTTGTTTAAAGAGTATCCCAATAATGTGAATATGTTGGTAAACTGATCTAACGCAAAAGGTTGATTTTGTAGTTCATACAAAATAATGAATAATCCGAGGTAAGGAATAATAATAATATTAATACTTATAAAGCGCATTATAAAACAAAAGTTTCTCTACGCGCTGTACAAGCATCAATTACGAGAAATGTAATCATTCAAAAGGAATAAAGAAAGAGAAATATACAAATCTGATAACTACTAAAATGACTAACTCATAATGGTTAGGAGCCAGAGCAAAATAACACTGAGTTCCTATAGGAAATATATTTATTCAGATGGTCATATCTCAGCCAATACCTAACATATACAATTGGTTTTCGACATTTGGAAATTATTTTTGATAACCTTTCGAAAAATGAAGAAAAAAATTGAGAAATTCTAAAAATAGATTTTTGATGACGTCACGCTTCACCACTCTATTTCTTAGGGGATAGGCCTAATTGGTTTCTTCGTAAAAGAGATTAGTCTGGATACAATCTGGTGTTAAATTATGGAAAATCTTATTGAGCATTATTTACATGTGCTTTTATTCTTTCTTATGAATGGAGGGGTGGCCCCTTACCACCCTTTCATGCTTAGTCGCTATAACTTTCCTCGTTTGCCGAACATGACAAGAATTCGATCGCCTCCCTGCCCCTCCCACCCCCTTGAACCCCAAGATGGGAGTCGAAGCTGAGTGAATGCTGGTTTATTATGTCTTTCCATGGTCGGAAATACCGGGGATGGTTGACACTTTCCCTCCGATTTGGACAGGGGGAGATTACTATCAAAATTCCCTCACGATTTTGTTCTTGATTCACGCACCCCCACCCCTCCATTAACAAACAGAAAGACTACTCTAAACCAACCGTGACTTAAGAGCAAACATTCACCATCAAACATGTGATTACGTTTTCTTTTGTCTTTTTGCCTGTTAGAGGGTTATCGAAAATGAAGGCACCCCAAAATATTTTGTTATATATTTATTTTCTTGTCAGTACAAATGCATCCCAAGATATAAACTCTCATCTACGCCCACGTCTACGCATTTAAAGTTTCGTAACCACAATTGCGTCGACACGGTGCTTAACAACGGTTAAAATAACTTTGAAGATTAAAACTACGGACTTTTGTGTGAACCTAACGTACTGTACGTACAGCGCATGTATTTTGACGTATCTGGGAATCACGTTTTAGCCATTTCAAGTTCAAGTTCAAGTTCAAGTTCATTTATTCAAAACCACACAAAACATGATATAATCTTTTACATGAAAAAGAGACTGGTAATAGTACATCATTAAGTGAATGGTTTTAGGACCCCTGTAGAAGCTAAGCTTGTGAGCGGGGCCCTATAGTCAACAAAATACATACATTAACGATATGGCAAGGTGAATAAAAAGAATCTAATGTTTATACAAGGGATGGAAACAAACTAAGCTACAGAATATAGAACACAAAAAAATATTCACACACACGCGCGCGCACTCACACACACACACACACACACACACGCACACACACAGAGTCCTTAGTGGTCTATAAGCATTTGAGAATGAGAAATTATTAAGATACAAAGTAAAATTATGTCAGTCTTCCAAGTAGGTACGTTTTAGATAACCTTCTAAACCTAGAAAGAGTTGTACTATATTTTATATCATCAGGCAAACTGTTCCATTCTTTGATGCAAGAGATATGGAAAGATGTCAGAGTGATATTTGTTCTTGCAAAAGGCTGATGAATAAGACCCCTTTGACGTGTATTATAATTATGAATTTGTGAGTTTTTACGGAATAAATCTTTTAACGTACATTCATGAGGCATAAACTGAAGTTTATACATAAACAATACGCAATTGATTGACACAAGTCCACTTAGTGGTAACATTCTTAAGCGAAGGAACAATGGAGAACTTGGATGTCTATAATTAGAATTAGTAATAAGCCTTATTGCCTTCTTCTGCAATACTCTTAACTTATCAAGATATGACTTAAAAGTGTTTCCCCAAGCGACATTACAATATGTCAAATAAGGAAGAATAATACTATTATATAATGTTATCAGCACTCTTTCAGGTAAAATAAATTTCAATCTAAAAATGACACCTACACTTCGAGACAACTTAGTGCATACAACATCTAAATGATTCTTCCAAGATAAATGTTCATCCATAGTTAACCATAAGAACTGAACATTTTCACTAAGCGCAACATCATGGCCTCCAACATTAAGAAAAGTAATACCATCTGGAAGCTTTTTACCCTTTGAGCGAAAAATAACACATTTGGTCTTTTGAACATTGAACAATAACTTATTACAACAATACCATGTATTCAGTTTCTTAATCTCTTGATTTGCAATTAGTAATAAATCTTCAGCCTTCTTATCAACCAGCAGCAAGCTGGTATCATCAGCAAACAGGGAGTATGAGAATAATGTTGACGAGTGTATTATATCATTTATATAAATTAAAAACAACAGGGGACCAAGAACAGAACCCTGAGGTACACCATATTTAATAGAAGCAAGTTGGGAACTACTACCATTCACCACAACAAATTGAGTCCTGTCAAACAAATAGCTTTGGAACCAAGACAATGCTGCACCACGTATTCCATAATGCTCTAGTTTCCTGAGGAGGATACCATGGTCAATGGTATCAAACGCCTTAGATAGATCTAAGAACATCCCCAGACAATACTTGTCTCCATCAATAGCTTTTATGATATTACTTAATAAATTAAACACACCCATTTGTGTGGAGAAGTGCTTACGAAAACCGCACTGCTGAGGAATCAAGATATTCTTTTTAGATAGAAACTCATTTAAGCGTTTATAAATTATTTTCTCAAGAATTTTAGAAAAGATTGGTAACAGTGCTATTGGCCTATAATTAATGACATTTTTACGGTCAGATTTTTTATATACTGGTACCACTTTAGCTACCTTGAGTTTATCTGGAACAACTCCCTGAGATAAAGACATATTAAAGATTTTACATAAGGGATCAATACAAAGGTGAATGCACTCCTTTATAATTCTAGGTGAAATATCATCAGAACCACTAGATTTAGATGGTTTCAAAGATGACACAATATCAATGATCTCAGAGTTTGAAGTTGGTTTTAGAAACGTCTTCGTCTTTTCGTGGTCTCCCATTACTAAATTCTTGTTTTATACAATGTATATATGTTTTGTATTTCTTTTCAGAAATATTAATTAATTAGTTATGTTTACCTTGAAAAAGTGGGCATATCTTCCATGCCCTGATGGGACCTGAGGAGGTGTATTGACCGAGTGCCGTCTCCAAGAACATGAGAGGAATCGCAAGAAACATGGAACATAGTAAATATGGGATGAGGAACAGAACTGTGGAGAGAGAGAGAACATAATCAAAAGTGTTACCAAACCACACTGTAAAAAAATAATAGTCGAAATAACTCAATAAAATTGAGGAAAGAATTGCCTTATTTTTATTAAGTAAATATTACCTACGGCATCTTAAGTAGAATTTACTTATTTTGCTGAATAAATTTTTACTCAGTTTAATCGAGTTACGTTAACGTAAATAATTTAAGTAATGTAATCATTTTAGATAATTTAAAAAAAGCTATGATAGGATTACATATTGCACGATTTGGTACCCATCTAATCTAACAAGTAACATCCACTAATCATTCACTACTTCTATTTAAGATTTAACCGTATATATATATCTACCACCATCACAAACTATTACATATGCTTCAACTGGACACATATTGAAAGGCTCCAAATTTTATATATACTTGATCGTAACATCTTAAATGGAAAATTGGTTGACAATTTCCTGAAATATCAAGTTTTGATTTGTTTTGAACTGGGTAACAATTAAAAATTGTCTTGTCTTTGCTTAGCCATGTTAAATGAATTAGTAAATGTTCTAAAGTCCTTAAATTTTCATTCAACCACAAAAAAGAATTGTTTTATTTAAAAAAGAGTATAATTTGGTCTTAATGAATATTCATAAATTATGTAAATATTTCTATTACACACTGCATCGGTCCTTACTTTAAAAAAATAAGAATAATCAACATAAATTGTTTGAGTAATACGTATAATTTCTGATTTTGAGTTAAAATTACTAAATTAATGCAAGCTGAAATTACTTAAAGTTCTTATGTATTTGATTTTACTTAAATATTCCACGTATGTTCTACTAAATTGAAAGTTTGAGTTAGCAAGACTTAAATTTAGTGCGTAAGTGGCAAAACAAATGTTTTCAAGTAAATTCTACATAGAAAAAATACGTAAAAATTACCAATGAACAAATTCTTTTTTACAGTGCATACGGCTTTTACTACTACTGCTGTCCTACTACTACTATTACTTGTTGGTAGAGCAGTGGTCTCCACTATTAATACTACTTCTAACAATACTAATAGTGAATACAATGATAATGATGACAATGATAATTATAACAATAGTGACGATAACATATACTCATATAAGCCTTATCAGTATTATTACTGTTTGTCGAATGCCAATTTTGTCTACTATCCACTTGGTCTAATAATCATTTAATTATACTAGGTTAATAATCATCATCAAATAATTATTAGACGTTATGCAGTTGATAAATTCCTTGAAAAACTATCGTTTAGGCTGAAGCGAATTTACCGTGATTAAATAAATAAATGTAATGAAAACAATAAATGAAATCAATCCACCCTCATGAAGGGGCACTGATGCACTCCAGTCAGACCGCAGCGCCCGCGCTATTTAATGAGCTATTTTTTCAAATTTTGTAGATTCACGTACGGCCGTACGATCCCAAACCGCGAGATTTTGTGCGAGATGTCACGAGATTTGGAAAGCGCCAACAGAACCCCTCCCTCTGCAAAAAATTATTCAGATATCATCGAAAAATGATGTGGTAACTGATTTTACGATTCTTGCTCTCTCTTTTGGTATATTATTTGTAATATTTCCGAACTTTGAAGTTAATGCAAATTGAGCCCAAATATTCGGCTAATTTTGTTCTTTTTGCAATCACATTTTGACATAGCGTTGTGTTTTTGCTAGCTCCTGACCGGTAACGAAGTTATTTTTTGTCGAAACATTTTTCCTGAATAGAAGAATAGTTTATCTCAAAATCCTCTGACAAAAACGAGCGGGATGGATAAGAATATAGGTTGGCGGTTTTCGAGCGACGACTAACGTTGACCTCTTGAAATAATATATTTTAGGTATTACTGGAAAGCAAAAGAGTTGAGGTGGTCTTCCCCCTCCCCCCCCCCCAAAAAAAAGGGGGGGAGAGAGAGATGAGAAAAAAGTAAGAGGACGTAGGAAAAAAAAGGAGCAGACAAAGGAACGTGACAAACTAGACAAACTAAATCAGTTTATTTTTGGCTCAGATCTGACTGGTATGCCATATTTTTTTACAGGCCTCGATTCTATCAGGATCTCATGAAGTTCCATAATTAATGGAACTTCATGAGATCATAAGAGGACACTTTTTTTTTTTTTTTTGGTCTCGAAATTGGAAATTTGACATTTTGCTCCGTTGGGGGGGTAAGGTCACCTTTTTTAGGTCGGCCATGGGAATAATTTTTTTTTTTTTTTTTTTTTTAATAATAAAAAAAAAAAAAAAAAAAAAAAAAAAAAAAAAAAATCAAAAGGGGGGGGGGGGGGGGGGGGGGGGGGGGGGGGGGGGGGGGGGGGGGTAGGTTTCAGCTTTTTTTTATGTTTACAACAAAAATCTCAAATTCTTTAACCCCCCAAACCCCCCCCCCTAAGTACGCTAATGTGGCAAATAATGACGAACATATTTCCCGCAAGCAATTAAGGAAATCTTATGATGAAATACTGATTGCTTGGTGATTGGTCAATATATTTATCACATGCATGATGCTCAATTCTAAAAGAAAACAAATCGAAATCTTGTATAGACCTAACAATGAAGCAAATATTATTTTTGAAATTTCAGACAAGGGTTATAAAGGTCGAGAACGAATCACCTTCTTTCTCTATAGTTTAATGAAACGTCAAAGCTTCCGCGCTTCGCAAGAGCGGTGTGGGGGCGGGTGGGAGGGACTCCCCTACCTCGCACCCACCCTCCTTCGGAACGCGCTTTTGTAAGTGCTTCGCCCCCTTAAATAAAATCCTAGCTACGCGGTTGCATACCACTGAGGTCTGACTGACCCCACCCCCACATAGAGCAACAATCCTGATGTACGTGCTAGTTCAACACAGCAAGGAAATATAATCTAAATAAAATGTCATCTACTTACACCCGCCATTGGCGTAGCAGAGGTAAGGGAAGCGCCATAAGTTCTGAAAACAGGCTACGAAGCCGATGTTCGTCCCAATAGATTCAAATCGCCAACTCCACCGTTCCCGATCTATCACTGCCTGGTCCGACATATTCTATAGTTCAGTATGATATAGGTCTAGCTGGTATACAGGTCTATCCTATAGTCAAGATATATTTCGAGCTATCATGCATGAACGCCGAATGTATATCCTATTCTGCGCTTAATAACCAGGAAGTACGTGCAACTGTAACTGATTTTTCTCAGGGGGGGGGGGGGGCTTAAACAAATGTACGGTAGGTGTGACTCAGCATGACGTTCTCTTTCAAGTTCAGTGTGTAAACTTTATAGTAATGTATGCGGCAGGGGCGTACGCAGGATTTTTTCAAGGGGGGGGGGGGGGGGGGTTTAAAATCTGGCCCAAAATATTTGCTTCCGAAAATTTGAAAAGTCGCTCAGTGGGGGGGGGGGGGGGGGGGGGGGGGGGGGGGGGGAGTAAGTGGACACTTTTTTTTTTTTTTTTGGTCTCGAAATTTGAAAATTTGACTTCTTTTTTCGTTGGGGGGGGGGGGGGGAAGCGGACACTTTTTTTTTTTTTTGGTCTCGAAATTTGAAAATTTGACATCTTTTTTCGTTGGGGGGGGGGGGGTAAGGTCACTTTAAGTTTTTTTTAGGGGGGTTTACACACATAAAAATACCAAAGCGGGGGGTTTGAACCCCCTAACCCCCCCCCCTGCGTACGCCCCTGGTATGCGGTGTTGCGGTGCGATGCAGCCTTGGCGAACCGCATACATATCCTGAATGCATGTACTTTCTATATTAGACCAATGTACATGATTTTACTGCATTTATTGCAAATATGTGAATTGCGCAGCGCTGATGTTAATCCACCTCACATAATGTAGCGTACTTGGCTCAAAATCTAGTTTCTGTAAATCATAGGCTTACACGCGTAAGAGTGTCGTGGTCGAGCGGTTTAAGGCGCTTGACTGCAGATGCGAAGGTCGAGGGTTCGAATCCCGACACGGCACTAATATCCTTTGGCAAGATATTAACCTGCACTTGCTACTCTCTACCCAGGTGTTAAATGGGTACCAGGTAGGATGCGACCGTCATTGTTGGTCAAACAGTTTTGAGCGTAACGTTACGCCTGGCTGGCTCCCCAGGAAGTGGAGATTGTGCACACACTGTGTGCGGGAAAGTATTGAATCCAATGACCGGGATAATAATATATGTAATATCTATAGAGCGCTGTAAATCATAGATGTAATAAGCACTATATAAAGCGGAGTTATTATTATTATACATGTACGTAATTATACCTCTTGGGGCTGTTTTATTTTAAATATATAAATCGTCAAAAGGATTGAAAAATCATGTTCAGTATAGTAGTCGAGTCCAAAGTCGAGATCCGAATATGTTGCTATATTGTTAATTCATCGACTCTAAGTCCAAGGGTTGAGGGTAAGATTCCCAGCCCGGTAATAATTGTATTCATGAAAATATACATCCACATTAAATTGCCACTCTCCACAACGATGTGAATGAGTACCTGGCAATTGATGGGTAGTAGCGATTGCAGGGCCCACCTGAAGTGCCAATTCATGTATCAATTTACAAATTGAGTTCGATTACAAAATACACTTCAGCCTGACATTTATGAACAGCAGATATAGGAAATCTATCTCCAAAAAAAAGTAAAATTAATGTATTTTACACTTTTTCGCCCAGGGCGGAGCCCTCAGAAGCTCAGGGGTTTTATACATCAAATTATCGTCGGATGTGCATAATTATTCCTTATTTTTTGACACTGGCAGGTCACGAATTGATGTGGGATCCAGAGGGCGGAGCCCCGGAAGCTCAGGGGTTTTATACATTAAATTATCGTCAGATGAGCATGATTTTATACCTTATTTGTGACACTGGTAGGTCACGAATTGGCGTGGGGTCCAGGGGCGGAGTACCCGGAAGCTCGGGGTTTTGGGCAATAAATAACGGTCAGATGAGCATATTTTATATCAATTGTGACACTGGCAGGACAAAAATTGGTGTTCGGTCCAGGGGGCGGAGCCCCAGGAAGCTCAGGAGTTTTATACATTAAAGTATCATCAGATGAGCATGATTTTATACCTTATTTGTGACACTGGCAGGTCACGAATTGGCGTGGGGTCCAGGGGCGGAGCCCTCGGAAGCTCGGGGATTTTGGGCAAGAAATAACGGTTAGATGAGCATGCAGCCGTCCGCCTTAGCGCCCTAGGTGGGGTCCAGGGGGAAGAGCCCACGGAAGTCAAGGGATCTTAGGCATTAAATTACGGTTAGATGAGCATATTTTAGAACCCTTTTATTTCCTTCTTTTTTTGTTCCTTCTTTTTTCCCCTTCTTTTTTTCTTCTTTTTTCCCTTCTTTTTTCTTCCTTCTTTTTTTGTTGCCGGGGGGGGGGGGGGGGCGGGCCCCCAGCCCCCTGGATTCGCCACTGACTACTACAACTTGGCTATAGGTCAAAGGGGTTGTCTCCGAAATTGCAGCGTCTTTGGAAAGGGTCTTTCCTCATCATTCATCGCTTGTCTAATGTCGTCTACAGGAAAAAGGCAAAGAACCGTGGAAAGAAGATGGTTGTTCTTGCTGACAGGTTAAAGCCTCATATGCGAAACCCTTGTCTCGTGAATTGAGGAACGTATAAGTCAGCAAGTAGACCACGCTGAGGAGAAGAGTGGAGGATCGCAAGCAGAAGACCTCATGAAAGATGTTAAAGGTAATACATTTACATGTACAAAGTTTTGGTATGGGGTCATGAGTTTGGTTCAAATGAACATATTGGAAGCAAATGCGACTTTACAATATTCAAATGATCGTTGTAGCGGTTGAAATCGAGTCTAAAGTGATGAAATTGTAAATAATAAACTCTTTATGTTGTATAGATCCCTCTGAAAACTGATTTTTAATTTAGCTTTAAAACAATGTTTCTTGACTACAATCGACCGATTTGCTATTCCCGTTTGGAAATTCTGAGATTCTCATAGTCGCAGCTACCATGGAATGGCCTTAATCGCTATTTGAAATATTTGAAATTTAAAGGGAGCAACGGTAAATTTTTGATTATTCAATTTCTCGAGAGCAGAAGTGTTTCAGGGACTAAATTTTGCGGTGCTTATAATACATCCACATGGGCATCCAAATATATCAAAACTTTGAAGAATTACTATCTATCCATTTTTCAAAATTTTCCAAAACTTTGCATTACCTTTAATACATGAGTCGCAAATGATCTTACAGAAGAAAAGGCATTTCAAGTCCAGGGGGTTGTTTCACAAAGATCCTAAGTCGAACTTAACTCTAAGTTGGACTTAAAAATTATGGAGAGCCATTTGTAGCCTAAAATAAAATATATTAAAAAGTGAATACTCATGTTTTTAGGGTTTTCATAAATTCCACATCAAGAACATGAAATCTCCCATGATAATAGAAATATGAATGATTTTAAACAAAATTTACGCCTTTTAAAATGACTTTTACAAAATATTTTCAAACAAACTAACGGCTTTCCATAACTGTTTTAAGTCCAACTTAGAGATAAGTTCAGCTAAGGATCTTTGTGTAACACCCCCCCCCCAGGTGTTATAAAATTAGAAAATTAGCAGATACAAGACAACTGAAGCCGAAGGGGGGTCGTTGCAAAGGGAAGCGAACAATACCTTACAGCAGAACTGTACCTTAATTACCTTAATTTGTTTAAAAAAAAGAAGACGGCCCCCTCCCCTGGTGCTCAATGGGGGGGGGGGGGGGGGGGTGCGATTTTCAAATTTTCGGAAAAAAAAAACACAACAACTAGTGCTGCCCCCTCCGGTGAGCGAAAAATCGACCGGCGCGATTAGTGATCCTCCCCCCCCCCTACTGAGCGAAAATAGTGTTCTGTTCGATTTTTAAAATTTCCGGGGGCTAAAACGAATTTTTTTTTTTTGCTCACTACCCCCCCCCCCCCTTCTTAAACACTGAACGAAATATTGGACGGTGCGATTGTCACACTTTAAGAGGCAAATACAAAATACTATACAAATATACTTTGATTGATTTGATTGATTTGCAGTAAAATGAGAACAATTAAAAGCCAATAATACCAAATTGCACTTTTAGCTTCTCAGACCTTCTGGTCCTGCAGGTGAAATTTTTACACGCTTTATTTAAAATTTAACAGGTATTAAGACCTGCCCTCGAATTTATATACAAACATAACAAAGGTGTGTGCCACGGACAACGGGACACAGGGTTCGAACTTACACAGTGCAATACTTGGGGGGGGGGGGTGTCCCCCTGTTCCCCCTATTATTGACGCCCACGCATTGAAGTAAGTTAAAATCCTAATAATCCTTAAACATCCGAAGACTCTGTAAACTACACAAAAGGAATAATTGCTATCTCTCAAAAAGCATCAAATCAAATCAAATAATTTATTTTCCACTAAAAAAAACATGTTACAATTATTGTTTCTCCACAATTCATTTCAGTACATGTAATAATAGAGGTCGAATTATGCATACATGCAAGCGCAAATTGAAATTGAAAATAACTCCTTTTATGTATATAAAAACAATGCAAAAACATACAATATAAAACATAATTTCAACATAACAGCATATAATTTAGGAAAAGATAGATAGAAATATATAATAAAAACTAAAATGTGTTTGATTCATTAGTTCAAGACGACGTCGTTTAATTATATTAGGCGTTTGAATAGTCTTATTTTCCCCTATTCTTGTGGTTAACGGAACACGAGAGTAATTATACAAACAAAATTAATCAAGGGCTATTACAGTAGTTTTGTTCGTCACCTATATGACATGATTGAAATGTGCATATTACTTAATCCGAAAATGATTTTTTTTAATGGGATGTATCGAAATTGGCCTTGAGTTGATATACAGGTTATTCCAGAAAACAGAGTATATCAATTTTGTATATATCTAAACACAAGAATAATAATTTCATTCTTTTGATGTGCGACCATTTGAAGGGAAATTGTTTAATGACATTGTTGGGCTTTCAATCTCACACGTCATAGGCCTATGCCTACTGATGCACCAGGGCCAGTACTATGAATTACTTAAGTTATGTAAATAGCCAATGCCACTTACCTTGCAGCTATAATTATAGCTTAGTTAGGTTTTGTAAAGGCCCAGTTATAAATGAAAATCTACCATCCAAGGAAAGCGTAAGCATGATTAGATATATATCAAGTTTAAATCTCAAATAAATTTCAGTCCACAACATTTTTCAATTCAGTTTATTTGATTATTTCTTTAAAAAATATATAATACCAATGAAATAAAGCAACTTGAGGTTAATATACAAAATGACATATCACAGAAAGACACATACACATACATATATAGCTGACATGAGAAATACAAAAAGGATTGATTATAGTAGAGGTGACGGATTAGCAAAAGCAATCGGACAGTCAAGGCTAATCCCAATTTTAGTACACTTAAAATTAGTAGATTAAATTAATTAAAAGTGAGTAAATTATATCATAGTACTGTACATACATTACAATCGAAGGTGAGAGTAGAACGAACACATGACATCAGAGAGAAAGAGAATAAGACATATTAATAACCTTAATTGTTTTTAAATACTTGTTAAAATGAATCAAAACCTTCGTGTAATAATATTGTAGAAATACTTACAACACACTCACCCACACATACATGTACACACACGCACACACACACACACACACACACACGTAATTCCAACGCACAGAGTGCAGCGTGCAGCGTGCAGCCGCGCTTTTCAGGGCATTCAGTTAAATTCCTCTTTTTCATGATATAGGCATTTCAAGTATATGAGAATGTAAAAAAAGGTATACTACAAATTCGACATGATATGGTAATAATCAAGCTACAGGCCTACATTTGGCTATATCGTGATGGTGTCAAAATTGCTCCTCGTTCGCGAGATATAGAAAGTCGAAAGAAGTATTAATTTTGGACAGCATTAAACGTTAGCTTATTAAACAAAATTGCGCCCATAACTACGCCTACGCCGATCTTTTCAAATACGAATAAAATTTACTGTAAGCCAAGCTACCATAATAATTTTGAGGAAGAAAAAAAAAAAAAGCATAATTATTGAACTGCTTTTGTTCTTTTACGAATTCTGCCCAATATATTTCAAAATCGCAATTTTTTATTGAGGTAAAATTGAATAGGCCTATTATTAAAGTTTGCGATCCAATGACTTGGAATTCTCATAAAATATAAATTGAAACCGAAGAAAATTAAACAATTTAAAGTATTTATATAATTCCGTATCATTACAAAGATAACATACAACTTCAAGACTGCAAGTGATTATTATTTCAATCTTCTCCACTTTTACATAAAGTTATTTTTTAAATAGACTTTCATGATATTACATCATTTCCACACCATCTGGTTGTACTTCGTCACGAACAGGAGCGATAGTGGGTTGGATAACCATTTTCAGTCTCTGAAATGGCGAAAAACAAAATGAAGAATTATTGTTGAGCATGTTGAAAGGCACAAATGTAAAAAAAAACAACCCAAAACCAAAAAAAAAATTATTAAAAAAAAATCACGATGTTATTGTAACGCAGCAATGTGAGGAGTGAAACCCTCCCCTCCCCCAAAAACCACTCGTTTGTTTTTAAATCTACTTCAAAGAAATGGAGCAGATTCAGAGGCAGCTGGTTGGGGGTAACACCTGGTCAGAAGTAGTCGGAGAAGGAACTAGTTTTTACTTGCACAAGGAGCACTTTTACTACTCAGTTCCTTAACCCGTTAGAACCTTTGTTGAGGCTCACACGATATGCAGCATGATGCACTCGTTCACAGAACTGCACCAAAGTACGAAAATACTCTACCCAGAGGACTGGACTAATTGCACTGGAAGAAGAATGGTTTAATAATTCTTATGAGAGTGAATTTCACTATTTATCTGACAGCATGGAGTGGACTTCAAACGAAGTGAATATGGTTTCTCTAGTACCACTTTGAGGTCTGAAACCAAACTGTTCCTTTCCTACTTCATTGTCAATTTGAATTATTATTCTGTTGAGAATGATCTTTACGAGCAACTTACAGGTGACATGGCTCATAAGGCTAATTGTCCGGACATCTTCACACACACTTGCCTTATAGGCTTCTTTGGAATTGGCACTTATATGCCCCCCACCCAATAAAAGAGAACAAAGTGAATTTCCTCCAACAAATAAAAAAGTCCAGGCCTAGCCTACATTTCGTATCTACTAAGCATTTAGAATTTTACTTTAGGGGAGGGGTGCACTTATTTACAAATTTCCCTAGGAGGCGGCATGAGAAAAATGGTAGTCCCCTTGGCTCCCTGTGTACATCCCTGTAGGCACAACAATACCAAACAACAACAACAAAAACAAAGAAGATGCATTATTTTTGTGCTACTCGGCACACCCGTTGCCCAAAGGGAAGCCGTATTCCCTTTGAGGATTAGCAATTATAAGCCCTAAAATCCTGTTCATAATCTTACCGTCATAGTGGGCCCTTCACCTTTGATCATGTGGTAATAGATGGAGTAGACCCCTCCGGCGGGAATCCACACCATCGATGAGAGGGTCATACAGATGCCAAGGGGGTTCGAGAACGAGAACAAGGACCATGTAACTATGTTGCTGATCCAAACAAACTGAGAATAGAATGAATTTTACATGATTATTTGACAGATCAGGAACACCTCCCAGGATAAACCAATCGTGTTGATTTTTCCATGTTTCTCGATTATTTGTTTGTTTGTTATTCATGAGACTGTACAATGAACACGATCGCAGAGACTTTCAAAAAATCAGCTGTATAGGCCAGTTTCAATACCAAGTATTGTATTGCCTTTAGAAATCATGCTCATAATATAAATCATAGAATTATCATCTTTGTACATTTGTTGATATGCTATTACAATTCTTGCTATCTAATCGCCAATATTTTAAAAATACCAGTATACGTTCGGGTCCTATTTCAAATGAACTCTGGAAAAGTTTGGTGACCAAGTCGCGATCTGTTTATTTCGCGCGTTTGCGCTATGCATGCCGGCGTTGATTGTGTGTTTATGTGTAATTTCCCACAGTAATCACAGTGATATATCACAATTTATAGAAGAAGAATTTCTGTTACAATGACAGCTGAATCAATAAATTCAAGTCAGTTCCATTCAAATCCATTTCACCACCACTCATTTGTTAATAAAGATGCGCAAGTTCATGGTAAGTATCGGTATTTAAAAAGTGGGATTGAAATAAAGGGGCGGAAAAAGCAATCTTTGAACACGGGCGGGAACATTTTGAAGAAGAAAAAAAGAGCACATTCTGACAAGCAAGCAAACAAAAGACAAGTCGTCTCATTTTGAAGTGCCTTTTTGTTCTAAAACCTGTTCGTTCTAAAACTTAAAAGGGATTGGGGCACAAGAATAAAAAAAACAAAACCGATATTTTGTTTCTGACTCTTTTGGATTGGCGCTTATTTGTCTAGTGAGAGAGTATTTGACCTCGCAATATCTCTTTATAATATTATTTGAAGCTCCAATATTGATTGCAGGATAGCAACTTGGAATCCTCAACATACAAAGCAATATATATTCTATTGATTTTTACACTTTAAATGTCAGTAGAATAAGGGCCATCTATATTCGGAGAGATATTTACCAGAGCAAGAATAGGAACAGTGACTGGCCAGCAGATTATGTACCATTCAATCTGTTGCCATCTCAGCATCTCGGCAATGTCTCGGGAGAACCTTCTAACTCCTTTATTAAAACAAAAGAAGTAAGAATGGAAAATCAAAAAGTTACACATTCCTTTCAATACTTTGATAATTTTCGATAATCTTATTGATGCCCTAAGATGTCAAAAGTTTACACATAAATCTAGTTTTTCTACGTTGTGACTGACCAGCTTAACGATGTACCATAAGGTGTCTCCATCTTAGAATCTCGACAATGTTCGATCTTTTATCTTTACTGCTGATGGGAATACAAGGAAGGTGAAAATCATTTGGTACGATTTAACGCATGTACCAAAATTGATGACAATTTACTCAATATTTGGTAAAATTAAACCCAACAAACATACATGTTCCATTTAAAAAAAAAAAAACATGTACAAATTTCGCCTCACTCTTTTTAGAATGTATTCTTAAATTTTAACGGTTGATGGTAATTGTCCTTTACTGTTTTTTCCTTCTAGAATGTGAATAACGAATCATGTAACTATCAGGGCACTATCATTTTTTTTCTCAACTTCCAGACAACCGCCACGGTCTGATCGCGTCCCTAGCATGAAAGAAGGCTCCGGACTTATTTGGGATCAGGGGTGGTTAGCATCAATTCAATGTATTTATTTGTCCGATATATACGTTCAACATGGATAATTGTTTCGCCCACATGTAAAATTAAGGCTCATCCACAGTTTACAAAGAACAGAAATATGATACAAAACATGGTTAAATTTGGTGATGATAAAGTAATAGTTATACATAATAATGATTTAAATTGGGTAATGGCTTGTTCCGTTTCCTTATCTCTGACCAAATCAAAGATAATTTTTTACCATAAAACCATCCGATTGCGATGCTCTCGAAGAAACATATCCAAACGATAGGGACGGTACTATCCCCATAGTGACTTATTAGCGTGAAGACGTAGATACCACCCTAAAATGTAATCAATAATAACAACAAATATAATAATCATAATCATAATGATGATGATGATAATAATAATATTGATAACAAACTACTACCACCGCTACTACTACTACTACTACTACAACTACTACTACTTCTAATGATAATATCATTAGTGATAATCCTCGTCGTCGTCATCGTCCTACGAGTCATGACTTCTGACCCTTTGTGACCCTTTATAATATATGATAAAGTTCCAACCAATTCTATCCTGGGCATAGCGATTAACTGTGCAGATGTTAATGCCAGTAATTTTTTTTTTTAAGACTTCGTCTTATTTCTGGAAAGCTTCCACCACCATCCACAATCAGAGAGCCCAGGAAGTTGACAGGGTTGACTACTCCGATGTCCTCTTCATCAGCTTGAATATGATGGTAATTTTTTTCCTCCACATATCATAACCATTGTCTTCTTAATAATGAGGTACAGTCCATATTCCTCACTGGCTTTTTGACTCTTTCAATAAGGCCAAATAAATACAGTATTGATAATAATAATAACAGTAAATATAATGCTTATGAAAATAATTATAATGATAATAAATGTATATAGTACTGGTTTCTTTCATAGCACTATATCGAATTGATGATCGTAAACTAAAATCTAATAACAAGAATACAATATAAACATCACAGAGTTAACTACAATGTGAATACATGCAAATATGTTACAAGATACTTCTTGAACGATTCAACAGAGGAACGAGAACTTTGTCAAATCTGATTTCAAGTTGATCTCAGTAGAGGCAGGCGGAAATTGACATAAACAGATTAATGAATGTTGGACGAAAATCTGACATTCCCAAGAAGGAAGTTATACATTTTATAAGAAAATAAAATATTTATTATCAGGCCGATATTATCATACACCCCTCTATAAAATAGAATTGATAAATGAATTCGTCATCAACAGCCCTCAGAAGTGTAGAGCTGTAGTGGTCAAGTGGAAACGTCTTCAGATTGTGGATCGAAGGGATCGCAGTTCAAGTTCTCCAACGGAACTAATGTCCTTTTGCAAGACATTAATCTACATATGCCACTCTCCATCCAGGTGTTAAATGGGTACTGGTGGGAACGAGTTCTTTGGATGCCATGTGAGCACCGAAACCGGTAGCCTCGCGGAGCCGGGGTAGGCACCATGAGCACGTACCGTGCATGGTGCATATGGGCCTTATGAAAATATCCAATATCAATAAGTTTATCATTGGTAGTATTGCGTTTTCATTAATTTATGTACTTGACCATTAAATATCTTTACGTGTCGATATCGTACCTGAGTTACCATACTAAGGCCAATCAGGAAGTTTACAAAGCAGACTCCCAATACGAATAGCCCTTTATAATACCCAATCCGCAGCGAGGTAGGGAAAAGATCCAAGACAGACGTGATGAACGCCCCTACCATGACGAGCTAAGGTAGAAAAAAGGATGATAAAAATTTTTTAGTTCATGAAATGGGGAGTGTTGGTTGCGTTTTTAGGGAAAAAAATTAATTATAAACTATGCTTTCACATCCACATAGTCTTTTGCCGATATTATCAGAGTATCAAAACATTACATGATTTGAGAGGAACGAAGAATTATTTTTTTTCTCAAAGTTTTTGAAAATATTTAAGATGTTGAAAGGAATGACAAGGCTTAAATTAAGCGGATGAAAAAGGTCGAAACGGTTTAAAGGTTGAGAAAAAGATAAAAAGATTGAAGGTTGGAAATTGTTGAAGAATTTTGAAGAAATTGAAGAAGGGTTGGCCTTTTCGGCCATTACAGACCTTACACAGTTGCAATGTTGTAGAGGTTGAAAAGGTTATCAAAGTTAAACATATTTAAAAGGGCGAATGGGAAATAAATTATAGGTCTTACTATTGGGAAATTAAGTATAGGTATAGGTGAAGCAAATGCAATCTATAGATAAAGATTCTCGATCGAGTCTTTTTAAAAAAAAATATCAGGCATAGATTAAATTAAATTCTGTTTCAAATCAATACATTCTGAAACCTACTTATGGTACAAATACTGTTAAATGAAAACAGTCGAGTTAAAAACATTGAAATTTAAGGATTTTGGTATGATGATCCACAATGTCTTTCTTATAGCCATTTCGTTGATAGACATTAAACTTGCAAAGGCTGATCCAGAGGGGGTCAATGCGGTCCAGACCGCTCCGTTTTCCTTGTCAGAGATTTGTAAGCTTAATTTTTGCTACACATCATGATAGAAAATATGTGATGATTTTTGCTTTTGCTTGTCAGATATAGGTATTAAGAGTAAAAAGGGCAGTAAAGACATTCTGATGATTTTGATGCCTCTAAGGGTACGTTTATGCTCAATTTTGAAGGCAGAATGAGCGATTTGAAACGCTCATCGTATACTTAGTCTGGCTCCTCCAGGCATGATTCTGGCTGAGCCAGAATCATGCCTGGAGGAGCCAGACTAAGTGCAGTGCAGAGTCTGCACTGCGCATGCTATGTTGACCCCATTTAAACGCGTTTACAAATGATTGTGCGGTTATGCTTCCCCAGAATCGCCGATTCAAAACGCAACTTTTTGTGAGTTTACGATCGGCGATTATGATCGCCGTTTTTCTGCGATTCTCCAAAATGAGAAAGGACGCAACCGTGTTTTGAACTAAACGCGTAACAAATGCCTCATTCTGGCCAGAAAAAGTTGACCATAAACGTACCCTAACTCTTGTCAGAATTCTGACCTCCGCCATCCCACTTAGGCCAAATCCTAGTCCAGCCTCTGTACCGTTTCCGTGTCGCGCGCCTAATCAGCTGATCAAATAACACACCCTCAACGTGGAATGTAGACCTAGCCATTCCCCTCATAATGTACCACCTGACCTCTAGAGGTCAGTGAATGTACCCCGATAATGGACGGAAATTTGGGGGATCGCGCAATCAGTGGAGGGACCGCACTGTGTGTGGGATCGATGCGTGTGATAGAAGAATCAAAACAAAGAACGGACTGAAACTGAACTACCCCAATCCTTGTTCCTTCCCCGATTACCTGAGAGTTTAGCCCAATCTTTAGGACCACTAGGAAGAAGAAAATTGCCGAGACCCTTGATGAAGGCATTGCAGCAAAAGCACGCGGAAAGACCTCGAAAAAAAGACCAGGACCTAAAGTAATCAAACAAAATCAAAATTAATGATAAAAAAGAAAACGAAATAACTGATTTGTATCAAAGGACGTACATATAAATATACAGAATGAAAATTATTTAAGCGGGAGGGGATAATCATTTTGAAAATGTTTCTCACCACCAAGATATATCATTGGTAGATTAATGTGGTACTCAGTATCCCACAACGTATTAATTTCAAACGTTCTACGAAGCAGGGGGGGGGGGGGGGGGGGGGGGAGAAAGTCCTCAAACTCCTCATAATCATCGGTTTCGCAAACAAGAATAAAATATACAGTTTTGAATGAAGTTAGTAATACCCCTTGTTAATTAATAATTTGTAAATTCTAGAGGGAAAGGTATACTAGTTGAATAACGGCTTTTGTTAAATATCTTTAGATGTAATCTTTAAAGGTGAAATTCATAGAAAATCACAAATATGTCAACTAATGTATTACTACAAACTGGTAAGCTAACAGATGGCCATCATACAAGTTTTAGGTCAACTACGTATCGGGTGATTTATAAAAATACAAATACAACCACCTCCATAGCAGCTGGGATATACGAGAGATTCGCCCGAAAAATAACGATGTTTTAATGACGTCACTATATGGACCAATACTGCCCAAGCAGACGACATCCCATAAAGAATGCACATAATTGCAAAGCTATTATTTGTCGAATTATGATGAGTTTAGTGTACATGTAATGGCATGTCAAACTATTCAAAAGGGGATATGACCCGATTCTGATAACTAAAATCTTTTGCTTGTAAATACACAGGATAGGAGTTAATTAACAATCAAAGAAACCAGACTTTCTAATTGAAGCCCCCGGAATGATATTAAGGACGGCATGTGTTCCCTCTTGAAACGCCGAACACACCGCGGTGTGTGCAGCTGAATATACAATGGCGTCTTATTTTGTTTATACGCGACAGATTCTTTTATTTTGTATCGCTGCATTTGTCATCAAAATAAAAACATGCGCGGGTTTTAGAGTGAGGTAATAGATTATACATTTAGCCTGACGGTAGTGAAGAGAAAGAACTCAAGAGAAGATGAAAACACAGGCACTGAAAATGTGTGAGATGCCATGCGACATCGTCTGCTTGTGCAAATCATGTCCATACTGTGATCTCACACATCTCAGCAGCGTTCGCAGAGCTCTTCAGGTGCTATGCAGGGGCTGTATTTAAGCGTTTTGTAATTTTGTAATCATTACTTCGGAGGTTTCCACGCATTAAATTTTGATAACCTTGTCGAATCGAAGTGTCAACTTTGCAATAATGAAAATAAAGTTAGTTTTTAAATTCAATGAATATCTACTTTAATATAGCACATTTTCAAGAAACATAGATTGGGACGAATGCATTTTCACAAACATACACAAGTTATACCGGTAGCAGATTAATACAACCTCTCCTCCCACCAGTAGGCAAGTGATGCTTGGGTTATGGTTAAGGTAAGTGGGTGGGAGGGGTGAAGCCCTCACCCCTCCTCACCACAGTAGACAAGTGGTGTTAGGGTTAGGGTTAAGGTTAGACGGTGGAAGGGGTGAAGCCCTCAGCCCCTTTCCCAGCAGTAGCACAGTGGTGATATAGGGTTAGGGTTCAAGTTAGAGGGTGGGAGGGGTGGAGCCCTCAACCTCTCCTCCCCACCAGTATGTCAGTGGTGTTAGGGTTAGGTTTAAGGTTAGAGGGTAGGAGGGGTGAAGCCCTCACCCCTCCCCACCAGAATCACCAGTGGTGATACAGTTAGGGTTAAGGTTAGCGGTGGGAGGGGTGGAGCCGTCACCCCCCCTCCTTACCAGTAGGCCAGTAGTGCTAGGGTTGGGGTTAGGGATACAGGGTGGGAGGGGAGGAGGCCTCATCCCCCTCCCCGCCAGTAGGTCAGTGGTGATAGGGTTAGGGTTAAGGTTAGAGGGTGGGAGGGGTGTAGCCCTCATCCTCCCCCACCAGTAGGTCAGTGGTGATATAGGGTTAGGGTTCAAGTTAGAGGGTAGGAGGGAGTGAAGCCCTCACCCCTCCCCACCAATAGGTCAGTGGTGTTAGGGTTAGGGTTAAGGTTAGACGGTGGGAGGGGTGTAGCCTTCAACCCCTTTCCTACCAGTAGGTCAGTGATGCTAGGGTTAGGGCAAAGGTTAGAGGATGAGAAGGGTATAGCCCTCAACATCACTTCTCCACCAGAAGAACAGTGGTGCTATGATTAGGGTAGTGGTGCTGACACTACTCTTACCTGCATCAACGGCTCCACTTATTGGGATATCCTCAGCGAACGCTACGAAGCCAACGAATGAAGAGACGATGATAACACTGTAGATACTTGTAATCACATTTAAGAAGGCTACGATCATGCTGTCCCTAAAGACAATCAATAATCACAAAATAGCCTTGAAGATAATGATGAGTGAATATTATGCAGGTACATTGTAAAATAAACAATCTAGAAGCAACTGGGAAAGGCTGATTATGGAGTACAAGAGAATCGATGTTTATAATAAACAAAGCTTGTAATGATCAACATCAGTAGCAGATCTAGGGTTAGGCTTGGGGGGGGGGGGGGGGGGGGTGATTCCCCATTTCTTCAAGGCCCCCTCACCCCTGAACAAAAATCGAAAGGCACGTATAGAAATGAAAGCAAGAACTTTCATGTTCCATAAAATCCCCTCCCCAATGCTCCCCTTTTATTTTCATAGAACCGCTTCAGATAACATAAATAAAAAGCCTCATTTTGCGAAATATCACACAGAAATCAGTTATGGGACTGCATATAAATGTTTGGTCCACACTTTTCACCTTATTCTTGTGTTCATCACGGCGTTTTAATAGCGATCCTTTTCAGGAGACACTTTCACTATGATATTCTTTCAAACTGACCGTATACAAAGAATGATAAAGCTCATAAATATTTTTCAACTGTCCGAAAACCCAACCTTCTATTTAAAAAATATTTTTCTTAAAGGCATAGACCGGTAGTGGTAAAATTGCGGTTCAAGTGTTTTGGGTGCAAAATAACCATTCAATATTGTTTAAATATTTCCTTCAGAGGTTCTAGATGGCAATACTTCAAACTAGATTCGCAAAAACAGAAATATATGCCCAAAATATGTTCAATGTTGGATATATATCTATATATCTATCCAGGCCGGATCGATATGATAATTTACCAAATGTATCAATTAGTAGGCGGTTTCCCGGCAAAATTTGTATCATCATGTATTAGTCAAATCATATTCTTTCAGATGATAAGTAATAAGAGCTTCCATTTCTTTTTTTTGAGAGGGTGGCGTTTCCAAAACTGGTCTATACCTTTAAGACATACCGAGTAGAAATCGAGACAAATTAAAATCATCAAAATGAATGAACGTAGGTCTACCATATCTGAATTGAAAATACACTATGTTTTCTTCCCGCAGCTATGATCTTATTGCAGTATATATTACTTCCCTTGAGCGGATAATAAAGGTCATTCATCCGTGTTCTTTTCCATTATTTCCTCTTCTCTCTCTGTCTCTTTCTATCTCTATAAGATTATATCGTGTAGCAAAACAAAAGATAAAGGAAATCAGTAGAAAAAGTTTAAAAAAATGAATGAATCAATAAAATGGATCCGGGCTTACTGGGCACAAGGTCCGCGGTTCGAGACCTGCCGCGGCACTAATGTCCTTTGGCAAGGCATTGATCTACATTTCCCACACTCAACCCAGGTGATGTAAATGGGTACCTGGCAGGAATTAAATCCTTGAAAGGCTTGAGCGCCGTAATGGCAGCACAGCTAAAGCCGGGGTAATAATCTCCATAAAAAAACTGAGTGTTATTATTATTATTATCCGAAATAACAGATCATCGATCGCAAATAAGTCGGTTTGCCTCCCAAAATTTAAAAAAGAAGAAGAAGGTTTTTCAACGGTTTCCGGTAGTTCCGGCGGGTCATACTTTTAATATTGCTACATGCATTACAGCTTTCCTGTAAATAATAACTTCCGGTTATTTTGGGAGACTGTCGGCCATTTTGGACGCCATTTTGGATCTCCCGATTTTCGGGTAGGTATAACCTAATGAGTAATGTAAGTGGTATAAATGGATTCTTCGAACCCTCAACCTAGGTATTGACACCAAAATTAAATCTTTTAAGATGATTATATCATGATTTACAGCTATTTGAGGCTTGGGTGGCCGTCTTGGACGCCATTTTGAAAACCACCACTTTCCGGGGGTTTATTTTCTTAGATTGTTCATATGTTGTTTCTGATGTCAAACACCACCGGAAACCGTTGAAAATCCTTTTCTTGCCGCAACGGTTGGGGGTCTAACCATAATTATATTGACCCGACTAATTTGTGATTGATGATCTGTTCATTGGCGGCCATCTTGGACGCCATTTTTAAAGTAACCACTTTTCCGGTGTCCGATTTTCTTAGATTGTTTATAGCATGTTGTTCCTGATGCCACTACCGGAAACCGTTGAAAGACGTGTGTTCGCTACTATGTTTGGAGGTTGGGGTATCATTTATCCCGACTAATTGACCTGAATTTACACTTGCATGAACTTAAACAAAAATTTAACCGTCTTTTTCAAATACCTAGTGCGAAAACAGTGGAATAGATGAAATAAAGGTAATATTTGAAAATTTCAGACGGTGAAGTTTTGCAAACCCTGAGAACAATAATTTCATGAAGAATATGATTCATCCAATGCCTTTGAAATAAATATTTTATTTATTAATCATTTGCTGGTCTACTTACTGCTCCATGAAACTAATGGTTTTCGTATGGAGTTCCGGTGCTAGCAATTATATCAAACTCTTGAAATCTTATAGCTGATCGAGCGATTCTGAGTTTGCCTTAGTGCCCGCTGCTTTTCTTTTCTTGCCACGAGAAGAGAATATTACAAGCAAGTGTTTTTGTACCAACCTATAGAAGTTGTAGTGGAATTTGTTGAAGCTTCCAAGGGCTGTGAAAGCACCTAGTCCAATCGAGAAGGAATAGAAAACTTCTGTTCCAGCGGCTATCCACACCTTTACAAACCATTTGATGAAGAAAAATAAAGTCAAATGCCTGTCGATTGCTATGTATTTCATGTGCTTTTATTGTAAACTGAATGCAGTTCACCTATTGGGCCGATATTTCCAGTTAAACCATTCAACAACAACAACAAGAAAGTGGATGGAGACCAAAACAAAAACAACAACAAATAAAACAAAACAAAACAATGAACCGTAGATCGCCATCATAGTAAAGCGTCGCTTATGATTGCAGTCTCCTGGACTTTTGTCCACAGATAGTTAGGATAATACTTCAAATTCATAATAATATAGTATAGAAGAAGTTCGTTTATATATGTATATATTTTATTAATCACAATTTGAAATGAAGTTATATTATTAGCGTATTTTTATTATACCTAACGTTTACATTTTCTTTGTTATTCAGTGTATTTTGAAAAAATGCAGATATCAATTCAAATCATGATTTAAAAAAGGGAGATTATTTTGCCTATTAAATTCAGACACGGTTAAGGTAGCGCTGCATAGTTTTACTCGTTCTGAGCTTTAAAAATATTGGAATGACCAGTTTGAAGACAAAGAGAAATATTGATTATATTAAAATAAACAAATCCTAAAGGCCCGAATTCACAAAGATGGTTTGTCGACAAACCTAGGTTTATGTGCGTCATATGACGCGTTCCGATGCATTTCAGACCAAGGTTCAGACAAATTTTAGTCCGAAACGCGTCGGAACGAGTCATGTGACGCACATAAACCTAGGTTTATCTACAAACCTCCTTTGTGAATTCGGGCCACAAAGTTAATGGTTAATGTTGTTTGCTTTGATACACATTAACATTTTCTCTCGAGGTAGATTCATAAATGCTCAAGACCACCTAGAACTAGAACAAGTCGACTGCACTAAATTTCTGGGACTTTATATTGATAGTGATTTATCTTGGAAATCCCACATTTCTAATTTGAGCAAGGTCCTCTCAAGAAATACTGGTATACTTAATAGACTTAAACACTTTTTTCCCAGTAAAATTTTATCAACAGTTTATTCTGCTATAATAACTCCATACCTCACCTATGGAATTCTCGCCTGGGGTAACGCTAGTAGAAATCTAATAAATATGCTTTTTCGCATTCAAAAACGCGCTATTAGAAATATTAATCATGTAGGATACCTTTTTCACACCAACAACCTGTTCCATGAAAACAGAATCCTAAAATTATCAGACTTATTCTATTGCAATGTTGGTATATTCATGTACAATTTATCTACTAATAACCTACCTGAAATATTTGTACAAATGTTCCGGAGAAATAGATCCCTACATGATTATCCCACATGTCAGAGCAACGCATACCACCTTCCACGTACCCGAACTGTTTTTGCCCCCAAAACGATTATGTTTACAGGACCCAGTTACTGGAATGCCCTCCCGTTAGAGTTAATTGAAAGTCAGTCCTTATATACTTTTAAACGTAAACTGAAGGAACTGCTTTTCAAAGCATATCTTGATGTCAATGTATATATGACCTTTGTGTGCAAGCACGTTGTGTCTGGTTGTTGTGCTTTCGGAAATACGTATTTAAAAAAAAAAAAACAACAACAATAAAACATCGTTACTTCTATATCCGAGAGTGCGACGGCTGACACAGTGTGCTTGCTCGCTTCGTTATTCTATTTATGTATGTAATATACAAATGTATTCATTTTACTATTATCTGTAATGTTCGTTTACCAGCTGAGCACCCATTGTATGATAATTTAAGTACGTGTACTTTTATCTTCACTTAAATAAAGGAAGGGATAATATAAACAGCACCACCGCAAGTTTATTATTATTTCCTTTTTATTTTTTGATTAATTTAGACTGGTCACTATTACATGCATATCCGTCCTCCATTTATTACCACAAATACTTTTACTGGGGCCTACAGCCTTACAAGCTTGCTTTCATGTAGTTCCTATCAAATTTCTCTTAGTTAAATCACTAATTCATATTGACCACTTATCTTTGTTATTATTATGTATCATTGAAAAAAACAATTTTGTACTTCATTTGAAATATATGTATGTTTATGAAATAAATGAAATGAAATATAAACGAGTTAATGGTATTTATATATGTTCAAGGAGTTTCAAGTACATGATCTCTCGCATTTATCCTTATATATACGTGTTCTTGTCAGAATAAACAAATGATTAAAAAAGAATATATTTAATGTGTATATATATGAATATATATATATTATATATGTAATATAATATATACAATACAAGAAATAATAATGCTCCGTAGACGAAGATATTGTTCTATAAATTGTCGCCCTCAGGGCTTTGTCAAGTAATGATTTTATTTTATGAGAATGAGATGCGCTTATATCGATGCATAACAATACAATTTTCAAAGTCAAATAAATTAGTCAAATTCAAATGATTACATAACATGGGAATACAGGTCCTCTAATCAGAGAGAAAACACGATAGGAAATACCTTCGCGAAATCAACAGATGCAAGATATTATACAAGCTTTGAAGACCGTTTACCTGTGTTCTTCCAAGTAGATATATGTTGGGGTAGAGAAAAAACCGCAAACCATCATACGCTCCTGGTAAAGTGACCCCACGTATAAAAAATGCGGCTAGTACAAGGTGTATATAGGGAACGGTGACATAAGCTATCTGCAAATTAAGAGAAGTAAGAATAAAAATTATACCACATCTAGTTCGGTTTCAACAATTTTACACTCAATATGGTCATAAAGTGGGAATTTCTATACAAACTTTATTTTTAATTTTTCATCATCATCCTCATCACCATCACCGTTTTTAATATTATTTTAACACCCATCCCCCGGACTATCACGTTATCAAGCAAGCGCTTTACTGTGATAACCCTTCTTTTGCAGGCTTCTTCATGAATAATTCTTGGTAGTGTCATCAGTAACATGTTGTTTTAATGTCAACTTTTGTTATTATTACACTTTGTACACGTTCAAACAAATGTCGTATCGCTGAAATGTAATTTGATTTGTCTGTTGCACAAGACAATACATTTAATTCAATTCACTTTTAAAAAAGGCAAGTTGAAGGAAAAAAAACATGATTAATTTCTGATCGAAATCACATGATAAAAGAATGATCATTGGTATTAAAAATAAGAAAACAAAACAAAAAGAAGTAATATACAAATTATTTCTCGGATTTACGGGTCGAATTATGAATTGAGTGCACCTTTTAAAATGAATGTACTGTTTTTAATCAAACCAAGCTATTTACACTAGTTTAACTACAATAAGCCTTGCTTAAATGTTTATGCTCACAGCCAACAATAAAAAGTAAATTAAGCAAATGGGTACGTAGTGTGACCAATGTAGCTAAAAAGCCGAGATATTTTAGCAGTAGAACAGGGTGTCTAGCTCATAGTGTGACAGACATATTCGTTGTACAAGGACCCACTATATTATTCCTCTTTTCTTCATTAAAATTATTATCATTATCATCGTCACTATTATCATCATCATTATTATCATCATTATTATTACTATTTCTATTATTATCATTATTATTGTAAGTATCATTATTATTGTAATTATTACGAGCACAATCATCATCATCGTCATCATCATTACAATTACAAGGAATGAACTGTAAACAAATCATTGCAATTTCGTATTTTGGGGGTCATTTTTTCGTCATAAAATTATTACAGACAAATAAACAAACAATAAACAAAAATATAAAATTACCTTGCCGCTCAATTTGACTCCCATCCAGAGGCCAAAGTAGATGAGCGTCCATGCGAGGAAGAGGTTTAGGGCAAGATACCAAACAATACCTCCTACGTAATGTATTCCGTCTGTCTGTCGTAGCACATTGAATCTAGCAAAGGAAAATGACAACTGATAAAACTAGAGCCCATTTTTCAGTTCACTTCATCTTTATTTCATTTTGACTATCGAGTTTTCTTAACATTCACTAATTTCTTGACACTCCTTTTTCTACTAAGAAATACGATTTTTTTCTCAAAGTACACTTTAATTCAAAGAATACAGAAAATAATAAAGAGTTATCCTGACGGAAGCGTTAACAACTACAACATCAGTTTGTGGTATCACTGAGGCTGCAAGGTGACATCAGTTCAGTTCATTTCGGTTTGTTAATATCAACATACACAATGTACAATGCAGTAGTCCAGGGACCAATGATGCAATGTTTACATAAAATATGCATACAAACAGAAATGATTATAATTTTGAGGTATGGAATCCTCAGTAGATAAAGGAGTGTCAAGAAATTTGTGAATGTTAGGAACACTCGATATTCAAAATGAAATAAAGATGAAGTGGAGCCCCCCCCCACCCCATCATGTTCTATTTTCCCAGATTTTTCTGCCATATCCTGCAGTAGACTTAACCAGTAATACACCCGGATGTGGCTTTAGACAAAGATGTTGACTTTACTCATTTTCAGACAGTAGCAGTTCTAGAGAGGGGCTGGAGGGGACCCTTCTTCCCTCCAAGCCCCCTCAAAGTATTGATTATAAATGAATTTAAGCGAGGCACATGTAGAAAATGAATGCAAGGGCTCCAGGCTCCTCCCTACCCGTCATTCTTTTAGAAACTCGCCTGATGGGGAGGGGGGGGGGGGGTGGGAATGACTGCGCCCCTCAAATAGCTTTAAAAAACAACATAATTTCAACCGGAGCCCCTTTGTATATTCTATTCGCAAGAGGGTGTATGCATGGGCGTCGCTAAAGGGGGGGGGGGGAGGGCTGTGGGGGTGCGACACCCCCACCTGTCAGGAAATTGTGGGTAAAATTGCGCTGACGTCCGGAAAATTGAGAAAATGGGGAGGGAAAGAAAAGAAAAAAAGAAAAGGAAAAGAAAGGAAAGAAAGAAAGAGAAAGTAAGAGAAAAGTAAGAAAGAAAAGAAAGAAAGAGAAAAAAGTTAAAGAGGAAAGAGAGGAAAGAAAGTAAAAGAAAGAAAAGAATGAAAAGGAGTAAGAAAAAAGAGAAAAAAAGAGAAAAGGAAACAAAAGAAACGGGGGATGAAAGAGAGGAGAGAGAGAGAGAGAAAGAGAGAGGGGGGGGGGTAAGAGCCTGAGAGAGAAGGGGTGGGAGTAAGAGAGAGAGAGAGGAGAGTTGTTAGGTGGAGTCGTCTCGTCGAGGGAGCAAGAAAGATACGCATATATGTTGCTGTGTCGGATCAGCTGTGTCGATTCTGGCTCGATTCATGCTCGATCCTCGTGTACGTTATCAATTAAAGTTTAATGGTCTAAGGCATGGCTACACAAAGGATTTTTTTTCTGTTTGAGATCGGGGCAAAAGCAAAATGCAATGAATTATTGATAATTTAGTGCATTTTCTTTGTTTTTTTTTGTATTTGTGGGGGCGGCCCTGTAACCTAGCCTCCGTTGCGTACAGTCACGATTCAGTGGCTAAGCACTGGCCTTGTTACTGTGAGGCCCCATGATCAAAACCGTGTCGATGTGCTGTAGTGCCCTTTTGCGAGGCATTAATCCTCGCTACTTTCAGTTATGACTTAAGGACGTAGGTCCCCTAGTTGATTAGCATAGTAGCACACACATGCTTTAACAGTCAAGCAAAACAAACACTCACAAATTATTATTCAATAAAATCTGAGAATATATGCTATTATCTAGATCTATTAAGAATAAATCATTGTCAAAATCGTTCCATAAATTGGGTTAAAAATAATTATTCCACCTTTATGACCAACAGTGTATTTGTCGGGCTACTTTTGTCGGTAATTGGTAGCCTCTACACCCCCACTGAAAAAGTTCTAGCGACGCCCCTGTGTGTATCCGGAATGGAAATCCGGTGTGTAGGTGGCGTGTACCGTCTGTTCCGATCTAGGCATATTTTGAGTTTGATATCGGATATCACATAATCCAGACTTTATTCACATACATTCAGCGATGATATACCTGTATATCTACAATTTGGCATACATCTTGGTTAAATGGTTCTGACCCCGTTTTAAGTCAACGGATTGTAGATCACAAGGTAGAGAGTTCAAATCCCGGGCCAACGCTAATGTTGTTTTCAAAAGCCGTTAATCTACAATTGCCACTCCCAACCCAGGTGTAAATGGGTACCCAATGGAAATCAGATTTCGATGTTAGGGCTTCCACTCCAGGAGAGGTAAATACATTTTTTTTTTAAATGGGCGCTATTTACTTTTACGGGTCGGCTCTATAAACCGGGGTATTAATCAAATATCGAAGTGCCATGATACATGTGCATTATTATTATTATTATTATTATTACCATTATTAATATTATCATGATATCGCTATTATTACTGTAGTCATTCAATGAAAGGTGAATTTTAGTCATACGAATACAGTATGAAAAACGTTACTGGAAGGAATAGCCTGGTTTAGTAACATATTTAAAGTTAAGAAAGTTTTTATTCAGAGGACCTAGTCATGAGTTATCCCATTCACCTGTTATTAATGAAAGAACTACAATACTTGGAATCCAGTATGCATACATTACTTGTTGAAATGTCTGGGAAGCGCCGAACAAGCGTTCGGTTTATCAAGAATAACCTCGTCTGAAAAGTATGTATACAATTTGAATATGTTAGTAAACCGGTCTAAGTGGGAAACGTTGATGATATAGTAGTATTGATACTGTGAGTTTTAGAATCATCATCATCTGACATCATCATCATCATTATCATGAAACTTACTGCCAGAACTCCTGGGCCGGGTTGGTGGTTGAAGGGTAATTATAAGCACATTTGTCAGGGTTATCTGAAGACCCTGCTACATCCCTACTGTTCCACGATGGAGCTCGCGGTGCTTCCGTTGGATACGTTTCCCACTTGTTGCCGATGATATAGGTTCCGTTGACGCACACCCATTTAGACTAGAGTCAATGAATTCAACGTGATACAGTATAACAACAACAATGGTTAATACCATATTTATTATCATTTTTATTATCATTATTATCATCATTATCGCGATTGCAACTACCTTCGAAAATCAGCCTAAGGCAATTCCAATGGCCTTAATTTGTACATCACCTTTTGAGATGTGCGAACATTGCAAAGACGTGTGACGTAATAAGGGAGTTTACAGATACAATCTGCGCATGGGCAGATAAAGGTCATTTGTACCAAAATGGTAAAACCCACAGAGATGAATACTGGATATGCGCTCATGAAAGTTATGTGACATTATTCATTCATGCACTAACGGTACATTCTATGATACGCAGGTGGAGGTATTCTTTTCAAGAGGTCAAACAAAAGGTATTCATGAAGCACATCTAGGACTTTGGCAGACATTATTCAAAAGATGCTCAAAGTGGAACTTCTCCATGTGTAAAAGATCTGTGGATCTTTGGGGTCATTTGGACTATGTGCTATCTGTAAACTCCCTTATTCGAACAGGATTTCTGTGGGATATACAATAAGTTGATATTTCGAAATTAGTGGCGATCGTGTTTATCATTACTTGTATCATTAACTCAACTCAAACTTCCCATCTAGAGCTATGCACGAACACAAAGACTTTCGAGAAATCAACCGAAGCCCTTGTCCTCAATAGCCTTGTCCATTACCCACTGAAATGTGCGATAAATGTATGATAAGGGAATCTGAATAGAACTTATATGTGATATAGGGTATTGGAATAGACAATTTTCGTTATGGAATCAAATTTCATGCACAAATCTTTTCTAAGTGCCTTGTTACAATGTATTAGGCGCGTTATAAATGTGATCTATTATTATTAATATTACACATTGTTTCATTCACCCGCTTAACTACGAATAGTTGTATTTCAATAGTATTTCAATTGTAAAATGCGAATTACAGACTTATGACTTGTCCTACCTAACAACACATTCGTCCGAATTCACAAAGGAGGTTTGTCGACAAACCTTGGTTTTCGTGCGTCATATGACGCGTTTCGACGCGTTTTTACAAACCAGGTTTGTGAAAAATGCGTCAAAACGCGTCATATGACGTACATAAACCTTTTGTTTGTCGACAAACCTCCTTTGTGAATTCGGGCCATTATGTTAGCAAGTTGCATTCTGTCTATTGAAATACAATTCGAAGCCTGTGAATAGAATAATTTGTAAGGAGGCTCTTAAGAAAGATTTCTGCATTAAATTTTATTACATTTTTGTTTGTTCCCTAGATACAGATATACCAGATACTTGTCATTGTCGTATAAGTTTGCCATATTTGGTTTACCAGGGGGGGGGGGGGTGGGGGCGACTTGTGTGCCCGACTCCCCCCCCCGATCCACCACTGAGGAAGCTTTAAATAATGGGATGGAGTGGGGGAGGGGAGGGATGTACAGAGTCTAGACTTACGGAGCTTTCAAGGCATGTAGCTGTGTTCCATATATTATTGCATCTCGTCCAGGGGAACTCACCGCCAAGGCACGAACTGTAGAGGTAGTATAGAGTCCAAGCCAGGATGACGTTATAGTAGATGTTACGCCACCAAGCGACGACAGTGGTGGCGACACCAATACCTTCGATAATCAAATTAAAGGCGTGTTCAGGAGTGGGCGTGGTAAACCGCCACAAAAAGAGCCACCCGGGTTTTTGTACATGTAAAATGAATAGCAACTATGAGCAACAAAGGACTTCTGCGTATTCACTGAGATCCGTGTATTGTACACGTAACGTCATCACTAAAAAAAATAATAAAGCCGTGATTATGCCGCGTCATTTCTGTACGAGCCTTGGAGTATTACCAAAAAAAAAAAAAAAGCGTTCAACATATATTTTATAAAAACTTACCGGCTCCAGCTAGGCTACCGATTTTGCTGTATGCTCACAGAATTTATGAAACACTTCCTACCAGCCAGGTATCCATTTAGTAATACAAGGTTCAAGGTTTCAAGTTTTTTAAATATTTTGTCCACATAATATAATCAAATGAATATGCAATATATACAAGCGTTCAATAATACAATATTAAACAAATGATACGACAAATAATTAAACAATTATTCATATGAATCATTTAAGATTGGGAAGGTGGTGTAAACATAGTGGAGGTTCTATTGAAAAAGCATGGCTTGTATTTTATAGACCCCTTGAGAATAAAAAAGTTACAAGTGCTCTGTAATAAAATATATATTTAAAAAATACCTTGGTTGATTCGAATGTGGGAAATGTCAAACTGATGACTTGCCAAAGGACAGTGGTACAGGTACGGGGCTCGAACCCACGGCCTTCGCATCTTAACCCTAATAAGCCGGGGGGGGGGGCATTATGGCCCCCACCTCCACGATTTTTCCGATTGCTCGAGAACGCATATGGATGGTGCCCCGCCGCTCGCTGACTTTTTTCTTTCGAGTCTTGCGCATCTTAAAAAAAAAAATGAAAATCGGACCTACAATTACAAGGTCAGGTGACCTTTTGTCTTCGCGTGTCAGCCCGAAAAGCGCTCATTTTTGTGATTTGTGTACAAAACATATGGAAATGTCATTTTTCCTAAAATAGATTAAACATTGGTTATTGAGTCTTGTTTAAAGTTTAGGTGGTTGTTTTGGGAGTCAAAATAGTTGAATTATAGTAAGAAAGGAAATAAAACAACAAAAACAATAAAATACATAAGTTAAACAAAACAATGAAATACATAAGAAATTGTAAAAACAAGAAATAACATAAGGAATAATGGGGAGACCATGCTTTTTCGCATGCAGCAGCCAAATTATGGAATAAGCTTCCCTCATCACTTCGCTGTATTGCAACATACTCTGCCTTTAAAACTCGTCTTAAGACTTACCTATTCCATTTGTAACCCAGTATTTCCTTAAGTTGTATAAGTTTATTTTACTAAATCCATAATTGATATGTTATTTGTATATACATTTGAAATTAATTAGTTATCACCCTTTAGTCTCATTGGCTGCCTGTGTGGGGCCTGTTGGCCTCAGATGCTAGAGCTTCTGTGAATAATGTGCTGACTGGGCTAGTCCCTTAAATTGTCAGTGAACGGAGCAGCTGGAGGGCACCGGGCCCCACCAGGCAGAGCTGAGGATTGAAATGGGTTATAAGAAAATATCACAAAAAATATTGCAAAATTATTTTACTTGTATCAAAGAGAACTGTTGCTGAGCTAGCGCCATGAGCGTCCCTGGACGGTGTGTGCGCTCTATAAGTTTACACTATTATTATTATTATTATTATTATTATTATTATTATTATTATTATTATAAGCTGGCTCTTTCAACTTTTTTTGTCGTATTTTTATTTCAAATGGTCTGATAAATATATGTAGTGAAAAAAAAATGCTTAAATATGAATAATATATGATTTATGGGTAAAAATGTGATTTTATGAATTTATTTGCATAAATTACCATAAATATGCAAATATGCGAATTTTTCTAAAAATTGAAATCATCATATTATTCTATACACTTCACTTGACATGCGTGCAAATTTTCGCGGAGATCGGCCGCTTTGCGGCCGAGATCCTAAGGGGGGGGGGGGGGGGGGAGGGGGGCCATAATGCCCCCCGGCCCTACTAAGAACTCAAATAGCCCGGCCTTATTAGGGTTAAGTCAAGTGTGTAAAAGAGTGAAAGAGGCAAGTAATGCTCATGCGCTAAACACTGAAAAAATAATTTCTGGAAGCTTTAGACCGCTCTTTGCTCACATATTCAAATCGATTTTTGTTTTCTTTCCTAGGGACCTAGTGACGAGTGTTTTCATCAATCCGTTTTCAATGAATGAACTACAATACGCGGAATCCAGTCTGCGTACATCATTTGTTGCTATGTCGAGCAACCCTCGTACAAACGTTAGTGTTTTCAAGAACAACCTTTGTTTAAAGAGTATCCCAATAATGTGAATATGTTGGTAAACTGATCTATCGCAAAAGGTTGATTTTGTAGTTCATACAAAATAATGAATAATCCGAGGTAAGGAATAATAATAATATTAATACTTATAAAGCGCATTATAAAACAAAAGTTTCTCTACGCGCTGTACAAGCATCAATTACGAGAAATGTAATCATTCAAAAGGAATAAAGAAAGAGAAATATACAAATCTGATAACTACTAAAATGACTAACTCGTAATGGTTAGGAGCCAGAGCAAAATAACACTGAGTTCCTATAGGAAATATATTTATTCAGCTGGTCATATCTCAGCCAATACCTAACATATACAATTGGTTTTCGACATTTGGAAATTATTTTTGAAAACCTTTCGAAAAATGAAGAAAACAATTGAGAAATTCTAAAAATAGATTTTTGATGACGTCACGCTTCACCACTCTATTTCTTAGGGAATTGGTTTCTTCGTAAGAGAGATTAGTCTGGATACAATCTGGTGTTAAACTATGGAAAATCTTATTGAGCATTATTTACATGTGCTTTTATTCTTTCTTATGAATGGAGGGGTGGCCCCTTACCACCCTTTCATGCTTAGTCGCTATAACTTTCCTCGTTTGCCGAACATGACAAGAATTCGATCGCCTCCCTGCCCCTCCCACCCCCTTGAACCCCAAGATGGGAGTCGAAGCTGAGTGAATGCTGGTTTATTATGTCTTTCCATGGTCGGAAATACCGGGGATGGTTGACACTTTCCCTCCGATTTGGACAGGGGGAGATTACTATCAAAATTCCCTCACGATTTTGTTCTTGATTCACGCACCCCCACCCCTCCATAAACAAACAGAAAGACTACTCTAAACCAACCGTGACTTAAGAGCAAACATTCACCATCAAACATGTGATTACGTTTTCTTTTGTCTTTTTGCCTGTTAGAGGGTTATCGAAAATGAAGGCACCCCAAAATATTTTGTTATATATTTATTTACTTGTCAGTACAAATGCATCCCAAGATATAAACTCTCATCTACGCCCACGTCTACGCATTTAAAGTTTCGTAACCACAATTGCGTCGACACGGTGCCTAACAACGGTTAAAATAACTTTGAAGATTAAAACTACGGACTTTTGTGTGAACCTAACGTACTGTACGTACATCGCATGTATTTTGACGTATCTGGGAATCACGTTTTAGCCATTTCGTCTTTTCGTGGTCTCCCATTAATAAATTCTTGTTTTATACAATGTATATATGTTTTGTATTTCTTTTCAGAAATATTAATTAATTAGTTATGTTTACCTTGAAAAAGTGGGCATATCTTCCATGCTCTGATGGGACCTGAGGAGGTGTATTGACCGAGTGCCGTCTCCAAGAACATGAGAGGAATCGCAAGAAACATGGAACATAGTAAATATGGGATGAGGAACAGAACTGTGGAGAGAGAGAGAGAACATAATCAAAAGTTTTACCAAACCACACTGTAAAAAAATAATAGTCGAAATAACTCAATAAAATTGAGGAAAAGAATTGCCTTATTTTTATTAAGTAAATATTACCTACGGCATCTTAAGTAGAATTTACTTATTTTGCTGAATAAATTTTTACTCAGTTAAATCGAGTTACATTAACGTAAATAATTTAAGTATTGTAATCATTTTAGATAATTAAAAAAAAGCTATGATAGGATTACATATTGCACGATTTGGTACCCATCTAATCTAACAAGTAACATCCACTAATCATTCACTACTTCTATTTAAGATTTAACCGTATATATATCTACCACCATCACAAACAATTACATATGCTTCAACTGGACACATATTGAAAGGCTCCAAATTTTATATATACTTGATCGTAACATCTTAAAAGGAAAATTGGTTGACAATTTTTCTGAAATATCAAGTTTTTATTTGTTTTGAACTGGGTAACAATTAAAAATTGTCTTGTCTTTGCTTAGCCTTGTTAAATGAATTAGTAAATGTTCTAAAGTCCTTAAATTTTCATTCAACCACAAAAAAGAATTGTTTTATTTAAAAAAGAGTATAATTTGGTCTTAATGAATATTCATAAATTATGTAAATATTTCTATTACGCACTGCATCGGTCCTTACTTTAAAAAGATAAGAATAATCAACATAAATTGTTTGAGTAATACGTATAATTTCTGATTTTGAGTTAAAATTACTAAATATTCCACGTATGTTCTACTAAATTGAAAGTTTGAGTTAGCAAGACTTAAATTTAGTGCGTAAGTGGCAAAACTAATGTTTTCAAGTAATTCTACATAAAAAAAATACGTAAAAATTACCAATGAACAAATTCTTTTTTACAGTGCATACGGCTTTTACTACTACTGCTGTCCTACTACTACTATTACTTGTTGGTAGAGCAGTGGTCTCCACTATTAATACTACTTCTAACAATACTAATAGTGAATACAATGATGATGATGACAATGATAATTATAACAATAGTGACGATAACATATACTCATATAAGCCTAATCAGTATTATTACTGTTTGTCGAATGCCAATTTTGTCTACTATCCACTTGGTCTAATAATCATTTAATTATACTAGGTTAATAATCATCATCAAATAATTATTAGACGTTATTCAGTTAATGAACTCCTTGAAAAACTATCGTTTAGGCTGAAGCGAATTTACCATGATTAAATAAATAAATGTAATGAAAACAATAAATGAAATCAATCCACCCTCTTGAAGGGGCACTGATGCACTCCAGTCAGACCGCAGCGCCCGCGCTATTTAATGAGCTATTTTTGCAAATTTTGTAGATTCACGTACGGCCGTACAATCCCAAATCGCGAGATTTTGTGCGAGATGTCACGAGATTTGGAAAGAGCCAACAAAACCCCTCCCTCTGCAAAAAATTATTCAGATATCATCGAAAAATGATGTGGTAACTGAATTTACGATTCTTGCTCTCTCTTTTGGTATATTATTTGTAATATTTCCGAACTTGGAAAACAATGCAAATTGAGCCCAAATATTCGGCTAATTTTGTTCTTTTTGCAATCACATTTTGACATAGCGTTGTGTTTTGCTAGCTCCTGACCGGTAACGAAGTTATTTTTTGTCGAAACATTTTTCCTGAATAGAAGAATAGTTTATCTCAAAATCCTCTGACAAAAACGAGCGGGATGGATAAGAATATAGGTTGGCGGTTTTCGAGCGACGACTATCGTTGACCTCTTGAAATAATATATTTTAGGTATTACTGGAAAGCAAAAGAGTTGAGGTGGTCTTCCCCCCCAAAAAAAAAAAAAAACGCCGCCCAAAAAAAAGGGGGGGGGGGGGAGAGAGAGATGAGAAAAAAGTAAGAGGACGTAGGAAGAAAAAGGAGCAGACAAAGGAAGGTGACAAATTAGACTGCGTTAACAAATAACAAGATTACAAAGGAAACATCAGATATGTATCATAATTATATTCTTCTTAATGTAATTGTGAAATGAGCTTTGAATTCTATAGCCATAAGCCCAGTCCAGCGCAGTTCGCCTTTTGTATTGCTCGACATAACGTACCTACACAATGACTCAACGGTGCTCGACGGATATTTTATGTACAGCGGGCCGGGTTCTTTACCTTTTTATTGTATATTCGTTGAGGAGAGTGTAGGAATTGCTAGCCAGTATGTATATACAACCCCGCTCTCATATTCTCGAACAAGAAATAAACAAGAAATAAGTCACACTAATGTGGCAAATAATGGCGAACATATTTCCCGCAAGCAATTAAGGAAATCTTATGACAAAATACTTATTGCTTGGTGATTGGTCAATATATTTATCACATGCATGATGCTCAATTCTAAAAGAAAACAAATCGAAATCTTGTATAGACCTAAAACAATGAAGCAAATATTATTTTTGAAATTTCAGACAAGGGTTATAAAGGTCGAGAACGAATCACCTTCTTTCTCTATAGTTTAATGAAACGTCAAAGCTTCCGCGCTTCGCAAGAGAGGTGTGGGAGCGGGTGGGAGGGACTCCCCTACCTCGCACCCACCCTCCTTCGGAACGCGCTTTTGTAAGTGCTTCGCCCCCTTAAATAAAATCCTAGCTACGCGGTTGCATACCACTGAGGTCTGACTGACCCCATCCCCACATAGAGCCTGGCGCGGATCCAGGATTTCTTGGGGGGGGGGGGGGCCCAAATTTGAAATCAGGCGAGCCAAATATTGGTACGTTATGGTGACCAGCAGTGACGTAATCGGGGGGGGGGGGTGGGTGCAGGGAGGGGCGAGTTTCCCCCTCCCTCCTCCGCGAAGCGCGGAAGCTTTGACATTTCAATAAATTATTAGAGAAAGAAGACGATTCGTTGTACCGTTCCCAAATATAATCCTCGTCTGAATTATGTTTCCTCACCTCCCGCGCGAAGCGCGGAAGCTTGTACGTTTCATTAAGAGAAAGAAGACGATTCGTTGTGTCGTTATCGACTCTTAATCTTCGTCTAAATTCAGTTCCCCCCCCCTCCCGCGCAAAGCGCGGAAGCTTTTACGTTTCATTAAATCATTGGCGAAAGAAGACAATTCGTTGTAGGCCTACCGTTATTACTTTTAATCCTCGTCTAATTTCATTTTCCCCCTCCCGCGCGATGCGCGGAAGCTTTTACGTTTCATTAAATCATTAGAGAAAGCAGACGATTCGTACCGTTCTCGACTCTTAATCTTTGTCTGAATTTCAAAAATGTTCTTCGTCTACTCCCTTTTCTTCCTACGTCCTTTTCCTTTTCACTCCTCTCTTTTTTGGCCGGCGTTTTGGGGCCCCCCTCTGTGAAAATAATGCATTTAAACGCAACGAATTTTCTTTTGGACCAATAAAATTGAATTTAAGAGTTCAATATTGTACCCCCAACAAATCTGAAACAAATATAGATATGTGACTCAAAGTGATATATCGGTTTTTACCGATATACCTGATAATAATATAATATGTAAAACATGGGAAAAAAACTTTATTTATTGTTAGGGTTAGGGTTCGAGTTAGGTTAATACGGACCTTGGTTTCCTAGGGTAACGCAGGGGCCCGGTGTCCTAGGGTAACGCGGGGCCCGGTGTCCTAGGGTTAGGGTTAGAGTTAGGGTAACGCAGACCCTAGTGCTAGGAACCAATAATTGCTTGACTTTGTAAAAGGCATCAAATTAAAACAGCAAATTTAGGGGCGAAATTACCAAAAAAGCTGGGGCGAGCTGACCAAGAATCCCAAAATCGCCAACCAAAAAAAATCGGGGGGGGGGGGGGGGGGGGGGACATGACCAATTGAGGGCGACTTTGTAAGGGGGCGGACCGACATTGGGCGACCTGAAATGGAACCGCCTGTATAGCCTACCAGGCTCACCTAAAATTCTTGCGTTCGCATTGTTTCCTTCTTCCTCTCCCAACCTCCCTTTCTACGCCTTTGATTTCATACACTCATTATGCTACCAGCAAAAGTTTAAGGAATAAAGCGACTATCAAGTTCAAGTAAAAATATTGAAGATTTGCGTCGCGTGATTCTTTTCATTTGTTTTGATTGGCGTGTTGAGGTCAAGAGATATCTCGACCCTTTATGGTGGCTCCAATTCGAGCTCAAGGCTATGAGTGTGTAATCGTAGACACCTCTTAGTATAGAAAGCTCGAAACAATATATACAATCTACTTGTTAACATGTAGTTCAAGTGAACAAGTGAATCAGGTGCGGATCCAGGATTTCTTAGGGGGGGGGGGCCCAAATTTGAAATCATGCGAGCCAAATATTGGTACGTTATGGTGACCAGCAGTGACGTAATTGGGGGGGGGGGGTGGGTGCAGGGAGGAGCGAGTTTCCCCCTCCCTCCTCCGGGAAGCGCGGAAGCTTTGACATTTCAATAAATTATTAGAGAAAGAAGACGATTCGTTGTACCGTTCCCAAATATAATCCTCGTCTGAATTATGTTTCCTCACCTCCCGCGCGAAGCGCGGAAGCTTTTACGTTTCATTAAATCATTAGAGAAAGCAGACGATTCGTACCGTTCTCGACTCTTAATCTTTGTCTGAATTTCAAAAATGTTCTTTGTCTACTCCCTTTTCTTCCTACGTCCTTTTCCTTTTCACTCCTCTCTTTTTTGGCCGGCGTTTTTGAGGGGACCACCCGACCGCCCCCCCTCCCCTCTGGCTACGCGCCTGCGGTCAGATGAACATATGTTGATACCTTGTCTGCCCCCGGAACTCAGGGGTTTAAGGCAATAATTTACGGTCAGATTTGCATTCAGGGGTCCGCCTTTGGGCCCTAGGCCGGTCCAGGGAGCAGAGCCCCGGAAGTTCAGGGGTTTTAGGAATTTTATTAAGGTCAGATGAGCATTGTTTTGATACCTAATTGTGACACTGGCAGGTCACTAATTGGCGTGGGGTTCAGGTGGCGGAGCCCCCGGAATCTCAAGAGTTTTAGGCACTCAATTACGGTCAGATGAGTATCAAGAGGCCCGCCCGTTAGGGCTCTTGGTTGGGGTCAGGGGGCAGAGCCCCCGGAAGCTCAGGGGTTTTAGGCGTTTAATTACTGTCAGATGAGCATCTAAGGGCCCACCTTAGGGCCCTAGGTGGAACCCAGGGGGCAGAGCCCTCGTGGTTTTAGGCATTTAATTTAATCATGGTCAGATGAGCATATTTTGATACCTCATTATAATGTGACACTGGCATTTAACTATTTTTTTCTTTCTTGCTCTCTTTCTTTCTATTTCTCTTTAATATACTTTTTCAAAAAAAGGTGGGGGGGGGGGGGCTCGAGGATCCCGATCCCCGTCGTTCCGCGGGCCCTGACATGTAGGCATCTAAAGAAGCATTTTCTTGCCTGGCTATACATTTAGGAATTTGTCATTTTCCAACAAACGCATAAAAAGTACAATTTACTTAAAAGTGAGGAAAAATTGGGGAAAATTATGTCATTTCTGCATTTTTTGTAAACCACCGTTATGGAATTAGAAAAAAAAACACGTTTGAATTTGATTTCCCCAAAGCCCCCCCCCCTCCCCTATCAGTACGTCAGTGCCCCCCCCCCGATTTACACCTTGTTGACGAGAAAATTACGACTGATATCCCTTACCTTTCTTCATTCTCTGTTTGTTCTTTCCCTTTCTCTCCTCTTTCCCTTTCCTTCCCTTCCTTCTCTCTCACTTAGGTTTGCTGGGGGGGGGGGGGCAAGGTCATTTTGGCCCCCACTCCGCTCCACACATTGTTGACTGATCTCCCCTTCTTTTCTTCTTCCTCTTTTTTGTTCCCTTTTAGCTCTCCTCTTTTCCTTTTCCTTCCTTCTCTCTTTGTTTAGCGGAGACGGGGGGGGGGGGGGGGGGGGAGGCAAGGGCCTTTTGCCTCCCCTCGATCCACAACTTGTTGGCGGGAAAATTGCAACTGATATCCCCCTTCTTTTCTTTTCTTCTTCCTCTTTTTTCTTCCCTTTATCTCCTATTTTCCTTTTTTCTTTCCCTTTCCTTCCTTCTCTTTTATTTTTTGATTGGAGGGGGAAGGTTGGTCCTTTTGCCCCCCCCCCGATCTCCTTCTTCCCTCTCTTCTTTTCTTCTTCCTCTTTTTTCCCCTTTCTCTCCTCTTTCCCTTTCCCTTCTTTTCCTTTTCTCTCTCTCTCTTTTTTTTTTTTTTTTTTGCGGGGGGGGGGGGGGGGCAAGGCCCGCTCGGCCCCCCCTGGATCCGCGCCTGCATAGAGCAACAATCCTGATGTACGTGCTAGTTCAACACAGCAAGGAAATATAATCTAAATAAAATGTCATCTACTTACACCCGCCATTGGCGTAGCAGAGGTAAGGGAAGCGCCATAAGTTCTGAAAGCAGGCTACGAAGCCGATGTTCGTCCCAATAGATTCAAATCGCCAACTCCACCGTTCCCGATCCATCGCTGCCTGGTCCGACATATTCTATAGTTCAGTATGATATAGGTCTAGCTGGTATACAGGTCTATCCTATAGTCAAGATATATTTCGAGCTATCATGCATGAACGCCGAATGTTTGTCATAGTGTCTTATCATGTATATCCTCTTCTGCGCTGAATAACCAGGAAGTACCTGCAACTGTAACTGATTTTTCTCAGGGGGGGGGGGGGGGGGCTTAAACAAATGTACGGTAGGTGTGACTCAGCATGACGTTCTCTTTCAAGTTCAGTGTGTAAACTTTATAGTAATGTATGCGGCAGGGGCGTACGCAGGATTTTTTCAAGGGGGGGGGGGGGTTTAAAATCTGGCCCAAAATATTTGCTCCCGAAAATTTGAAAAGTCGCTCAGGGGGGGGGGGGGGGGGGGGGGGGGGGGGGGGGAGTAAGCGGATACTTTTTTCTTTTTTTTTGGTCTCGAAATTTGAAAATTTGACTTCTTTTTTCGTTGGGGGGGGGGGGGGGGGGGTAAGCGGACACTTTTTTTGGTTTTTGGTCTCGAAATTTGAAAATTTGACATCTTTTTTCGTTGGGGGGGGGGGGGGTAAGGTCACTTTAAGTTTTTTTTAGGGGGGTTTACACACATAAAAATACCAAAGCGGGGGGTTTGAAACCCCAACCCCCCCCCCCCTGCGTACGCCCCTGGTATGCGGTGTTGCGGTGCGATGCAGCCTTGGTGAACCGCATACATATCCTGAATGCATGTACTTTCTATATTAGACCAATGTACATGATTTTACTGCATTTATTGCAAATATGTGAATTGCGCAGCGCTGATGTTAATCCACCTCACATAATGTAGCGTACTTGGCTCAAAATCCAAGTTTCTGTAAATCATAGGCTTACACGCGTAAGAGTGTCGTGGTCGAGCGGTTTAAGGCGCTTGACTGCAGATGCGAAGGTCGAGGGTTCGAATCCCGACACGGCACTAATATCCTTTGGCAAGATATTAACCTGCACTTGCTACTCTCTACCCAGGTGTTAAATGGGTACCAGGTAGGATGCGACCGTCATTGTTGGTCAAACAGTTTTGAGCGTAACGTTACGCCTGGCTGGCTCCCCAGGGAGTGGAGATTGTGCACACACTGTGTGCGGGAAAGTATTGAATCCAATGACCGGGATAATAATATATGTAATATCTATAGAGCGCTGTAAATCATAGATGTTATAAGCACTATATAAAGCGGAGTTATTATTATTATACATGTACGTAATTATACCTCTTGGTGCTGTTTTATTTTAAATATAAATCGTCAAAAGGATTGAAAAATCATGTTCAGTATAGTAGTCGAGTCCAAAGTCGAGATCCGAATGTGTTGCTATATTGTCGTCGTATCGTGGTTCATTCATTGACTCTAAATCCAAGGGTTGAGGGTAAGATTCCCAGCCCGGTAATAATTGTATTCATGAAAATATACATCCACATTAAATTGCCACTCTCCACAACGATGTGAATGAGTACCTGGTAATTGATGGGTAGTAGCGATTGCAGGGCCCACCTGAAGTGCCAATTCATGTATCAATTTACAAATTGAGTTCGATTACAAAATACACTTCAGCCTTGACATTTATGAACAGCAGATATAGGAAATCTATCTCCAAAAAAAAGTAAAATTAATGTATTTTACACTTTTTCGCCCAGGGCGGAGCCCTCAGAAGCTCAGGGGTTTTATACATCAAATTATCGTCGGATGTGCATAATTATTCCTTATTTTTGACACTGGCAGGTCACGAATTTGATGTGGGATCCAGAGGGCGGAGCCCCCGGAAGCTCAGGGGTTTTATACATTAAATTATCGTCAGATGAGCATGATTTTATACATTATTTGTGACACTGGTAGGTCACGAATTGGCGTGGGGTCCAGGGGGCGGAGTAGTACCGGAAGCTCGGGGGTTTTGGGCAATAAATAACGGTCAGATGAGCATATTTTTATATCAATTTGTGACACTGGCAGGACAAAAATTGGTGTTCGGTCCAGGGGGCGGAGCCCCAGGAAGCTCAGGAGTTTTATACATTAAAGTATCATCAGATGAGCATGATTTTATACCTTATTTGTGACACTGGCAGGTCACGAATTGGCGTGGGGTCCAGGGGCGGAGCCCTCGGAAGCTCGGGGATTTTGGGCAAGAAATAACGGTTAGATGAGCATGCAGCCGTCCACCTTAGCGCCCTAGGTGGGGTCCAGGGGGAAGAGCCCACGGAAGTCAAGGGATCTTAGGCATTAAATTACGGTTAGATGAGCATATTTTTAGAACCCTTTTATTTCCTTCTTTTTTTGTTCCTTCTTTTTTCCCCTTCTTTTTTCTTCTTTTTTCCCTTCTTTTTTCCTTCCTTCCTTTTTTGTTGCCGGGGGGGGGGGCGGGCCCCCAGCCCCCTGGATTCGCCACTGACTACTACAACTCGGCTATAGGTCAAAGGGGTTGTCTCCGAAATTGCAGCGTATTTGGAAAGGGTCTTTCCTCATCATTCATCGCTTGTCTAATGTCGTCTACAGGAAAAAGGCAAAGAACCGTGGAAAGAAGATGGTTGTTCTTGCTGACAGGTTAAAGCCTCATATGAGAAACCCTTGTCTCGTGAATTGAGGAACGTATAAGTCAGCAAGTAGACCACGCTGAGGAGAAGAGTGGAGGATCGCAAGCAGAAGACCTCATGAAAGATGTTAAAGGTAATACATTTACATGTACAAAGTTTTGGTATGGGGTCATGAGTTTGGTTCAAATGAACATATTGGAAGCAAATGCGATTTTACAATATTCAATGATCGTTGTAGCGGTTGAAATCGAGTCTAAAGTGATGAAATTGTAAATAATAAACTCTTTATGTTGTATAGATCCCTGATAGATCCCTCTGAAGACTGATTTTTAATTTAGCTTTAAAACAATGTTTCTTGACTACAATCGACCGATTTGCTATTCCCGTTTGGAAATTCTGAGATTCTCATAGTCGCAGCTACCATGGAATGGCCTTAATCGCTATTTGAAATATTTGAAATTTAAAGGGAGCAACGGTAAATTTTTGATTATTCAATTTCTCGAGAGCAGAAGTGTTTCAGGGACTAAATTTTGCGGTGCTTATAATACATCCACATGGGCATCCAAATATATCAAAACTTTGAAGAATTACTATCTATCCATTTTTCAAAATTTCCCAAAACTTTGCATTACCTTTAATACATGAGTCGCAAATGATCTTACAGAAGAAAAGGCATTTCAAGTCCAGGGGGTTGTTTCACAAAGATCCTAAGTCGAACTTAACTCTAAGTTGGACTTAAAAATTATGGAGAGCCATTTGTAGCCTAAAATAAAATATATTAAAAAGTGAATACTCATGTTTTTAGGGTTTTCATAAATTCCACATCAAGAACATGAAATCTCCCATGATAATAGAAATATGAATGATTTTAAACAACATTTACGCCTTTTAAAATGACTTTTACAAAATATTTTCAAACAAACTAACGGCTTTCCATAACTGTTTTAAGTCCAACTTAGAGATATGTTCAGCTAAGGATCTTTGTGTAAACACCCCCCCCCCAGGTGTTATAAAATTAGAAAATTAGCAGATACAAGACAACTGAAGCGGAAGGGGAGTCGTTGCAAAGGGAAGCGAACAATACCTTAATTACCTTAATTTGTTTTTAAAAAAGTTCCCCTGGTGCTCAATGGGGGGGGGGGGGGGGGGGGGGGTGCGATTTTCAAATTTTCGGAAAAAAAAACACACAACAACTAGTGCTGCCCCCTCCGGTGAGCGAAAAATCGACCGGCGCGATTAGTGATCCTCCCCCCCCCCCCCTACTGAGCGAAAATAGTGTTCTGTTCGATTTTCAAATTTCCGGGGGCTAAAACGATTTTTTTTTTTTTTTTTGCTCACTTCCCCCCCCCCCTTCTTCAACACTGAACGAAATATTGGACGGTGCGATTTTCACACTTTAAGAGGCAAATACAAAATACTATACAAATATACTTTGATTGATTTGATTGATTTGCAGTAAAATGAGAACAATTAAAAGCCAATAATACCAAATTGCACTTTTAGCTTCTCAGACCTTCTGGTCCTGCAGGTGAAATTTTTACACGCTTTATTTAAAATTCAACAGGTATTAAGACCTGCCCTCGAATTTATATACAAACATAACAAAGGTGTGTGCCACGGACAACGGGACACAGGGTTCGAACTTACACAGTGCAATACTTGGGGGGGGGGTGTCCCCTGTTCCCCCTATTATTGACGCCCACGCATTGAAGTAAGTTGAAATCCTAATAATCCTTAAACATCCGAAGACTCTGTAAACTACACAAAAGGAATAATTGCTATCTCTCAAAAAGCATCAAATCAAATCAAATCATTATTTTCACTAAAAAAAACATGTTACAATTATTGTTTCTCCACAATTCATTTCAGTACATGTAATAATAGAGGTCGAATTATGCATACATGCAAGCGCAAATTGAAATTGAAAATAACTCCTTTTATGTATATAAAAACAATGCAAAAACATACAATATCAAACATAATTTCAACATAACAGCATATAATTTAGGAAAAGATAGATAGAAATATATAATTTAAACTAAAATGTGTTTGATTCATTAGTTCAAGACGACGTCGTTTAATTATATTAGGCGTTTGAATAGTCTTATTTTCCCCTATTCTTATGGTTAACGGAACACGAGAGTAATTATACAAACAAAATTAATCAAGGGCTATTACAGTAGTTTTGTCCGTCACCTATAATGACATGATTGAAATGTGCATATTACTTAATCCGAAAATGATATATTTTTTAATGGGATGTATCGAAATTGGCCTTGGGTTGATTTACAGGTTATTCCATAAATCAGAGTTTATCATTTTATATATAAACACAAGAATAATTATTTCATACTTTTGATGTGCGACCATTAATTTGAAGGGAAATTATTTGATGACATTGTGAACATTTTCCATGTCAGACACCAAATGCCTACTGATGCACCAGGGCCAGTACTATGAATTACTTAAGTTATGTATATAGCCAATGCCACTTACCTTGCAGCTATAATTATAGCTCAGTTAGGTTTTGTAAAGGCCCAGTTATAAATGAAAATCCACCATCCAAGGAAAGCGTAAGCATGATTAGATATATATCAAGTTTAAATCTCAAATAAATTTCAGTCCACAACATTTTTCAATTCAGTTTATTTGATTATTTCTTTAAAAATATATAATACCAACGAAATAAAGCAATTTGAAGTAAATATACGAAACGACATATGGCAAAAGAACACATACACATACATATATAGCTGACATGAGAAATACAAAAAGGATTGATTATAGTAGAGGTGACGGATTAGCAAAAGCAATCGGACAGTCAAGGCTAATCCCAATTTTAGTACACTTAAAATTAGTAGATTAAAATAATTAAAAGTGAGTAAATTATATCATAGTACTGTACATGCATTTCAATTGAAGGTGAGAGTAGAACACATGACATCAGAGAGAAAGAGAATATGACATATTAATAACCTTAATTGTTTTTAAATACTTTTAAAATGAATCAAAACCTTCGTGTAATAATATTGTAGAAATACTTACAACATGCACACTCACCCACGCACCCACGCACCAATTCATGTTTTTCATGATATAGGCATTTCAAGTATATGAGAATGTAAAAAAAGGTATACTACAAATTCGACATGATATGGTAATAATCAAGCTACAGGCCTACATTTGGCTATATCGTGATGGTGTCAAAATTGCTCCTCGTTCGCGAGATATAGAAAGTCGAAAGAAGTATTAATTTTGGACAACATTAAACGTTAGCTCATTAAAAAAATTATAACTTATAATTATATACTGTAAGCCAAGCTACCATAATAATTTTGAGGAGGAAAAAAAAAAAGGCATAATTATTGAACTGCTTTTGTTCTTTTACGAATTCTGCCCAATATATTTCAAAATCACAATGTTTTATTGAGGTAAAATTGAATAGGCCTATTATTAAAATTTGCGATCCAATGACTTGGAATTTTCATCAAATATAAATTGAAACCGAAGAAAATTAAACAATTTAAAGTATTTATATAATTCCGTATCATTTAAGAGATAGCATACGACTTCGAAACTGCAAGTGATTATTTTTTCAATCTTTTCCACTATTACATAATTTTTTTTTTAATTGACTCTTATGATATTAGGTCATTTCCACACCAGCTGGTTCTACATGTACTTCATCACGAACAGGAACGATAGTGGGTTGGATAACCATTTTCAGCCTCTGAAATGGAGAAAAACAAAATGAAGAATTATTGTTAAACATTTAAAAGGCACAAATGTCCACACACAAAAAAAAAAAATAATCAGGACTTTATTGTAACGCAGCAATGTGAGGAGTGAAGCCTTCCCCTCCCCCTCCCCCCAAAAAAAATCTCGATCGTTCGGTTTTCAATCTACTTCAAAGAAATGGAGCAGTTTCAGAGGCAGCTGGTTGGGGGTAACACCTGGTCAGAGGTAGTCAGAAAAGGAGCTAGTTTTTACTTGCACAAGGAGCACTTCTTACGACTCAGTTCTTTAACCTGCTAGAACCTTTGTTAAGGCCCAGGCGCGGATTCAGGGGGGCGGGAGGCCTGCCCCCCCTCCCTGGGAAAAAAAAGAAGGAAAAAAAGAAGGAAAACAAAAAAAGAAGGAAAAAAAAAAAGAAGGAAAAAAAAAGAAGTAAAAAAAAAAAAGGGAGAAAAGAAGGAAAAAAAAAAAAGGAAAAACAAGAAGGGAAAAAAAAAGGAGGAAAAAAAAAGAAGGGAAAAAAAAGAAGGGAAAAAAGGAGGAAAAAAAAGAGAGAGAGAGAGAGAGAAGAAAAAAGGGAAAGAGGAGAGAAAGGGAAAGAAACAAGAGGAAGAAGAAAAGAAAAGGGGGAAGAAGTGATCGGAAGGGGGGGGGGGGCGAAAGAGCCTCGCCTCCCCCTCCCCCAATTAAAAAAAAAAAAAAGAGAGAAGGAAGGAAATAGAAAGAAGGGGGTATCAGTTGCAATTTTTCCGACACAAGTTGTCGATCGGGGCGGGGGTAGGGCAAAATGCCCTTGCCTCCCCCCGCCCCGCTAAAAAAGAGAGAAAGAATGAAAAGGGAAGAAGGAGAGCTAAAAGGGACCGAAAAAAAGGTGACAAGAAGGGGAAATAGATCATTTGCAGTTAATCCCGCCAACAACGTGTGGAGAAGGGTGGGGGCCGAAATGACCTTGCCTCCTCCTCCCCCACCCCCATCAAACCTAAAAGAGAGAGAAGGAAGGGAAGGGAAAGGGAAAGAGGAGAGAAAGGGAAAGAAAAAAAGAGAAAGAAGAAAGGTAGGGGAGATCAGTTGCGATTTTTCCGCCAACAAAGTGTAGATCGGGGGGGGGGGGGGAGGTGGGGCACTGGCGTATTGATCGGGGAGGGGGGCTCGGGGGAAATAAAATTTAAACGTGGTTTATTTCTTATTCCATAAAGGTGGTTTACACATAATGCTGAAATGACATAATTTTCCGAGATTTTTCCTCATTTTTTAGTAAATTATATTTTTTATGCGTTTGTAAATTAACAGCCAGGCAAGAAATATGCTTCTTGAGATGCCTACATGTCAGGGCCCGCGGAACGGCGGGAATCGGGAGCCTCCAGCTCCCCCCCCCCCCAATTTTTTTGGAAAAGCATTTTAAAGAGAAATAGAAAGAAAGAGAGCAAGAAAGAAAGAAGAGTTAACTACCAGTGTTACAACAAAATAAGGTATCAAAAATTGCTCATCTGACCGTAATTAAACGCCTAAAACCCCTGAGCTTCCGGGGGCTTTGCCCCCGGGACCCGACTAAGGGCCCTTGGGCAGGCCCCTTGATACTCATCTGACCGCAATTTAGTGCCTAAAACCCTTGATCTTCTTGGGGCTCCGCCCTGCCAGTGTCACAAATAAAGTATGAAAATATGTTCATCTGGCCGTAATCAAATGCCTAAACCTGAGCTTCCGGGGGCTCTGCCCCTGGACCCCACTGGATGCTAATCTGACGGTAATGTAATGCTTAAAACCCCTGGGCTTCTGGGGGTTCCGCCCGCTGGACCTCACGCCAATCAGTGTCCTGCCAGTGTCAGAAATAAGGTATAAAAATATGTTCATCTGACCGTAATCAAATGTCTGCAACCCCGAGATTCAGGGGTTTCCGCACCTCGACTCCACCATGGGCCCTGAAGGCGGGCCCCTGAATGCTTATCTGACCGTAATTTGCCTTCAACCCATGAGTTTCCGGGGGCGGAAAAGGTATCAAAAGATGTTCATCTGACCGCAGGCGCGTAGCCAGGGGGGCAGTGGGGGCGCCCTCCCCAAAAAAAGAACGCCGTATGAAGAAAAAGGAGCAGACAAAAAACCTTTTTGAAATTCAGACAAGGATTAAGAGTCGAGAACGGTACAACGAATCGTCTTCTTTCTCTAATGATAAACGTAAAAGCTTCCGAGCTTTCCACGGGAGGGGGGGGGGGTGAGTTTAGACGAGGTTTAAGAGTAAAAAAAACGGTACAACGAATCGTCTTCTTTCTCTAATGAGTTAATGAAACGTAAAAGCTTCAGGAAAAACTGTATTCAAACGAGCAGGCACGTACACAGGGGGAGGGGGGGGGGGTCCTCGGTTTTGTTTATGTGTGTATTTTGTAGCAACGCCCCCCTTTTTGTGATGTTTATTTAAAAAAAAAAATTATTTAAAAAAAAACAAAAAAAAAATCTGCCAATGGCTGACCTAAAAAAGGTGACCTAACCCCCCAACGGAATAAAATGTCAATTTTTCAAATTTCGAGACCAAAAAACAAAAAAAAGTGTCCTCTTACCCCCCCCCCCCGGTTAATTAGCGGTTGGCTGAGTCGTTGCGATTTTTTTTTTTTGGGGGGGGGTGCACTTATTAACAAATTTCCCTTGGAGGCGGCATGAGAAAAAATGTGTGTCCTCTTGGCTCCCTGGCTCAGCCAACAACAACAAAAACAAAGAAGATGCATTATTTTTGTGCTACTCGGCACACCCGTTGCTCAAAGGGAAGCCGTATTCCCTTTGAGGATCAGCAATTATAAGCCCTAAAATCCTGTTCATGATCTTACCGTCATAGTGGGCCCTTCACCTTTGATCATGTGGTAGAAGATGGAGTAGATCGCTCCTGCGGGAATGCACACCATCGATGAGAGGGTCATACAGAAGCCGAGCCGTCGGCCCAGCTCGGGTAGTCAGAGGAATAGGACAGCGGGGCCCAGTACACTATGTTGCCGATCCAAACGAGCTGAGAATATAATGTATTTTGCACGATTATTTGACAAATCTTTTGTTATCCTCTCTTCAAATTGGTTTTAATCACTCATGTGTGAAATATGCATCATATGAGTTCCATGAAATGAAAGAGGAGGATCTAAGCTTACCAATTTATGTGTCATTTATTAATTATAATTGTGATTAAGTTATAATAAAAAAATCGATGATTGTTGGTTTCGTTTTTTTCTGGGACGCACTGTAGAGTAGAATAAAGAGAAAGTCGAGTCCTGCTTAATTCGAGGTTTAAATATTCATTGTGAGCTTTCTTATTTTTTGTCAGTTTGGAAGCGTATCCGGACACCTACCCCTGGACATCAAAACCCTAGGGCAGCCACCACCGAGGACGACTACCCCCAGACAACTACCCCTAGGAAAACTACTCCCTAGGACAACTACCCCCGGACAAATACCCCCAGACAACTACCCCCGGACAACTACTCCCGGACAACTACCCTCTAGGATAGTTGTCCGAGGGGTAGTTTTCCTAGAGGATGGTTGCCGTGGGGTATTTTTCCGGGTGGTAGTTGTTCGGGGGTAGTTATCCGGGGGTATTTGTCCGGGGGTAGTTGTTCGGGGGTAGTTGTCCGGGGGTAGTTGTCCTAGGGGGTAGTTGTCCTAGGGGGTAGTTGTCCTAGGGGGTAGTTAACGGCGCGTACGGAACCCAAATCAGACTTGGGTTCCTCGAGCACCTTATTCTACTGCATGCAATTACGACGCGTCGACTAGTTTACTAGTTTTGTATCTAGTGAAAGAGTATTTTAACTCGCAATATCTCTTTATAATATTGTTTGAAGCTCAAATATTCATTGTAGTATAGCAACTTGGAATCCTTAACATACAGTGCAAAATATATTCTATTGATTTCTACACTTTAAATGTCTGTAGAATAAGGGCCATCTATATTCGGAGAGATATTTACCAGAGCAATAATAGGAACAGTGACTGGCCAGCAGATTATGTACCATTCAATCTGTTGCCATCTCAGCATCTCGGCAATGTCTCGGGAGAACCTTCTAACACCTTTATTAAAAGAAAAGAGGTAAGAATGGAAAATCAAAAAGTTACACATTCCTTTCAATACTTTGATAATTTTCGATAATCTTATTGATGCCCTAAGATGTCAAAAGTTTACATATAAATCTTATTTTTCTACGTTGTGACTGACCAGCTTAACGATGTACCATAAGGTGTCTCCATCTTAGAATCTCGACAATGTACGATCTTTTATCTTTACTGATGATGGGAAAACAAGGAAAGTGAAAATTATTTGGAACGATTTAACGCATGTACCAAAATTGATGACAATTTACTCAATATTTGGTAAAATTAAACCCAACAAACATACATGTTCCATTAAAAAAAAAAACATAACAGGTACAAATTTCGCCTCACTTGGGATCAGGGGCAGTAGAGCTTTACAAATATGTGTCATTTATCAATTATAATTGTGATTAAGTTATGATAAAACATCGATAATTCTCGGTTTCGTTTTTTTCTGGGACGCACTCTATACCTTCAACATGGGCAGTTGTTTCGCTCACATGTAGAGTTAAGGCTAATCCACCGTTTACAAAGAACAGAAATAGGATACGAAACATGGTTAAATTTGGTGATGATAAACTAATAGTCATACATAATAATGATTTAAATTGGGTAATGGCTTGTTTCGTTTCCTTATCTCTGATCAAATGAAAGAGAAATTATTACCATAAAACCATCCGATGGCGATGCTCTCGAAGAAACATATCCAAATGATAGGGAAGGCACTATCCCCATAGTTACTGAAGAGCGTGAAGACGTAGAGACCACCCTAAAATGTAATCAATAATAACAACAAATATAATAATCATAATGATGATGATAATAATAATATTGATAACAATACTACTGCCACTGCTACTACTACTACTACTACTACTACTACAACTAATAATAATGATAATATCATTAGTGATAATCCTCGTCGTCGTCGGCGTCCTACAAGTCATGACTGACCCTTAGTGACCCTATATATAATGAAGTTCCAACCAATTCTATCCTGGGCATAGCGATCAGCTGTGCAGATGTTCATGCCAGTAATCTTTTTTTAGTCCATCAGCTCATCGAACCTTTGGCCAAACACGTTTCCGTTGACCCTCAACGTGACCTTGGGTTATGATCTTCTCCATGTTGTCACCTTCTCTCCTTGATATGTGTCAAAATACCGCAACTTGTTATTATCTATTTTCTGGCATAGGGTGGCTTCCGCTTCAATTTTTATCTTGACAAAATCATTTGATTTATGAGCCGTCCAGGATATCCTCAGCATCCTCCTCCAACACTACATTTCGAAAGCATGGATTTTCTGCTGCTCCAAGCGACCACGTCTCTCACCCGTATGTAGCGATTGAAAAGACCAGAGCAATCATCATATGAATATTGGTTTTCCTTGAGATCTCTCTATCTTTCCAAATGTCAGTAAGGCTTATGGCAGATGATCTAGCCATGGCGAGACGTCATCTAATTTCTGGTGAGCTTCCACCACCATCCACAATCGGACAGGGTTGACTACTTCGATATCCTCTCCATCAGCTTGAATATGATGGCCCTTCTTTCCTCCACATATTATCATTACCTTGTCTCCTTAATAATGAGGTACAGTCCATATTCCTCACTGGCTTTTTGACTCTTTCAATAAGGCCCAATAAATACAGTATTGATAATAATAATAACAGTAAATATAATGCTAATGAAAATAATTATATTGATAATAAATGTATATAGTACTGGTTTCTTTCATAGCACTATATCGAATTGATGATCGTAAACTAAAAACTAATAACAAGAATATAATATAAACATCACACAGTTAACTACAATGTGAATACATGCAAATATGTTTCAAGATACTTCTTGAACGATTCAACAGAGGAACGAGAACTTTGTCAAATTTGATTACAAGTTGATCTCAGTAGAGGCAGGCGGAAATTGACATAAACAGATTAATGAATGTTGGACGAAAATCTGACATTCCCAAGAAAGAAGTTATACATTTTATAAGAAAAAAAAAAATTTATTATCAGGCCGATATTATCATACTCTCCTCTATAAAATAGAATTAATAAATGAATTCTTCATCAACAGCCCTCAGAAGTCTAGAGCTGTCGTGGAAACGTCTTCAGATTGTGGATCGAAGGGATCGCAGTTCAAGTTCTCCAACGGAACTAATGTCCTTTTTCAAGACATTAATCTACATATGCCACTCTCCATCCAGGTGCTAAATGGGAACTGGTGGGAACGAGTTCCTTGGATGCTGTGTGAGCACCGAAACCGGTAGCCTCGCGGAGCAGGGGTAAGCACCATGAGCATGTACCGTGCATGGTGAATATGTGCCCTATACAAATATCCAATACCATTAAGTTTGTCATTGGTAGTATTATGTTTCCATTAACTTGTTTACTTGACCAGTACATATCTTTACGTGTCGATATCTTACCTGGGTTACCATACTGAGGCCAATCAGGAAGTTTACAAAGCAGACTCCCAACACGAATAGCTCTTTATAATACCCAATCCGCAGCGAGGTAGGGAAAAGATCCAAGACAGACGTGATGAACGCCTTCACCATGACGAGCTAACATAGAAAATGGAGGATAAAAATAAGGTTTTTTAGTTAATGAAATGGGGAGTTGTTGGTTGTGTGTTTAGGGTAAAGATTAAAAGCTATGCTTTCATAGGTCATCCACATGGTCTTATGCCGATATTATCAGAGTATCAAAATATTACATGATTTGAGCGGAACGAAGAAAGTGTTTTTCTCCTCAAATAAGATTGTGTGAAAAGATTCAAGATGTTGAAAGAAATGTCAAGGCTTAAAATAAACGGATGGAAAAGTTTGAGCCAGTTTAAGGGTTGAGAAAAAGGAGAAAATATTAAAAGTGTTGGAACGGTTAAAAGTGTTCAGTAAGTACAGACTTTACACAGTTGACAATAATGTAGAGGTTGAAAAGGTTATCAAAGTTAAACATATTTAAAAGGGCGAATGGGAAATAAATTATAGGTCTAACTATTGGGAAATTAAGTATAGGTAAAGCAAATGCAATCTACAGATAAAGATTCTCGATCGAGTCTTTTTTTGAACAAATATCAGGCATAGACTGAATTCAATTCTGTTTCAAATCAATACATTCTGAAACCTACTTATGGTACAAATAATGTTAAATGAAAACAGTCGAATTAAAAACATTGGAATTCAAGGATTCTGGTATGATGATCCACGATATCTTTTTTATAACTATTTCGTTCAATGCGGTCCAAACTCTTTTTTTTTTTAAATCAGAGATTTTAAAACTTAATTTTTGTTTTTTAATACACATAAATATGGAAAATATGTGGCGATTTTCATTATTACTTGTCAGACACTCTGGGTAAGATTAAAAAGGGCAGTAAAGACAATCTGAAGATTTTGATTCCTTTAATTCTTGTCAGAATTCTGACCCCCGCCATCCCACTTTGGCCAAGTCCTAGTCCAGCCCGCCTCTGTACCGTTTCCGTGTCGCGCGCCTAATCAGCTGATCAAATAACACACACTCAACGTGGAATGTAGACCTAGCCTTTCCACTCGTTGGCCCGAATTCACAAAGGAGGTTTGTCGACAAACCTTGGTTTTCGTGCGTCATATGACGCGTTTCGACGCGTTTTTACAAACCAGGTTTGTAAAAAAAACGCGTCAAAACGCGTCATAAATTATGACGTATATAAACCTCGGTTTGTCGACAAACCTCCTTTGTGAATTCGGGCCATAATGTGGGACACTTTAGAATAGCTTCGTGCAGAATTAATTAAATAAGGAAGGCGAATAGAAGCATTGAAATGGACATGGCTGATATAGTGGTCGAGATTCTCACAAAATGTAAGCATGTTTGTGTGGGTGTCTGTGCACGTGTGTTTATGTGTTTATGTAAATGTTTGTATGGGTGTGTTTAAAAAATAAACAAAAACATAATTTTTTAAATGTCTTTTTATGTTCATGCCTTCTTCATGCATGCATGTTCCATGCTTTATTTGATGTAAATGGTAACAGTTCATTTGTATTAATTAGATGTAAATGTAAAATCATATTCTATATAATAATATTAACATGCAGATTATTTTATGTATTGAATTTGTTATTGTTTGTTATTGTTATTTTGTTATTGTTTGTGAAAAGCAATGGAGAAAATTAAATATCATTGAAAAAGAAAAAAGAAAAGAAAAAGAAAGGACAAAAAAAATGAAAAAATAATGTACCCCGATAACGGAAGGAAATTTGGGGGATCGCGTGATCAGTGGAAGGACCGCACTGTGTGTGGGATCGATGCGTGTGATAAAAGAATCAAAACAAAGAACGGACTGAAACTGGACTACCCATTCTAATTCTATCCCTTTGCGCTTCAGAATAGTTTACTAGATCGATGGCGCATAATAAATGCTGTATTATTATTATTATTACCCCAATTCTTGATCCTTCCCCGATTACCTGAGAGTTAAGCCCAATCTTTAGGACCACTAGGAAGAAGAAAATTGCCGAGACCCTTGATGAAGGCATTGCAGCAAAAGCACGCGGAAAGACATCGAAAAACAGACCAGGACCTAAAGTAATCAAACAAAATCAAAATTAATGATAAAAAAGAAAACGAAATAACTGATTTATATCAAAGGACGTACATATAAATATACAGAATGAAAATTATTTAAGCGGGAGGGGATAATCATTTTGAAAATGTTTCTCACCACCAAGATATATCATTGGTAGATTAATGTGGTACTCAGTATCCCACAACGTATTAATTTCAAATGTTCTACGAAGCAGGGGGGGGGGGGGAGGGGAGAAAGTCCTCAAACTCCTCATAATCATCGGTTTTCGCAAACAAGAATAAAATATACAGTTTTAAATGAAGTTAGTAATACCCCTTGTTAATTAATAATTTGTAAATTCTAGAGGGAAAGGTATACTAGTTGAATAACGGCCTTTGTTAAATATCTTTAGATGTAAGCTTTAAAGGTGAAATTCATAGAAAATCACAAATATGTCAACTAATGTATCACTACAAACTTGTAAGCTAACAGATGGCCATCGTACAAGTTTTAGGTCAACTACGTATCGGGTGATTTATAAAAATACAAATACAACCACCTCCATAGCAGCTGGGATATACGAGAGATTCGCCGGAAAAATAACGATGTTTTAATGACGTCACTATATGGACCAATACTGCCCAAGCAGACGACATCCCATAGAGAATGCACATAATTGCAAAGCTATTATTTGTCAAATTATGATGAGTTTAGTGTATATACATGTAATGGCATGTCAAACTATTCAAAAGGGGATATGACCCGATTCTGATAACTAAAATCTTTTGCTTGTAAATACACATAGTAGGAGAAGCAACGTTTAGATCAAAAGTGGTTGCCATAACCTTGAAATTCCCCCAAACCCATGGATAAGAAGTTGTTAAATTTTTGTCAACGAAAAGGCAGCCATTTTGAATGTTCATGGTCAAGGTAAGCAATTTTACTTTTGAAAGTTGTATAGTTGAATCTGCCATGTCAGTAAACATATTATTAGACACTAAAATCATTAGAATCGGACAATGTTAACTGTGTTGGTGAATTTGACCACCAGTCTAAAGTGCATTAACCTTTTTGACCATAGCGCCCTCATTTAAGGTCGGAGGTATAAAAATATATACATTTTTGGAATCCTCATGACCAGACGAGTAATTTGATATGCAATTTGATAAGGTTAACTGTGTTGGTGAATTTGACCACCAGTCAAAAGTGTGTTGACCTTTCAACGTTTTTGACCACAGCGCCCTCATTTAAGGTCGGAGGTATAGCAAACTATACATTTTTAGAATCCTCATGACCAGACAAGTAATTTGATATGCATATCGACACGATTTGAATATATTTGAATTTCTACCCTGTATGACCTTTGTTGACCCCTCACAAGAATGCCCGGGATTTTCAAGGGGGCAGCCCAAGTCAAAATTGTTCGGTATTCATCAGGGAACACAAAAACACTTTCAAACCTTTGTTCCCAGAGATTGGTCACGGGACCTACAGGCTGGTCTCCTACTAACAGGATAGGAGTTAATTAACAATCAAAGATACCAGACTTTCTAATTGAAAACCCCCCCGGAATGATATTAAGGACGGCATGTGTTCCCTCTTGAAACGCCGAACATACCGCGGTGTGTGCAGCTGAATATACAATGGCGTCTTATTTTGTTTATACGCGACAGTTTCTTTTATTTTGTATCGCTGCATTTGTCATCAAAATAAAAACATGCGCGGGGTTTAGAGTGAGGTAATAGATTATACATTTAGCCTGACGGTAGTGAAGTAAGAGAAAGAACTCAAGAGAAGATGAAAACACAGGCACTGAAAATGTGTGAGATGCCATGCGACATCGTCTGCTTGTGCAAATCATGTCCATACTGTGATCTCACACATCTCAGCAGCGTTCGGAGAGCTCTTCAGGTGCTATGCAGGGGCTGTATTTAAGCGTTTTGTAATTTTGTAATCATTACTTCGAATGTTTCCAAGCATTAAATTTTGATAACCTTGTCGAATCGAAGTGTCAACTTTGCAATGATGAAAATAAAGTTAGTTTTTAAAATCAATGAATATCTACTTTAATATGGCACATTTTCAAGAAACATAGATTGGGACGAATGCATTTTCACAAACATACACAAGTTATACCGGTAGCAGATTAATACAACCTCTCCTCCCACCAGTAGGCGAGTGATGCTTGGGTTATGGTTAAGGTAAGTGGGTGGGAGGGGTGAAGCCCTCACCCCTCCTCACCACAGTAGACAAGTGGTGTTAGGGTTAGGGTTAAGGTTAGACGGTGGGAGGGGTGAAGCCCTCAAGCCCTTTCCCAGCAGTAGGACAGTGGTGATATAGGGTTAGGGTTCAAGTTAGAGGGTGGGAGGGGTGGAGCCCTCAACCTCTCCTCCCCACCAGTATGTCAGTGGTGTTAGGGTTAGGTTTAAGGTTAGAGGGTAGGAGGGGTGAAGCCCTCACCTCTCCCCACCAGAAGGTCAGTGGTGATACAGTTAGGGTTAAGGTTAGCGGTGAAAAAGGTGGAGCCGTCATCCTCCTCCTTACCAGTAGGCCAGTAGTGCTAGGGTTAGGGATATGGATACAGGGTGGAAGGGGAGGAGCCCTCATCCCCCTCCCCACCAGTAGGTCAATGGTGATAGGGTTAGGGTTAAGATAAGAGGGTGGGAGGGGTGTAGCCCTCATCCTCCCCCACCAGTAGGTCAGTGGTGTTAGGGTTAAGGTTAGAGGGTAGGAGGGGTGAAGCCCTCACCCCTCCCCACCAGTAGGTCAGTGGTGTTAGGGTTAGGGTTAAGGTTAGACGGTGGGAGGGGTGTAGCCCTCAACCCCTTTCCTACCAGTAGGTCAGTGATGCTAGGGTTAGGGTAAAGGTTAGAGGATGAGAAGGGTATAGCCCTCAACATCACTTCCCCACCAGAAGAACAGTGGTGCTATGATTAGGGTAGTGGTGCTGACACTACTCTTACCTGCATCAACGGCTCCATTTATTGGGATATCCTCAGCGAACCCTACGAAGCCAACGAATGAAGAGACGATGATAACACTGTAGATACTTGTAATCACATTTAAGAAGGCTACGATCATGCTGTCCCTAAAGACAATCAATAATCACAAAATAGCCTTGAAGATAATGATGAGTGAATATTATGCAGGTACATTGTAAAATAAACAATCTAGAAGCAACTGGGAAAGGCTGATTATGGAGTACAAGAGAATCGATGTTTATAATAAACAAAGCTTGTAATGATCAACATCAGTAGCAGATCTAGGGTTAGGCTTAGGGGGGGGGATGATTCCCCATTTCTTCAAGGCCCCCTCACCCCTGAACAAAAATCGAAAGGCACGTAATGAAATGAAAGCAAGAACTTTAATGTTCCATAAAATCCCCTCCCCAATGCTCCCCTCTTATTTTCCTAGAACCGCTTTAGATAACATAAAATAAAAAGACTCATTTTGCGAAATATCACACAGAAATCAGTTATGGGACTGCACATAAATGTTTGGTCCACACTTTTCATCTTATTCTTGTGTTCATCACGGCGTTTTAATAGCGATCCTTTTCAAGAGACACTTTCACTATGATATTCTTTCAAACTGACCGTATACAAAGAATGATAAAGCTCATAAATATTCTTCAACTTTCCGAAAACCCAACCTTCTATTTAAAAAATATTTTTCTTAAAGACATAGACCGGTAGTGGTAAAATTGCGGTTCAAGTGTTTTGGGTGCAAAATAACCATTCAATATTGTTTAAATATTGCCTTCAGAGGTTCTAGATGGCAATACTTCAAACTAAATTCGCAAAAACAGAAATATATGCCCAAAATATGTTCAATGTTGGATATATATCTATATATCTATCCAGGCCGGATCGATATGATAATTTACCAAATGTATCAATTAGTAGGCGGTTTCCCGGCATAATTTATATCATCATGTATTAGCAAATCATATTCTTTCAGATGATAAGTAATAAGAGCTTCTATTTCTTTTTTTGAGAGGGGGGCGTTTCCAAAACTGGTCTATACCTTTAAGACATACCGGGTAGAAATCGAGACAAATTAAAATCATCAAAATGAATGAACGTAGGTCTACCATATCTGAATTAAAAATAGACTATGTTTTCTTCCCGCAGCTATGATCTTATTGCAGTATATATTACTTCCCTTGAGCGGATAATGAAGGTCATTCATCTGTGTTCTTTTCCATTATTTCCTCTTCTCTCTCTGTCTATCTCTATAAGATTATATCGTGTAGCAAAACAAAAGATAAAGGAAATCAGTAGAAAAAGTTTTAAAAAATGAATGAATCAATCAAATGGATCCGGGCTTACTGGGCACAAGGTCCGCGGTTCGAGACCTGCCGCGGCACTAATGTCCTTTGGCAAGGCATTGATCTACATTTCCCACACTCAACCCAGGTGATGTAAATGGGTACCTGGCAGGAATTAATTCCTTGAAATGCTTGAGCGCCGTAATGGCAGCACAGCTAAAGCCGGGGTAATAATCTCCAAGTTTGGAAGCGCTTAGTGATTGTAATAAGCGCTATATAAAAAAACTGAGTGTTATTATTATTATTATCCGAAATAACAGTTCATCGATCGCAAATTAGTCGGTTTGCCCCCCCCCCCAAATTGTAAAAAAGAAGAAGAAGGTTTTTCAACGGTTTCCGGTGGTACCGGCGGGTCATACTTTTAATATTGCTACATGTATTACAGCTTTCCTGTAAATAATAACTAACTTCCGGTTATTTTGAGAGACTGTCGGCCATTTTAGACGCCATTTTGGATCTCCTGATTTTCTGGTAGGTATAACCTAATGAGTAATGTAAGTGGTATAAATGGATTCTTCGAACCCTAAACCTAGGTATTGACACCAGAATTAAACCTTTAAGATGATTATATCATGATTTACAGCTGTTTGAGGCTTGGGTGGCCATCCTTGACGCCATTTTGAAAATCACCACTTTCCGGTGGTTGAATTTCTTAGATTGTTCATATGTTGTTTCTGATGTCAAACACCACCGGAAACCGTTGGAAATCCTTTTCTGATTCATCCAATGCGGTTGAAGTAAATATTTTATTTATTAATCACTTACTGGTCTACTTACTGCTCCACGACACTAAAGGTTTTCGTATGGAGTTCCGGTGCTAGCAATTAAATCAAACTCTTGAAATCTTATAGCTGATCGAGCGATTCTGAGTTTGCCTTAGTGCCCGCTGCTTTTCTTTTCTTGCCACGAGAAGAGAATATTACCAGCAAGTGTTTTTGTACCAACCTATAGAAGTTGTAGTGGAATTTGTTGAAGCTTCCAAGGGCTGTGTAAGCACCTAGTCCAATCGAGAAGGAATAGAAAACTTCTGTTCCAGCGGCTATCCACATCTTTACGGACCAATTGATGAATAAAAGTCAAATGCCTGTCGATTGCTATGTATTTCATGTGCCTTTTTTGTAAACTGAATGTAATTCACCTTTTGGGCCGGTATTTCCAGTTAAACCAACAACGACAACAAAGTGGACGGAGACCAAAACAAACACACGAAAGAAAAAACAACAACGAATAATAAAAAAAAATTAAAAAAAATGGAACACACACGTTAAAAAAACACACCAATCTTAGGCCGTCATCATAGTAAAGCGTCGCTTATGATGGCAGTCTACGTCTTCAAATTCATAACAATATAATATAGAAATAGTAAGTTCGTTAATATATGTATATATTATGTTAATCAAAATTTGAAATGAAGTTATATTGTCTGCATTTTCTTATTATACCTAACGTCTACAATTTCTTTGTTATTCAGTTATTGTATTTTGAAAAAAATGCAGATATCAAATTAAATCATGATTTTAAAAAAAGGGAGATTATTTTGCCTAGTAAATTCAGACATGGTTAAGGTAGCGCTGCATAGTTTAACTCGTTCTGAGCTTTAAAAAAAATATTGGAATGACTAGTTTGAAGAAAAAGATAAATATTGATTATATTAAAATAAACAAAACCTACAAAGTTCATGGATAATGTTGTTGCTTTTATACACATTAACATTTTCTCTCAAGTAGGTTAATAAAAGCTCAAGACCACCTCATATAAACGAGTTAATGGTATTTATATAGGTTCAAGGAGTTTAAAGTACATTATCTCTCACATCTATCCTTTTATATATATATATATATATATATATATATATGTTTTTGTGAGAATAAACAAATGATTAAAAAAAGAATATATATAATGATTATATATATATGTATAATGTGCTGACTGGGCTAGTCCCTTAAATTGTCAGTGAACGGAGCAGCTGGAGGGCACCGGGCCCCATCGTGCAGAGCTGAGGATTGAAATGGGTTATACAAATATTGCAAAGTTATTTACTTTACTTGTATCAAAGAGAACTGTTGCTGAGCTAGCGCTATGAGCGTCCCTGGACGGTGTGTGCGCTCTATAAGTTAACACTACTATTATTTGTATTATATATATATATATATATATATATGTAATATATATCAAAGAAAACTACAAGAAATAATGCTCCGGAGACGAAGATATTGTTCTACAAATTGTCGCCCTTAGGGCTTTGTGAAGTAATGTTTTTATTTTAGGAGAATGGGATGCGCTTATATCATGCATAACAATACAATTTTCAAAGTCAAATAAATTAGTCAAATTCAAATGATTACACAACATGGGAATACAAGTCCTCTCATCAGAAAGGAAATACTTTCGCGAAATCGACAGATGCAAGATATTATACAAGCTTTGAAGACCGTTTACCTGTGGACGTCCAAGTAGATATTTGTCGGGGTAGAAAAAAAACAGCAAACCATTATACGCTCCTGGTAAAGTGATCCCACGTACAAAAAACGCGGCTAGTACAAGGTGTATAAAGGGAACGGTGACATAAGCCATCTGCAAATTAAGAGAAGTAAGAATAATAATTAAATCACATCTAGTTTCTGGTTTCAACAACTTTACACTATTTTCAATGTAAATGTGGTCATAAAGTGGGAATTTCGATACAAATTTTCATTTTCATTTTTCATTATCTTCAACATCATCACCATCAATGGTTTTTTTAAACATTTTATCATCCACCCCCGAACTATCATGTTATCAAGCAAGCGCTTTACTGTGATAACCCTTCTTCTGCAGACTTCTTTATGAATAATTCTTGGTAGCGTTATCAGTTACATGTTGTTTTCACGTCAACATTTTTCATTATTACACTTTGTACACGTTCAAACAAATGTTGTATCGCTGAAATATAATTTGATTTGTTTGTTGCACAAGACAATACATTTGATTTAATTCAATAAAAAAAAGGCAAGTTGAAGAAGAAAAAAACATGATTAATTTCGGATCGAAATCACACGATAAAAGAATGATCATTGGTATTAAAAATAAGAAAACAAAACAAAAAGAAGTAATTATTTCTCGGATTTACTAGACGAATTATGAATTGAGTGCACCTTTTAAAATGAATGTAGTGTTTTAATCACACCAAGTTATTTACACTGATTTTGTATCACTTTATTATCAATCTTCAATAAAGGAACATAGTATAAATATTAAAGAATTGCACAATCACAGACAGGGGCGTACGCATGATTTTTTTCAAGGGGGGGGGTTTTAAAATATTTTGCTCCCGAAAATTTGAAAATCGCGCCGGCCGAAAAGTCGCTCAGTGGGGGGGGGGGGGGGGGGGGGGGGGGGGGGGGGGGGGGGGGGGGGGGGGGGTAAGCGGACACTTTTTTTTTTTTTGGTCTCAAAATTTCAAAATTTGACATTTCTTTACGTATGGAGGGGGGGGGGGTAAGGTCACCTTATTTAGGTTAGCCGTGGGTATAATTTTTTTTTTTTTTTTTTTTTTTTTTTAATAAAAAAAAAAGCCAAAGGGGGGGGTTTTAGGTTTTTTTAGGGGGGGTTTACATACATTAAAATACCAAAGGGGGGGGGGGTTTGAACCCCCAAAACACCCCCCCTGCGTACGCCCCTGATCACAGACATATAATAAGAGTAGTCCAGGCCATGGCTCATAACTGCCAAAGCAGGGCATACAATACAAAACATATAATACATAAAGACGTTATAAAACATGATTGTCGAGATCTTTAACAGTAGTTGTGTTCATGCCAAATTGTTTCGTTTCAGATTAAGAAAAATACACAATTTATAATTCACTTTACTCAATTAATGTATAACAATGCTTAATCGTTTTGGAGGAATAGAGGGCTCACGTGATGCAACTACAATTAGACTGGCTTAAACAACAAAAACGGAGGACCTACTATAATATTATTTTTGTTATTCCTCTTTCTCTTCTCTTTCTTCTTCTTATCATTATAAACATTGTCATTATCATCATCATCGTTACCATTATCATCATTATCATCATCATTATTATCATCATTATTATTACTATTACTATTATGATCATTATTTTTGTAAGTATTATTATTACCATTACTGTTAATAATATTGTAATTATTACGAGCACCAATCAGCATCATCGTCATCATTATTACAATTACAAGGAATGGACTGTAAACAAATCATTGCAATTCCGTATTTTGGGGGCCATTTTTTTCGTCATAAAATTACAGACAAATTTAAAAAAAAAAAAAAAAAAAAAAATACCTTGCCGCTCCATTTTACTCCCTTCCAGAGGCCAAAGTATATGAGCGTCCATGCGAGGAAGAGGGTTAGGGCAAGATGCCCAACAATACCTCCTACGTTATGTATTCCGTCTGTCCCTGTTTGGCCAAGCACCTTGATTCTAGGAAAGGAAAATGACAACTGATAAAACTAGAGCCCATTTTTCATTTCATCTTTATCTTTATTTCATCGTTATTATCGGAGTGTTCCGAACATTCACTAATTTCTTGACACTTCTGTATCTACGAAGAAATACGAATTTGTTCTCAAAGTACACTTTGATTCAAAGAATACAGAAAATAATACAGAGTTATCCTGACAGAAGCGTTAACAAACTACAACATCAGTTTATGGTATCAGTGAGGAAGCATGGTGACATCAAGTTCGATATTTCCAGATTTTTCTGCCATATTCTGCAGTAGATTTAACCATTAATACACCCGGATGTGGCTTTAGACAAAGATGTTGACTTTACTCATTTTCAGGCAGGAGCGGTTCAAGAGAGGGGCTTCGGAGACCCTTCTTCCCTCCAAGCCCCCTCAAATGATTGAATATAAATGAATTTAAGCGAGGCACATGTAGAAAATGAATGCAAGGGCTCCAAGCTGCTCCCTCCCCATTATTCTTCTAGTTCCTCGCCTGATAGGGGAGGGGGGGGGGGGGGGGGGGGTGACTGCGCCTCTCAGAAAATATGCCAATCAGCTTTAACAAAATACATTACTTCAACCGGAGCCCCTTTGTATACTCGAAATGGACATCCGGTGTGTAGGTGGCATGAACCGACTGTTCCGATCTAGGCATATTTTGAGTGTTTATATCGGATATCACATAATCTAGACTTTATTCACAGACATTCAGTGATGATATATACAATTTTGCATACATCTTTTCTTGGCCAAATGGTTCTGACCTGGGCCGTTTTAAGTGAACGGATTGTAGAACACAAGGTAGAGAGTTCGAATCCCGGGCCAGCGCTAATATTCTTTAAAAAGATGTTAATCTACATTTGCCACTCTCAACCCAGGTGTAAATGGGTACCCAATGGAAATCAAATTTCAATGTTAGGGCTTCCACTCCAGGAGAGGAAAAAATATTTTTAAACAAAATAGCGCTATTTACTTTTCCGGGTCGGCTCTATAAACCGGGGTATTAATCAAACATCGAAGTGCCATGATAAATGTGCATGTATCTAAGTGCTATATAATGTAAGAAGTCATTATTATTATTATTATTCTTATCATTATTATTATTATTATTCTTATCATTATTACTATTATTTATGTTATAATGATATCGCTATTCTTATCATAATTATTCAATGAAACGTTAATTTTAGTCATGCGAATACAGTATGAAAAACGTTACTGGAAGGAATAGCCCGGTTTACCGTACATATTCAAATTTAAGAAAGCTTTTTTCCAGGGGAACTAGTCATGAGTTATCCCATTAACTTGGTATTAATGAAAGAACTCCAATATTTGAAATCCACTATGCATACATTACTTGGTGAAATGTCTGGGAAGCGTCGAACAAACTTGATTTAATCATTTATTTATTTCACTTCTTTATTCAGCGTAGTCAATTCAGTATACACAAATTTAAAACCTAGTCGTCCACAGAGCCCTGATTATAAAAACTGTACATGAAAAATAGATAATAGACTGTACAAAATATTAGATTAGAACATTTAACACAATTTATGCATGGTTTAGATGATTAAAAATAAAATATTAAAATAAGTTAAATTACAACATGGGAACACATTTACAGAATATAATGAGTACATATAAATGTTACACAAAAGAACAACAGTTAATTAAATAATTATTTCGGTTTATCAAGAACAACCTCCGTATCAAAAGTATGTATACAATTTGAATATGTTAGTAAAATGGTCTAGTGGAAAAGGTTGATGATATAGTAGTATTGATTTATACTGTGAGTTTTAGAATTATCATCATCATCATCATCATCATCATCATCATCATCATTATCATGAAACTTACTTCCAGAACTCCTTGGCCGGGTTGGTTGATGTAGGGTGATACCCACCACATTGGTCAGGGTCATCTAAAGGCCCTGCATCACTCCAACCGTACCACGATGGGACCGACGATTCTTCCGGTTGAGTATCCCCCTTGTTGCCGATGATATAGGTTCCGTTGACGCACACCCATTCAGACTGGTGTCAATGAATTCAACGTGATACCGTATTAACAAAAACAACTGTTAATACCATTTGTATTATCATTTTTATTATCATTATTATCATCATTATCGCGATCGCAACTACCTTCGAAAATCAGCCAAAGGCAATTTCAATGGCCTTAATTTGTACATCACCTTTTGGGATGTGCGAACATTACAAAGACGTGTGACGTAATTCGAACAGGATTTCGTTGGGACATACAATATTAAATACAACTGAAATTCCCCATGAGTTGAGTTTTCGAATATAGTTACGGTCGTGTTTATCATTACTACTATTATCTATGTGATATACATGTACCATAGGGTATTGAAATAGATAATTTTTGTTATGGAATCAAATTCAGTGCACAAACCTTTTTTTTAATGCCTCGTTACAAATTGTTTCATTCACCCGCTACGAATAATTGTATTTCAATAGTCAGAATTGGATACATTAATTGTTGTTAAGTAGGACAAACATTATGACTTGTCCTACCTAACAACACATTATGTTTGCAATTTGCATTCTGTCTATTGAAATACAATTCGTAGCCTGTGAATGGAACAATTGTTAAGGAGGCACTTATATTCAATGTTCAACATATTCCATATATTCCATATTTTCCATGATATTCAATATACAGTGGCGGATCCAGGGGGGGGGGGCCCGGGGGGCCCGGCCCCCCCTTGAGAAAAAAAATCATGTAAAATCACGTGATTTTTACCTTTTTGGGGGGTTGGGCCCCCCCCCCCCCCCTGGCGCTCAAGGGGGGGGGGGTGCAAATTGAAATTTTTTGAGGATCAAAAAAAAAAAAATGTGCTCACTACCGTTTGACCGTTTGTTGTGTGGCCGGTGCAACGATTGTCACGACATTTTCCCCATTGTGTTTAAGTATGCCATATTTGGTTTACCAGAAGGGGGTGGGGGGGGGGGTGACTAGTGTGCCCGACCCCACGATCCACCACTGAGGAACTTGAAATAAGGGGATGGAGAGGGGGAGGGGGCGGAGGGATGTACAGAGTCGAGACTTACGGAGCTATCAAGGCATGTAGCTGTGTTCCATTCATGATTGCATCTCGCCCAGGGGAGCTCATCGCCAAGGCACGAACTGTAGAGGTAGTACAGGGTCCAAGCCAGGATGACGTTATAGTAGATGTTACGCCACCAAGCGACGACAGTGGTGGCGACACCAATACCTACGATGATTAAATTAAAGGCGTGTTCAGGAGTGGGCGTGGTAAACCGCCACAAAAACAGCCCCCCCCCCACGAAACAAAAATACAGCCGTGGTTATGCCGCGTCATTTCTGTACGAGCCGTGGAGTATTTAAAAAAAAAGTATTTATCCATGTAATAATACAAGGTTCAAGGTTTCAAGGTTTATTTATTTTTCCACATAATATAATCAAATGAATATGCAATACATACAAGCGTTCAATAACATAATATTAAACAAATGATACGACAAATAACTAAACAATAATTTTGTTCAAATAAATCATCTAAGATTGGCACAATGGCGAAAACATAGTGGAAGAGTCTATTAAAAAAAAAAAGCATGGCTTGTATTTTGTAGACCCCTTGAGAATAAAAAAAAGTTACAAGTGCTCTGTAATAAAATATATATTTAAAAATACCTTGGTTGATTCAAATGTGGGAAATGTCAAACTAATGACTTACCAAAGGACAGTGGTACAGCCACGGGGCTCGAACCAACGGCCCTTACATCTTAAGTTAAGTGTTTAAACCCCTCGACTAAGACACCTTGGATGCAGGCGCGTACGCAGGATTTTTTCAAGGGGGGGATTTTAACATTTATAAATCGGTCCGAAAATTTCGCAACGACTCAGCCAGCCGCTGAATAAGCCGGGGGGGGGGGGGGGGGGGGGGGGGGGTAAGAGGACACATTTTTTTTTTTTTGGTCCCAAAAAAAATCGCAACGACTCAGCCGACCGCTGAATAAGCGGGGGGGGGGGGGGGGGGGGGGGGGGGGGGGGGTAAGAGGACACTTTTTTTTTTTTTTTTTTGGTCTCGAAATTTGGAAATTTGACATTTTGCTCCGTTGGGGGGGGGGGGGGGGGGGGAGGTCACCTTTTTTAGGTCGGCCATGGGAATAATTTTTTTTTAGGTTTTAGGTTTTTTTTAGGGGGGTTTACACACAAAAAATTTCCAAAGGGGGGGGGGGGGGGGTTTAACCCCCCAAACCCCCCCCCCCCCCTGCGTACGCGCCTGCTTGGATGTACCAACATGAAACGCCAACAGAGAGATTATTTATCATGTTTATATTAATGAGCCTCCGTGAAAATATTTTAAACGGGAGGATATTTTCAAAAAACATTTTTTATAATCGTCGTAATAAGCCACTTTGGAGAATCTATCTGGGCATGCGCAGATAAAGTGCATTCACGATCAAAAGTAGTTGAATTCCAATCTCACAAGATGATACAAAAACCTATATAAAAGTTTCAAACCAAATTCAAAGAGTTATTTACCCTCTAATTTGGAGTGGATTCTACTATAATTCGGAGTGGATTAGACAACTCAAGGAGTGATTCCTAATATGACTATCCTAATATATCCTAATATAAAAAGAGTGGAATCCCACCCATCCCCTTTATGAGAGTCACCCAATGTAAATCTACGTCGTTGTGTCTCGCAATGGCTTGTGAAAATTAATATGATTATTCTATTCTAATTCCAAATGTGAATTACTCTTCTCTTTAATATTTTTAATGGCTTATGCAGGTTACAAGGTTAACTCAATATCACTTCCTCATATGACTAATTCTTTCGTTTATGGATTGCCATTGTCTTTTTCAGTGCAATGTACCGTGATAATTTAGTTGTTAGCACATTTTTGCAAAAACCTTATTTGCTGACTACAAACAAAGAATTACAAAAAAAACACATCACGGTCTTGAACTCAATCCTTTGATAAATATGATTAGGGATAAAAGTTTATTGAGTTTCCTTTTAGATTTAATGTGAACTCGTCAAGTTTATTGGCTTTTTGCTACAACCCACAAAACAATGTCTGGAAGCTTTAGACCGCTCTTTACTAACATATTCAAATCGAAAGATGTTTCTTTTCTGGCGTCCTAATGAGTTATTTTATCAATCCGTTTTCAATGAATGAACTACAATACGCGGAATCCAGTCTGCGTATATCATTTGTTGCTATGTCGAGCAAGCCTCGAGCAAACTTTAGTGTTGTCAAGACCAACCTTTGTTTAAAGAGTATCCCAAAAATGTAAATATGTTGATAAACTGATCTATCGGGAAAGATTGATTTAAATTTGTAGTTCATACAAAATAATGAATAATCCAAGATATGGAACGATAATAATAATACAATATAAGGCGCATAATAAACAAAAGTTTCTCTACGCGCTGTACAAGCATCAATTACGAGAAATGTAATCATTCAGAGGGAATAAACAAAGAGAAATATACAAATCTGATAACTAGTATAATGACTAACTTAACATGGTAACTATTAAACATAATACAAACATAGCTAACATGGTCAAACAAATATCGTAAGGACAAAATACAGTTTACGCTAATTAATTAATGCCAAAGAGGTGCGTTTTTAGTACAGATTTGAACGTTGCAGAAGTGCCTGTCGTATGACCGTTTCAAAGGTTTGGTCGAGCAACTGCTAAAGATCTATCCCAAAGAACAATATATTAGTTTTCGGTAATGCTTGATTGCTTGAACTGAGGGTTCGGGTGGGCGGTATTGTTTGAGCTAATCAGTCAGGTATGAATGAGAAGAACTGTGTTGTGCTTTAATGTACTTCGTACGAGTTTGAACATGATGCGCTTATCTACAGGAAGCCAGTGTAGTTTCTCTAGAGTACTATAGTTACACCGTCTTTGAGTTATACTTAAATCGAAATGTAAAGAGGTTGACTCTTTTTTCTTCTTCGAGGGAGCACTGTGGTAAACTGGTAAAACTAGGTACCCGGAATCCAGGGACGAAATATTGAAGGCCGTTCTTTTTAGTTCTTATGTAATATCCCAAGGAAGACGTGACCCAGCATGGCAATTTGATCAATACCTTTAATTTATCAATCTATATACATTATTTTTTCATCATTTTCTGTTTATCAATGAACTTGTAACCATTCTGTACCAAAATGACAATATTTATCGTAATACGCAATTTATCTCGACACTATTCATTTATGTATCATGTATGGGGATCTTTCCTTCCTCATCATAATGTTACAATCTTCTTCTTTTATCCTGTTCTGTACTATACCACTTCTGTTTTGCTCTCCTTTTCTCCCTTTCACATCTTCCTTTTCCCTTTCTCTCTATCCCGGTGCTCCTTGTTATCACATATATTATTACACTGTAACTTGTATTGTTATGTTAATGTACTTTGCTATTGTATATATTGTTCATTATAACCTGCCGCCTAACCCACTGGGTTGACGGGCCTGGTTTTTGTGTGTACATGATCTCTAATTAAGACTTGATTTACCACCTTGTTTTGTATGTCTTTTCAGAAACGGTAATTAATTCGTTATGTTTACCTTGAAAAAGTGGGCATATCTTCCAGGCTCTGATGGGACCCGAGGAGGTGTATTGACCGAGTGCCGTCTCCAGGAACATGAGAGGAATCGCAAGAAACATGGAACATAGTAAATATGGGACGAGGAAGATAACTGTGGAGAGAGAGAGAACATAATCAAAAGTGTTACCAAACCATACTGCTCTTACTTTTACTACTGTACTACTACTACTATTACTAGTTGGTAGAGCAGTGGTCTCCACTATTCATACTTCTTCTAACAATAATAATAGTGAATACAATGATAATGATGACAATGATAATTATAACAATAGTGACGATAACATATACTCATATAAGCCTAATCAGTATTATTACTGTTTGTCGAATGCCAATTTTGTCTACTATCCACTTGGTCTAATAATCATTTAATTATACTAGGATAATAATCATCATCAAATAATTATTAGGCCTTATTCAGTTAATGAACTCCTTGAAAAACTATCGTTCAGGCTGAAGCGAATTTACCATGATTAAATAAATAAATGTAATGACAACAATAAATGAAATCAATCCACCATCTTGAGTCTCGAAGGGGCCCTGATGCACACCAGTCAGACCGTAGCCTTTTGACAAGGCCTCGTGACTCTGGCTAACTGACAATCTTTCTGACAATGTCGATTCATCGACACGATCTCTTATGACTGTAATGCAGGGATCACTTTTGTCACAGTTGATTGAGATTCCTACTCGTGTGACCCAGCATTCTAAAACACTTATTGACCATATTTATACAACATGTCCGGACGATCACAGTATTTCAGGTGTCATAAAAACTCACATTAGTGATCATTTTTGATATTCACATGTTTACATTCTAGAAGTGCTGGGAATGTTCATAACGATATCAAATTCAGAAACTTAAAAGAATTTAAGCAGGTAAATTTTGTCAACGATCTCTTTAACTTAATGTTTAGAGAATTAGCTTGTGTTAGCAACGTTGACACAGCTTGGAAATTGTGGTACAATCAAGTAATGTCAGTTATTAATAAACATATGCCATATAAACACAAAAGAATGAGGAAAAAACCCTCTCCTTGGATCACAGGTGAAATAATTACATTGATAAATAAAAGAAAGTATCTCCATAACAAGGCTTTAAAGTTTAACTCCTCAGGATTATGGAAAGAATATCGTAGAATACGTAACATGGTAACAAGTTTAACTAAAAAATCTAAACAAAAGTATATACAGGGTTTATTGCAAGATAAGTCTGGTGACCCCGGTGCATTATGGTCTATTCTAAAGCAACTATCCTCTAGCACTGGTCAGCTTTCCATAAAATTGAATATTAATGATGTTGAAATTTATCAGCCTGAAATTGTTGCCGAAAAACTGAACGACTACTTTATTGATAGTGTTTCAGAACTCCTGGGAAAAACAGATTGGAGAGCTAGTGAAACCACAATTCCAGATGTAATTGTCAGTTGTCCATTGCCACAGGAGAATTGTGAGGACCTTGATCATGTTGATCGTCAAATTTTTGATATTCCTCCAATCACCTACGATTTTGTTGTAAAAGAAATTGATAGCCATTCTGTAAAAAAAGCGACAGGGCCTGATGACATCTCTGTTAAAATGTTGAAAATGATGAAATATGCCACAAATGTAATAGATGGTCTTATTTATATTTTCAACCTTTCTTTGTCAAAAGGGCATTTTCCAAAAGCATGGTGCTTGGCCAAAATTCGCCCTATTTTTAAGGGCGGTGATCGATTATGTATAGAAAATTATCGACCAATATCCTTATTGTCAATTGTTTCAAAAATTTTGGAGAAATGGGTACAAAAGCATTTACAGACATACTTATTAAATAGCGATTTCTTCAGTGAAAGTCAATTTGGCTTTAGACCAAAGCATTCATGTGAAAGTGCTCTATTGTGTATGGTTGATGACTGGGCAACCGAAGTTGATAGGAGTAAATTTTGTGGGGTAGCGTTTATTGATATGCGTAAAGCCTTTGATTCTGTTAACTACGATGTATTGCTGAACAAACTTTCTATGATAGGATGCTCTGAGAATGCATTGGCATGGTTTAAATCCTACTTTTGCTTTAGGGATCAATTGACAGAAATAGGGGGTAAATTATCCAATACAAGGTCAACTATCTCTGGGGTACCACAAGGCTCTGTTTTAGGGCCCCTGTTGTTTACAATATATATTAACGATTTGGTTTCCAGTATAAAGTCAGGAAAAGTTGTCATGTTTGCTGACGATGCAACTCTGTATGTTAGTGGTAGTAATCTTGAATCGGTTGAAAGTCAACTAAATTCTGCAATGAATGAAGTCTACAAGTGGACATCTAAAAATAGATTGGTACTAAATGATAAAAAAACGAAAGTGATGCTTCTTGGTTCTCGACAACGATTGAATACCTTGCAGGATAAAAAAATATCTGTTATAATTAATGGTACCTTACTAGAATGTGTATCTGAATATAAGTGTCTGGGGGTGTCGATTGATGATACTCTGACATTCAAATCTCATGTTACTTCTATTGCAAAAGTCATGAAACAAAAACTTGGCCTAATTAGAAGAAACAAGTATATATTTAATGTTGATCAACTCAAAAGATTATATTGGGGATTTGTTCTCCCCCATGCATTATATTGTTCAACCGTCTGGTCATCTTCATCCGAATCTAACTACAAAATATTAAACACGCTACACAAGCGCGCAGCATATATTGTAAGTGGATATACTTGGGAAACCTCATCGGAAACAGTCTTTCGAATACTAGCCTGGCCTACTCTAAAAGAACTGTTTAACAAGTCAATATCATGCATGGTGTATAAATGTGTAAGTGGGGTAGCACCATCCCAGTTAAGTAGTAAATTTGTTCTAAATGACAATGTCTCTACACGTGTAACACGAAGCACCAACAGGTTGTTATTACGTATCCCTCAATGCAAAACTCAATTTTATCGGAGGACATTTGTACCAGTTAGTGTAAATGAATGGAACTGTTTGTCCGATGAATGCCGATCTGCCCAGTCCTTAGCCATTTTCAAAAAATGTATCAAACCTGGCAATAAATAGCTTTTTTTAATGAAGGTGGAGGAGGGGGTTGCAGTGAGGTCAAATTCATCTTATGCTTGATTTTAATGTAATTTTTAGTTTGTAAACAGGTGGTAAACAGGTGTGTGTGTGTGTAAGCTTTCGTTACCCCTGTCATTTCTATATATAATATTGTTCATTGTCATTTTATGTTGTTTTTTAAACAGAGCCCTGTTGTAAACCAGCCTATTTTAATGTTTTTAACAATGTTTTGTAATGATTTTTAGCTGAACATGTTACTCTGTATAAAGATAAGAAATAAATAAATAAATAAATAAATAAGCGGCTGAGATGAGTCTAGATACCCGGAATGAACGCGCGACCGAGTGACGAATGTCACGAGGCCTTTTGCAATGTGATTTCACTGCTCCGCATGAATTATTCATAGATACATATTAGCATGCCAATACGCCTACTTTGGATTTATTGACCAATCAGAACGGCGATCTGATAAAGGTTAACATAAGAAATCCAAAACCAGATTGATAAAGGCTACTTGTCTGGGCAATTCGCACTGGCGTTCACTGAGGTTTTCGCGATTAGTCTCGTTTTAGTCGCTCGGCGTCTATCAGACAAGTGGCCTTGTTTAAAGGCTAGTCAGACCGCAGCGCCCGCGCTATTAAGCTATTTTGTGCAAATTTAGTAGATTTACGTACGGCCGTACGATCCCAAATCGCGAGATTTTGTGCGAGATGTCACGAGATTTGGAGAGAGCCAACAGAACCCCTCCCCTGGAAAAAATATTCAGGTATCATGGAAAAATGATGTGGTAACTGAATTTACAGTTCCTGCTCTTTCTTTTGATATATTATTTGTAATATTTCTGTTCTCCAAAATTAATGCAAATTGAGTTCAAATATTCTGCTATTTTAAATTTTTTTTTTTTTGCAATCTCATTTTTGACATAGCGTTCCGTTTTTGCTAGCTCCTGACTGGTAATGAAGTTATTTTTTTTTGTAACATTTTTCTTGAATAGATACATAATTGATCACAAAATCCACTGAAAAAACGAGCGGGACAAGCATAAAGGTTGGCGGTTTTTGAGCGATGACTTTCGTTGACCTCTAAGTGACCTCATACGAGGGAACCACCATTACGCAGTCCGTTGATCACTGAAAACTGAGAACCTGCTCTGCGCGCGTGTTATGTTCTGGGGATCGCTGTCACAGGATTCCGTGCAATGCATCGCGTAAACACCCCCGTTCAATACCCCTCTCCCCTCGCAAAACCATCGGTTGTCCGAAATTTCTTACTTTCTCGTCATTAGATATTTTTAGAACCAAAATCTGACTTTAACAGGCGCGGAACCAGGGGGGGGGGGCCAAGCGGGCCTTGCCCCCCCCCCCCCTCCCCCGCAAAAAAAAAAAAAAAAAAAAGGAGAGAGAAAGAGAGAAGGAAAGAAGGGAAAGGGAAAGAGGAGAGAAAGGGAAAAAAAGAAGAGGAAGAAGAAAAGAAAAGAGGGAAGAAGTAGATCGGGGGGGGGGGGCAAAAGGACTTGTCTCCCAGGCTGTTGCCCCCCCCCCCCCCAATCAAAAAATAAAAGAGAAGGAAGGAAAGGGAAAGAAAAAAGAAAAGAGGAGATACAGGGAAGGAAAAAAGAGGAAGAAGAAAAGAAAAAAAAGGGGATAACGACACAACAAATCGTCTTCTTGCTCTAATGATTTAATGAAACGTAAGCTTCCGCTTAGCGCGGGAGGGGGGAAACTAAATTCAGACGAGGATTATTTTTTGGGAACAATACAACAAATCGTCTTCTTTCTCTAATAATTTATTGAAATGTCAAAGCTTCCGCATTTCGCGGAGGAGGGAGGGGAAAACTCGCCCCTCCCTGCACCCACCCCCAATTACGTCACTGCTGGTCACCATTCGAACCAATATTTGGCTCGCATAATTTCAAATTTCGCCCCCCTAAGAAATCCTGGATCCGCGCCTGATGTATATACAACGGCAACAGTTTCAATATAAAATGTAAGTTCTTCTTACTTAAATCATTGGTCTGGAAACAATTATTTGTCCATTGTTATGTATTGTATTACA